CCTATGTTAGTTTTGAAGGCTGAAAATGCGCTATTTTTGTATAACTAGTATAAGAAATAATTGTTCACGGAAATGCTTTATTTATATTTACTAAAGTTATCTTTTCCTATAGTTGGTATTATTTTGCATTTTTTCTTGAACAGTTTCTATATGTTTATTGGTATATTTATGAAGCAATTATTATTATTATCCTAGTTTGTTAAGAGGTTAAACACTTTCTTAGATTTACGCGAATATTAGACTTATTAATTTTTGTCTTTATCTTTTTGGATTTTTTACGAATTTATTTTCGGTTACAGTTCCCGACGTTTCCAATGCCTTACATCATTCTCAAGGTCTCTCCCGTGGATTTTGAATTAAAATATTATTTTATTGTAAATGGAAAAGATTTCTTAAGAAAATTAATTTCTTAACACAATTAATGTATTTTATGTAGTTCAAATCAGAAATACGTTAGTAAAATATTGTACAAAATGTTTGTTTTTATATTTTACTTTCGTTATCAAATTTAACAAGGACTTTTTCGATAAACAGTAAAAAAAAATTATAGCTTTTTATTAGCTACTATTAGCAGAGACGAAAACTCATTCGCATGTTATTTTTACCACTATTAAAACTTATTGACATTTACACGATTAATGCTATTAATCAGATGGACTGGTAATTACATCTATTTTTATCCAATTTTGTACGTCTATAATTAAGCGTCAAAGGCTTGCTCGCATTCACGAAATAACTTAATTATTTATGCAGAGGACACTGTATGCACCGTACCTATTACATGGTCTACATGAATTTCTCTTGCGAATATGAAATGTCTAGTTAAAATTATCTATAGGTAGCATTGGATTTTCCGCATTTTTTTGACAATATATTTACTGAGTGCTACGTATAAATATTTTTATAACTTTTAAGCATCCCTCGAAAACCTTAACAATATTTTTTTATAAAAAAAAGTGTTAAATTTCGTCTAAAAAAATAAATATTTATATTATGGTCATCGCTTAACCTACAAAGATTTTTGTATACGAGTATAGGTACATAGGTCAAAGTAAAGAAAGAAATATTTTCTTATCTTCTTTATATAGCTATTGCTTTTTAGAGCTTTCAAGAACTAAACATATTATGTAGGTGTCAAACAGCTATATCATGTAAAATGTTTTTAAAAACTTTTTGAATAACATATTATATTATATATTTTTTTAAAGTTCTATTTGAATTCGTTGTACAGATTTAATGGTTTTTTTCTTATTCTTATCTTTTCCACGTCTCAATTTAAAACTATCCAATCATTTTGTAATTTTGTGGGTGGGCATTGTCTGTAACGACTATATAATGACCTTTGAGACGTCTAAAACCTTAGTCTCTCCCGTGACCAGTATTGAAGTAAATGAGCATTCGACACGTCGGGAAACAAAAATCAAAATACTTATTTTCCGCGAAAAAATCCGAAAAGATAGTTCTATTTAAAATGACAAATATTTGCGTAAATCTAAGAAAGTATTGTTAAGCAAGCTTTATTTTCTATCTGTCGATAAGTTTTAGGGATAATGCGTAATATGCACAATTCTTAATTAATGCGCTCTGGCATTACGTTACTCCCTGAGATATGAAAGGTAGGTGAACGTAGAGAATACGGAATGGATAGTTAGGGCTTAGGCTTAGAACAGATCACAGTAGTACGAGTATTGTTAACTTAGGCCAGTATTCTGTTAGAAACCATTATATCCCTAACAAAGCCACTCAACCTCTCTTCGCTCGGGTTCGTCCCTAGCTTGCTTCCCCATACAAACTTTCATCCCCATTTTCTCTTCTTTAAGGGGTGATTTCGAGGATAAAAAGTATCTTATATCCTTCTCAGGGTCTCAAACTATCTTCTTACCAAATTTCATCTAAATCGGTTCAGTAGATCCGGAGATTACCCCCTACAACGTCAGAAACTCACAAACTCACAAACTTGACCTCTTTATAATATTGGTATAGATTAGGTCAACTACGAGTGTAACCCTTTCATGCTTACAAAGGAGCTCTATGACACAAAAAATGTTTTGGAGTAAATAGAAATAAACACGAAAGAAGATGCTGGTCAAAGGTAGTCTGCATTTAGTGAATAGATGGATTATTTACATCCGAACTGATAATATAATCGGCCTATATCTATTTGCGCGGTTTGATCGATTGCCGTTTTACGCTATTAATCTATCTCACTGGTTGCGTATTATACATAACTCGTATACAAAAACGTTTGTTATCCAATTACATATAACAAAACTAATTAAAATATGTTTATGTTCTATTAGAATATATTGAGTGTAAAGCGATTGGCGATATGCAAGATAGAAAAAATAGCAGTAGATAAATACATATGGTTCTTATATGTGTATATATTGTATGTCTTCAGCCCATTTTAACGTCGCACTGCTGGACACGGGCCTCCTTTCAGTACGAGGAATATCAGGCCATAGTCCACCACGCTGGCCAAGTGCGGGTTGGCGGACTTCACATGTCTTTCGAAAACTTGCTAGGTTCTCTCAGACATGCAGGTTTCCTCACGATGTTTTCTTTCACCGTAAGACAAGTGGTAATCATGTTAGAAATGATTTGCACATGAAAATATTAGAGGTGCGACACCCAGGATTTGAACCCGCTTCACTCGGTTTTCCAAGCGAGCACGTTGTCACTGGGCTACCACTGCCATGTGTGTATGTATGCAATTCATCTGCCTTCACTTAATATTATAACATCCAGATAGCGCTTCCCGATTTTAAAGGTGTTTTGTAACAAGAGTATACCTAAATAACGATTATAACTGTTAATCTCGTTGATGCATCAATTTTTTATCTTATAAGTTCTAAGCATTCAGATTGAGGTTATATTTGTCACTATTTATTTCTTCGTTTGTACTTTTTATATAGTTAAACTTAAAACCGAAGATATTGGCCAAGCTAGTAATGATTTTTTATTATATCCTATAAAGTGTAGAGTAACAGCTTTAGTTACTAAGTTAGAATCTACTAAACCGGTAGCTGTAGTTTTTAGTGATGGTATATTTAGACTCCTCATCAATTTCCCTATTAAAAATATAACCCACTCCTCCACTGACTGCGTTCCAGCTCGTACTAAACTTGAGCCACTAAGTATATTTTTATAGTACACATTCCATTTTTTACTACGGAAGTCATACTTAGTTACGGAATATTGCTGGGTAATATAAACAACAAGCAAAACAATATCTGTTTATCAACTTCGATATTGGATCAAGTACGCGGACGGAACGAAAATGTCTACTATAGCGAAGTCATGGGCAAAATCTAATTTAAAATATATTTGCAGAAAATAAACATAACGTATTCAGTTGAAAGGCAAGTTATTTCATTTCTTAGGTGATGAAAATATTTTTACAAAGAGTTATATAAATAAAATAACAAAGGATGCACTGTAAGAATAGCCATTCGTTAACGAATGAAATCAGATTTTCGCCGTTTACTTAATTCAACTCCGCTGTTAACAAACAAACATCTACAAATACAATTTGGTCTCTTTGTTCTGTTACTTCACACCAGCACTGCTATTTGAGATAAGTTTTTAAAGTACACCTCAAAAAAGTTAATGTGTAAAAAACATTAGAAACGTATTTGGTTTTTTGCTTATGTTATCCGATCTGCAGCTTAAGACTGGGTTGCGCTTTAACGCTGATCTATACATATAATAAAATTGGAACTAAGCCGAATCTGTACATTACATATTTTTTGGAAAATCTTATCTAAATAAACATTATTATCGATACAGAGGCCGAATCTATACTTTTTTGTCTGTCTGTCTGTCTGTTACCGCATCACAGAAAAACCACTGGAGAGGGATTTCGATGAGATTTGAAATTCAACATATAGGATACTTTTTACTGTGAGAGAATGTCTCATTTCTGAGAAAAACCGCAAAAACTGCAATGTAAGAGTATACTAATCTGTAAAACCTAAGAATTTGGTTTTTGGTCATCTGAACGCGGGCGGAGCCGCGGGCAATGCTAGTTTGCCTATATATTCTAAGTAAACCAGATAATAAATCAATGCGTTAACTTAAATGTATGATTTTTCAATTTTTTTTATCCGTTATTAAGACAGAAACGCAATTGAATGAAATTTTCTCGATAGTTTTTTTTTTCAAAAATATATCAATTTTAGAAATTTTTGGATTTTTCTAGAAAACTACTACAGTTACATATATGCAAAATAAATGCTCACATAAGGAAGATATAGTTTATTATCCGCCATTAAAACAAAATTTACCTTGACCAATTATTATTCTCGTAATAGATTAAATTAGATTTTAGACTTAAATCTGTGCAAGAATAAGGTCGATAGGATATTCGATATTCAACCTTATTTGCTAGTAGGAATTTTTTTACTGCCTGGTCTTAACAGCTTGCTAGTAACTTATTAGATGCTGTTTGAACAAACAAAATTAGGAAATGATTGCTTATTTGGCATTCAGACGTAGGTGTGAAAATGAACTGATCTATATATTTTATACATGATTGTGCTATGGATAAAAAAAACGCTTTTATTTCTAAGTTTAAATAGAGTATCGGAGTGTAACGCAATTCCCTTTAGAAGAATATCAATTATATATCGTTTGAATTACTCATATAATGATAAACTTAAAGATGAATGTTAATTGTCAATTTTTCAATTGCTATAAATAGTTATTAAATAAACATATTTAATAAACTCATATAATTTTACAATTCATGTTTTGCAATACGTGACTGTTGATGACATATTTCGCTATGAATTTTCGCGGTTGACCGTACAATTTAACCCCCTGGTTCAAATTATACATATAATATATTTTTTTAAACTTTAAGCACAACTTTCTCATTTATGTATTAATAATTATAAAATTGAGAAAATGTAATTTCAAAAATGTTTCACTATATATAACTTGATTTTAATAAACTTACAACGTATAGTAAAATCTTGTGATTGTAGTCATATATTTCAATTTTTTAACTGCCTTGGTGGTGTAGTGGCTAGCATGTACGGCTGCACACCCGGAGGTCCTGGATTCGAGTCCCGGGTTGGGCCTAGTTTAGTTATTGAGTCTTTCTGTACAGCAAACCTCAGTAACAGTCCGGAGATGGGAAGTCGGTGGTGTTTCACCCCCGTGCCTCGGAGAGCACGTAAAGCCGTTGGTCCTATGGCCTTAACTCTCACCGGTCGTGTCGAGTATTCGACCCACCGGAGTATGAGAGTGACAGGAATAGAGTGCACTTGTGTCTGCGCGCACACTTGTGCACTCTAATATTTCTTGCGCAGATGGCTAGTCCACATTACATTGGCCGCTGTGGCCGAAATTGGTCGAGAGGATATTATTATAGTTTAATTTTATCACAAAATTATATTAGCAGTTAATATTTTTAACATTCTTTTAAACAATAGAGTTCTCGTAAGCTAATAAATTAATGATTTTTAATATTAACTAATTTTTTTAAGGTAATAATAGATATATACAAATCGACTTTTGGATTTGTCCGTCATTGTGGATAATAATTAATGAATAATTTGTAAAATGTAGTTTATAAACCAAAAATATATATGTGACAGACTAATTACTTTTATCCTGGCTTGACAAGTCTTTCCGTGGAATATTATTATATTATAAAAAAATACTAAGTTACTCGAGGTAACTAGGCGGGGTTAGAGGCAGGTGAATTGACGACCTCATTTTTCTACTCTTTTTCTTTTATTATTTTTACTTAGTTTAGAACGCAACTGAACGTTGCGTGTTTACGAGTACTTGTAACTATTTATACACATAAGAAGGTCTTACTTAGCGTTTTCAGGGAGAAAATATTAGTGTTAAGTATTGTGATACGTGTTTTATTTTACTACAGATGTAAACCTACTATTTATTTTACACATTTATAATATTCTGGAGACTCACCCCTCGCTCCGCTAGCGTTCGTCTCTAGTTTAACGTTTTAACGTTTAGTATAGATTTCTCAGAGATGAGATATTTTCCCGCCGTAAAAAGTATCCTATATGTTGACCCGGATAACCAGCTATCATCATACCAAATCATCAAAATCTGTCCAGTAATTTTCTCGTGATGCGTTCCCAGACAGACAAAAGTTCTAAAAACTATAGATTCGGCCTCGATAATAATGCCTATTTCAATAAAATTTCCAAAAAATATATAATGTACAAATTCGACTCAGAATTTTATTAGGTAGGTATATATGTATATATATGAAAGGTGAAAGATCCTATTTATGTAAGTATATCCATTTCATTTCATTTAAAAAAGAACATTGGATAATATATGTACCTAAATATTTCATTTAGTGAGTTGAAATTTTATTGTGCGTTTTTACATACATTTGAATAGTTTTGTCGGTAAAGAAAAATCAAACCAAAATACCAATAACGGAAAGTTAATTTAGTTATATCAAATCAATCCAAATCGAAATATATTTATTACTTTGTGCAAGTAAACTTTAACAAACACTTTTGAATCGTCAATCTTTAATTATGAGTTTTTCCGGCAAATATTTTGACTAATCCGTACGTATAAGAAATTGACGAGCGGGTTTGTAGCACTCTAGTCGAAAGCCCGACGTCGCGAGCGAAAGCAGGACACGAATTACGCACGGAATAAAATATATTGAAAAAGAGAAAAATTTGTCTATCTGTTTTGGACTTCACCAAATTAAATATTTAAGCTTTGCCTAATATATATTTCACTTTGGGGTGATTCTGTTTTAAAAAAGGCATTTTTTTATATTTTATGTCATTCTTTGCTTGTACAACAATTTGTTCAGGTAAATAATATAATCATTTCAAAACTTACCTGTCCTAATCTTGCATCAGAAGTGACTGTATACACGCCACATTCAGCCACATCTTCTGGTTTGTCTGAAGGCGGCGTTCGTCGCCAACACGCAGCGCACACCGCCACCAGTACTCCACATAGTGTTGCACTGATAAAGAATTATTTTTATATAAGTATATAATTTGACTTCATTACTACATCATTACATAGATATAAATTTTGTAAGATATTAAACTAAGGAAAAAAATTAGTGCAATTTTAAATAGGTACAAAATGATTTTACTAATATTGAATATTCATTTTTATCTTCTATTTTAAAAGTACGAGTACTTTATAAAATAGCATCGAAAGAAGCTTCGTATTTATTCATGGTATTAATTTCAATACATTTATAGAGTTTAAAATGAAGCTATATGCAACTAGGACAACGATTTTCCGGCTCTGAAAATGCAAATAAGCTTCCAATACTCAAATTCCTGCATTGGAACTATTTATTGAACTATGATATATTGTCTCAACATAAACAGACATGTACCTATGTATCGGCCGATACATATAAAATGTCATGGCCTGGCTGACTGGCCCTGGCTTAAATTTTTTCGAGCATATTTATAGAATGACATTGATGAAGAGATGATATTTTGTTTTTAACCCCTATGGGGCTAAAAAGAATTCGTCATCTATGGCATATGTAAATATGTATGTTAGACTCAAAGACATGATGACATTTTTTGCCACAACTCGTTCTGGTCAAAAATCATGTCAGTTAAACTCGTTCAACTCGTTCTGGTCAAAAATCATGTCAATTTCGTGACCAACGCTTTATCCGCACAATGAGCGTTTTCGGTCTTTAAGCATGACATATATAAAAAAAAAGTCACCCGGTATGCAATTTTGACAAAAGATAACAAAATTTTGCGCCACATATCGATCAATAATATGATATATTCCTTGAAATACATTTCGTCATTATTAGATGTACAGAACACGAATATAGTACTTTATACTCGTAAATGTCAAACGGTGCCTGTTTGTTTATCCGATAATCGTGTAACATCGCTGAACCGATTAAATTCAAATGCCATGTAGACAGATTGAGTAAGATTACACTCGTATGTATGTATGGATATTCGTATTGTCTTTGTACATCAAAACTATTTAACTTGTTTTTAGCTTTCTATTTAAAGGATATATGTTTACTTTAAAAAAGATATTTTACTTTGATTTATTTAATTCCTATGTTTTTAAAAATGGCGATAGATATTTAAGGACATAAAATATTTACTTGTATTGTTAAGAAGATAAACTAAACATGTAATTAATAATTATAGAGACACTAGTATTATGCGTTTTCTAAAACCGAACTTCCAATAAATAATATTGATAATTCCAAAATAACCTGGTCTTGTCGTCTATCTTTTTCCGTTAAAAGAACAGTTGAAACGATTTTTATGATATTTAGAATAGGGATGGGTACTTTATTTTTTAAAACACACTGACACACAACATTTCTGATGTTAACATGGAATAAAGAAGATTGATATGGAATATATATATATATACGTCAAATTAGAAAAATAGTTACTATTATTTTTGCATAGAAATGAAATTGCAGTAAAGCATTCGAATGAAATAAAAACAATGGTCGCGGGTGATATGTCGAATGTTAAAGATATTTATTTTAAAACTAGCACTGCCCGCGGCTCCGCTCGCGTTCAGATAACCAAAAACCAAATTCTTAGGTTTTACATATTAGTATACTCTTACATTGCAGTTTTTGCATTTTTTCTTAGAAATGAGATATTTTATCGCGGTAAAAAGTATCCTATATGTTGACCCGGATAACCAGCTATCATCACCATACCAAATTTCATCAAAATCCCTCCAGTGGTTTTTCTGTGATGCTGTAACAGACAGACAGACAAAATTCTAAAAACTATAGAATCGGCCACTGTATCAATAATAATGTTTATTTCAATAAGATTTTCTAAAAAATATTTCATGTACAGATTCGGCTTAGTTACAATTTTATTATATGTATAGATAAAATATAGTGACATTAGCCGTGTAAAATGTTGTTCTCTACCCTGCACCAATCTATTTAGAAGTGTAATTTATTTATTCCTTATTTACTTCCGTGTAAAATTGCCTGAGAATATACCTAGGTATATACATATGTATTACTCTTAAAGACGTAGATTTTCTAGATTACACGGGACGTGACAGAAATATTCTCTTTTAAGGAGTTTTAGTTATTCACAGCGTTAAAATTTGGGGTAGGATTTGTTTTAAATAATATCATAATCTCGGCCCTATTATACCTACTGGCTTATCAGGATCACGATTGATAGCGATTTAAGAGATCAGACGTGTACCTTTTTATGACTCACTTTATAAAGAAAGAGATGCTCAATTCGGGTGTACTTTTCGAGTTTATGTTTGTACTTGTAATATATTCTCCAATTATGTACCACTCATCATGTTCATTTTTAATGAATAGATTATGCTTCAAGAACCTATAAGACCCCCATGGCCTTCACCATATAAATTTTATACAAAAGTCCACACCAAACGGTGGCAATAATATTCTCATAAAATAACATATTTTACTTACGTATTTTTAAGACGATTTTACGTTTTGATTATAAAGTTATTATTTAAGTTGAACTTTATCATTTAGTACTCTATTTGTTTCTGTTAATATTTACTTTTGTGTATAAATATATAATATGCCTATATATGTATATATTTATATATGTATATATAAACTTCACAAAGCAAAATGACGGTGCAGTTAGTCCTAGCTGCACGCTATATTTTATTTCATTCTAATTTTTAAAACCCCTTATTAATAGAGTTTTCCTCACAGGCCCCGCGTTTTATCACAGACTTAATCGCCCTTTTTCGGTTCGCCGCACAAACTGTGAACTACGCGTGGACCCTGCCATTCATCGTACTTTTAGTATGTATATATTTTAAGCTATTTGTGTATTAAGTTGTAGTGCTCGCCAAGTGAATATAATATGAGCATATCAGTATTTGATTTGATTCTTTAAATATTGAATTCCATTTATGAACTAGAATTAAATTTGACAATAATGATATTTTTTCTTTGCCTATTTAATCAGTACATTTATTGGACTTCCGGATGGGTGAAGGTTTTTCCTAAGATGTAAAAAAAAAAATAGTGTTGTTTTTATATATAGCGCAAACGACGTAAAGCATGTGGATATTCCCATACTTTATCAACTACTACGATTTTCATATTATTAAATCAAAAATTCTTTCCGAAATTTCTTCGTAACTTCTTCAAGAGCATTCGCCTCTAGTCGTCCTTAAGCCCATCAATTGATATTCATCTTGGTAAAGGTCGCGGAGTTAAGCGGCCAATAATGGAGGAACTTAACCTTTTCACCTTTTTACGAACTCCCGCGGAGATGTTTATCTTTTTGAGCATTTTGTAAGGGAAAAAACATGATCTACGAGACCTAATGAGATAGTGATTAAAGTTTAAAAATGTAAAAATATATTGTCGATAGAATCTAAAGTAGATTAAGAGCTAGCTTTCTCTTTTATTTATCCTTACTAATATAATAAATTGTGACTTTCACATTACTTGTTGGTTTGTCAGTCTTTCGGAGCAACGGAGATGATGATTGCCAACTTTTCAACCCGGTGCATTGAGCCGTTACCACGGAATTAGACTTTTGCATCAGAGTGTTACTAAGTAGCTATATTATACATTCATACCTCTATCTAACTATAGCTTTTACAATGCCCGTCATTTAAAATTGTAATAGACAGGCTGTTGACAAATAATTGACTAATAGTCCTATTACCTACATAGAATTTTAAGGTACAATTCACATCCGTAATTCACGTGAATTACTTTTATTGAAATATTATACTTTTATTGAAACATGGCATAATTTCAAGTAGTTTAGTTGTTATTTATCTATTGCTAACCGATTGTCATTATGTGATTTTCTATCTTTGTTCGGTAAGTACACCATTTTGTGAAACGTTATGATGTGCAAACAAAATAGCTCAATTTATAAAGTAATAGGACATTCAGAGTTGAGATTGTAGTGTCTATCCATATTTGTCGTATAATAGTTATACCAATTTATGAATTCAAGGAATCAAAGATATAATTGTTTTAGCACTACTCTAACTAATAATAAATTATTTTTCGTAAGAGAAAGCAAGAAAATTATATTTCGTGCCCTACTTGTAAATAATCTATGCAAATATGATTATTCAATGTCTTTACACGTGCAGTTAAAAACCTTCGAGAGAGCAGAGTTCCCTTAGAAATTTCAGCAGTTCAATAACTTTTGGTAAGCATTTATTGGTAACTCGCTCAGACCTACAACATATACGAGTATAGGTTTGTTACCAAATTAAGCTACTAATTTGGAACAAATTAAATAACTGTCAACAATAGGTTATCAATATGATTTAAATGTCACGCAATTTTTATTATTTGTGCATTTTGATGAATGTATTGTTCAGTACATTTTGCACATCAGCATTGAATTCGAAATGTTAGCCAATTAAGTACTAGCGACTCACCCTCGCTCCGCTCGGGTTCGTCCCTGGTTACGTTTTCACTTCTCAGAGATGAGATATTTTCCCGCAGTAAAGAGTATCCTATATGTTGACCCGGATAACCAGCTATCATTATACCAAATTTCATCAAAATCTATCCGGTGGTTTTTCCGTGATGCGGTAACAGACAGACAGACACACCAAAATTCTAATAATTATAGAATCGGCCTTCCAAAAAATATTTCATGTATAGATTCGGCTCAGTTACAATTTTATTATATGTATAGATAATAAAAAGTGGCGATGATGAAACGTGTATGTCTCCGACTGCATAATACTATATTCTTTACTCAACTTGTTTTCATCTTTTTAGTTAGCTTTTTTGCAGTCAGTTTTTTTGTTTTTATAATAAATATATGTAATTAAAGTGCGTCCGGGATTGCGACATAGATACCATTGAGTTCATTACTTTATTTATAGGATACGAAAGCCTAAATAACTAATAAACCTACTAATTCGATTGTAACACGACATTTAAAAGCGAATAAAGGTTGTGGGCGAGGGGGGGGGGTGGAATAGGCTACTTTTTATGTCGGGAATGAAAAAAACATTGGTAAATGAAGAACGGCTTAAAAGCTTTTAATTAGTGGAAAGTGCATGGGTGAAGTGGGGAAGGCTATTTTTAATTGTCGTTTAATGTACTAAAGCGGATCCGCGGGCTAAAGTTAGCAATTTAACTTAAAATCCATACTTCCATACTTAATATTATAAATGTGAAAGTGTGTTTGTTTGTTTATTTGTTTGTCTTTCTTTCACGTCGCAATGGATTGATGGATTGGCGTGATTTTTTTGTAAAGGTAGGTCGAAAGCTGGAGAGTGACATAGGCTACATTTTACCGCGGGATATTACATAATTCCCACGGGAAGACACGTAATACAACTCAAAAAATTATTTATGATCAGAATTACTTGAAACTTGGTATTAAATATTAATGCTCTTTAATACAATTAAATAAATACGTGTTTTACCATTTCTCGTAATTCATTTCACAAAGGGGTAAAATAGAGGATGGAAGTTTGTATGAAATCTACCTTTATAGAGTTTTTTTGTAGTTTTACTCGAGCGAAGCCGTGGGTTCTGCTAGTAAGCTATATTTATCTAGCTTCGAATTATTTCAAATGAATGGGTATATCGAAATTATATAAGCAATTCCAATACTTTAAAACTACGATCGAGTAATCTCTAATGATTCGAGCTTTCAGTTAAACTAAGCAAGTTTATTTAGTTACTGACCGCATGCATATAAGCGTTAAGTTCAAGATTAATTTTGATGTGAGCGAAAATCATTTATCTGAACATTCTAATTGTAAAAAATAAAAGCGATTGATATATTAATTTTCAATTAAATACTTGTTTTAATATAATAATTGTATAATAAGAAAATGGGAAAGCAGTCTAATCTGTAATGTATGTTTTGATGCTTGAATGGCAACTTTAGATAGTTTTTATTACGATATATGCGATAGTTTAATATTTTTTACACAAGTATATTATGCAGGTCATAGTAATAACACAGGCATCTAGAGACTTCCTGGAGCTAGCGAGGGTAAGTCTGTAGTACTTTATACAAGGTACTTTTATCACTTCATATCCGAGATATTAGTCTGTTTCAATGATTTATCTAGACACTTCTACTGTACTATGAATCTAGTATAATATTAAATCTAATTATAAACGAAGGATGTTGCAATAATATTATTTGGAAAGTTCCTTTTCATTTTGTGCTTTTCTTATATGCAGATATTATTGTTATAGTATACAAGTTTCCTAACGTCGAGTCAAGCTCGTATTAGTATCTAAGTGCTAACTTCGTGGCTGCAGGAATCTCAGTCGGAATTACTGTCAGAAACTTTTGACGAGCTTAATTGATAACTTGCTCTACTCTGGCTATTTGCGTGGTAGCCATCGTGATATTGCATACGAACTATAACATTTATAATGTTACTTTTTATTAGTTAATTAGGAGTACTAGTGACTCACCCGCGCTTCGCTCGGGTTCGTCTCTAGGTTGATTCCCCATTCAAACTTTTATCCCCATTTTCACCCACTTAAGGGATGATTTCCGGGATAAAAAGTATCCTATGTCCTTCCCAGGGTCTCAAACTCACAATTTACAAACTTTACCTCTTTATAATGTTAGTATAGATAATCTACATACATAGGTATGTAGTACTAAATATATACATAATATATGTTTAAAACAAATATTTGGTCAAAAAGGAGGAAGTTATCGATTCGTTTGTTTTTTTTTGTTTTGGTTTGTGTGAGTGCTCTGCTAATAATGATAAAATCATGAAAATTCAAATGTAACTATTATTCATTTAACTATGTCATATTTTAATAATTTTACTTGTTCAGTAGTAAGAGTAGAGATTCAGGAGAGGATGTAGTTAATTTTCATTTTATTGCATCTCAATAGTATTTTATATATTTTATTACATATAAAATTGATATAGATAGGTCCTTAATGGTTTTTTTAAAATTGAAGATATTAGCGTGAAACGCGTCTTTTATGAAGCATAATTTTTAAAATTCCTGTACATTCGCTGGTTCAGGACATTTCTCAGTTTCATAAATTTTTATTTTTATGATATAACCATTTGCCATAACATGAGTTATAGCATAAGTGTGGCTTTATGGTTGTTTTACAAGCGTCGCATGTCTTCCTTAAAATATTTTGCCTTTATTTAAGATTAAACATGTCGTTTAGGATCGTACATATACGAATGAAGAAGAAGATGAATTATAAAAGAATAAAATATAAATGATTGTTTACTATCTACATATGTAAATACTATGTATATATGTGGCTTGCGTTGTGCAAGGACATAAGCTAAAACCAAGTAGTTGTGGCTTGTTTATGTACAAATGAATATTTCTCAACTTGAAAAGCTTTGTTGATATCCACTATTATAGTGGAACCGAAACTTTATTATTGGTTATTTAGTAACTTTCTGCTCTTCACAACTATCTCTATATAGAAGTTCTACAGAAACTATTTTTTCTTCAGACCGTGCGGTCGGACTTTACCTATTTAATGGACTATTGCTAAGTAACTTTTATTTGTATATTATTTTTAACTTTGATTTTTATATAATAGCAGCTGCTTGACTGACCTTACAAAGAATATATTGACAGTGTAATGAGTGGCCTCTGACGTTTGTACGACATCTGGTCGGGTGTGATTATAGTAGTGTTTCGCATGAGAGACAGCCGCCACGGCGGCTATCCGTTGTGAGCTACCCATCGCCCAGCCGAGAGGGCTGCGCTGCGCGGCCGCGTTCGCCACCGCCCACCAGCCACACCAGCAGCGCCAGCGAGCCACAACCGCACCGTGCGGCGCCGCCTGCGCGACTGCCGCCACAATCAACCGCGTTCCTTTTTCAAATTCCTTTTTTTTTTAATCAACCAACTGCTTTACAGCCACGGCTTTTCAGCCAGTGTTTTCGGCCGGATCAGCTCGGATTCGAAATCGAACTCTTGAGGCGCATCTGTCGACAATCAAAAATCGTCATTTTATAACAATGAAAACCGTTCACATTGTTTTCACGTGTATTCAAAAAGTTTGCTATTATAAAAGTTCTGAAAATTAGTTTCAGTCTGCTTTATTTCAGGATGAGAAATAAACGTATTTCAATGTAGAGCGACGCGTGATCAAACTGAGAAGTGAGTTAGAAGTTCTAGGCGTTTTAAAAGAACAACAATAATTCTAATTAAATGGCTTCATTTGAATTCCGCACTGGTCTCAAATGCTACATGAATACATTTAGCGAACGCTTCGACGGTGGAGCGGCAACTTTGCAATATCGCTATTATTAATGATCCGCTAATTAGTCTTTCCACTCTCATATTAAAGACGTGGATATTAAATATATCCTTAGTATTCAGTATCTATATTTTTTGAGAAGTTTAAAAGGAAGTGACTTTGCTATATTTTTTTCGATTTTAATCCAGAAAATATGTGCATGTGTAATAAATTAAATATAACCTTTATTTTAAAGATGTTTTTTTTTAATATTGTTAGAATGAACATGTTAGTAAAAAAACCTGCGAATAACTTTACCCGATAAATGCTTTTAAATGTACTCCAAAAGTTTATGTGTAAAGTATATAATATAACCAAATGAACATATCATTATATCTTTTGCAGTTCAGTCTACACTGTTCGTATTGTAAATTGGCGTTATATACAATCATATATAATACGTTTCAGCAAAACTTTCGCATTTTAAAGCTCTCTTTAAAGAGATAACGCGAAGTAGATAGACTCTTTAAACATCTGTGGCTTTTATACAGCTATTAGCAAGAAGATTTTCCTTTCTAAAGAAATAATATTTTAAAATAGTAAGTACTTTACTTTTGCTGAAGATTTTCAACGACATTTAGAATTCATTTGTGAATGTTTTAATGGATAAAATAAGCGCTAGCCACTATTCGTCATAGAATTATAGACTAAATATAAAGTGTTTGCTTTTCATCTTACTTTTTTTTACATTGAAAAAGTATTCATTTATACTTTCTTAATTTTCCACGTATTAATTATTAAAAAAGCAAGTTATCTAGGTTAGTTTGCGGTCCGAATAAATATAAAAATATTTGTTTGTCTTTCAGTTTGGTGGTAAACTTTTACATATTAATACTTTAAGTGCATTCAAAAAGCTTTTAAAACTCAACTTGTTTACTTGGTAACTTACCATCTATTAATAGAAATATATGGTGAGTTGTAGTCATGATTTGGAAAAAATTTAAATTGTATAAAAAACTTTCACTTATTTACTCAATTTACTCCCTATTTATATAGTAAAAAGAATTTTTAAAGCATATATTTCACAGACAGTTTTTAATAACAAGACTACTTAGTAGAGCTTATCATTATAATAATGATAAGCTGTACTTAAGCAATAATTTACCTATTTTTACCGATTTTTAATTAAATTTTATAATATAATCAAAAAATCTGTACCTGCATAGAACATACATTCACATACACGTAAAACTCGGTAAAACTTTAAACATCACGTGCATTAATATCAAAATACAAAACACAAAGCGTACGCGGCAAACTTTCAACGGGCGAGAATACGTCCCGCTCCTTTCACTACCGGGGCCCGAATGACACTCGCCACCCACGCCCCTAACTACCAAAGGCCAACATTCCAAATGTGATACCAACCCCTATCCATCAAATCTACGTATATTAGTAGTTAAGTGACTCGGTCACAGAAATAGATAGGCGGGAACTAAAAATAGCTTCTGCAAATAAAAATTCTAATAATATTGATGTTATTTAAGATGAAATTGATATAGTTTATATTAATAACTAGTGGAAAATAGAAACAAATCTATCCCACGGGAACTTTACATTTTTCCGGGATAAAAAGTAGCCTACGTGTTATTCTGATCAATGAGCTATATTAAGTAAAGTTTCATTAAAATCCATTCAGTAGCTTTTGCTTGAAAGAGTAACAAACATCCATACATCCTCACAAAAGTTTCGCATTTATAATATTAGTATAGAGTATAGATTTAAAATGTTCAAGACATGGTATTGAACATTTAATTAATTTATTCACTAACTTATACTTCAAAAAATGGAGGCTAAAATACTCGAAGCCTTGATTGAAACTAGTATTCAAATGTAACCTTGAAAATGGGAGCTTTTGTAAAGTTTTATTTCCGGATCGGAGTGCCAAAATTGAATAAGTTGGGCTATGGATGATTCGAAAATGGGTGAGTACAAAAACTCAGACTGGCTGTGGTATAGACTTTCGCGTTCATTTAACGTTGAAAACTTTTATGCGGATATTCTATTTGATTTGTCTGTTATACAGTTTGTGGAACTGAATAAATCCAATTAGATAGAGGTTTCTTTGGTTTTTGTTGCCTCGCTTAAAATATACTGACATTTTTGAAATTTATTATGTAAATTTGTTCTTTTGAATGGCTTATTTAGAAATGGTAACATAATTTACTATTAAAAAACAAAAAAAATTATTAAACAAAAGTAAGTCCTTAAAAATTTTAAACTCATATGTAGCCGGGTAAAAAAAAATACGCAGTAATAAGCATATACGACATATAGAGTATCTAGACTAATATTATATGTAAATGTTTTTTTTTAAGTACAGCAAAGTTCCAAATATCATATACGAGTATATTGTGTTTACGTAATTAATATAGTTAAGTAAATATAGCATATAATTTTGATAAAATAACAAGTATTTGCAATTGTATGGTGAACAAATAGTTTGGATGGTGTTGGTCTAACTCGTGGTTGGCGGCCAGCTTTTGAAGTTTGTTGTCACTCCGCCCGTGGCCGTCCCCCACGCCGCAAGGTACGTACGTGTTCCTTAATAGCCGATAGTCACGCTATTTTCAACCGTATTCCAAGGCCGTGTGAAGGCTAATGTCTCTCGTGTACACTAATCTAATTTTAATAAATCTTATACCCTATAGTGCAATTTATAGTTTATTTTGAAAATCATAAATTATTTTTATATACGACCAACGCTTTGATGAGAAAAAGCTTCATATTGACGTGCAGTGAAAAATAAAATTGTAGAGAATTTTCGCTTATTTTGCTTGTGTGAATATACTTGTTTGGTAATCAAGTTTTTTTTATGATATAGTGCATATGAGTTGTTCTTTAGAAAACGTTCGATAACCACGTGTTTATTAGAAAGTCTATATACTAGCTATGCGCTGCTCACAGCGCAAGTAAATGCTATGTCTAGTTACATTTTTTTATGTTATTTTTAGTATTTATTTGAAGCTTTTACGTATTTATTTAAAGCTCTTCTAGACTTCACGCGCCTTATTTAAGTTAACATGAAAATTGGTTCCATATAAAAAGCTTATAGTTTATATTTTAACATAGATAATAGCTTGTACCCAACACGCTATAGTTAGTATAAGTAGTAGTGGATAAGTTTAGTATGTCTACTTCTGTCACAGTCAATTCAAGTTGAATTGTCTGTGACTTCTGTATAAACTTTTACTCTATATTTACAACCGTCAGACGTAGCGGCCTATCGATACAACGTACCTATTTTGTCGCTATGGCGAAGGTCACAGTTACAAATCGCGCTTACAATAAATCTTGATATCGGCCGTGTATTTTTGCTTGGTACATACATACAATATACATATATCTAAATCTTATTTCATAGACGTCCGCTAACGTAGTAGGATCTTAAAACAAAAGTTAAATAATATATTTTGAATTCGGTTAAAGATGTCGTATGTTTGTAATTACATCAAATAAATTACGTTTTGTTGGAGTATTTCTATTTTTTTGGCGATAATACTTATGCATCACCTCTACCTATCTCATAGAATAAGTTCTATAAAAATTGAAACACCTACGGTACAGTTTATTAGCGCTATACATAAATCAACAGTACATGCTCCGTGTTTCGTCTAAAGCCTTTTTTACTTCTTGCGATCATAAAAATTTATACTTTATTTCAACAAGAGACAAGTTTCTTAAAATCAAATTAGATACTTCTCTGCATCGAGTTTATATTTCTGCTTTATGTATCTACCCAAATAAAATGTTTCCTAGCTTACATAAAAAAATTCAGTATAAAAAAATAAAAATAACTACGTTTATTATGTGCTAAAGCATGTAATTCTAGGAACATGCATAAAAATCCATATTTTTTCCTCATAATTGCACTTTTAAAATCAAACATCCGTACTTCTTAATCTTCAAGCGTTTTCTTTTCGAGTTAAACCAGAATAGGAAAATTGTTAATAGATTTCTTTTCTTTAGCATAGGAAAATTGTCTTCGAAAGCGGTACTCAACGGACCATGTATTTATTAACCAGTCGGACAGTCTATCAAATCTAATGTCTCGTATCATTCAGCTTTGGGACATAGATCTAATACAACCCAAGTCACTATTTGTTTTGTATTAATTATTATCATTGCCCCGCCGCGCTGTACAGTATTATTTTAGTACAAGGATATTCAAATATATTTTCTTTTCTATTTCAATCTAATTAAATATTAATGAAATAAATTTAATATGAATTAATGTAATATAAATAATAAATAAAAAATACTAGTTAAATAAATTTAATATTCAATCTGTGCTACGAATTCTATACATATAATAAAATTGTAACTAAGCCAAATCTGTATATTAAATATTTTTTGGAAAATCTTATTGAAATAAACATTATTATCGTGGAGAGGACGAATCTATAGTATTTAGAGTTTTTGTCTGTCTGTCTGTCTGTCTGTTACCGCATCACAGAAAAACCACTAGAGGGATTTTCGATGAAATTTGATATGGTGATAGCTGGTTATCCGGGTCAACATATAGCATACTTTTTACCGCGGGAAAATGTCTCATTTCTAAGAAAAATACAAAAACTGCAATGTAAGAGTATATTAATATGTAAAATCTAAGAATTTGGGCTTTGGTCATCTGAACGCGGGCGAAGCCGCGGGCAATGCTAGTTGTCCTATATATGTACGAGATACATACACAATTGTGCCACGTCAGTTTCCAGTAATTTTTTTTGTTAATTATTGCACCTACATACATATATAACGATTAACGAGTATACAACGAGAAGAATTTTAAATTTTCCTCCTGTAATAAAGGACTATTTCTCAAGACAGTCACTTTTTGTGCGCTATTGTGAGGACTCCGAACTCATTTATTTGACGAGTGACATTATATTTTGACATTTTCTTTCCCCTAAATTGAGTTTTTTGTTCATTTTTCTATGTAGAAATAAATGCTGCTAAAATTGTCCTTCGTGTTTTTGTAGTTTAGTAGAAAATCATGTCACTCATGTCCTTCAGCAGGTTAAATTTTTGGATGGATTAAATGAAGAATTGATCCGTACTTTGATTCAAATGTTATGTAAAATTGTGTTACTTCATACTTTTTTTTCATGAATATATAAAATTACTCTATTAATTGAATATAAAATGAAATAATAAAAAAACCATCGTTAACACATGATATTCTGTCTGTGTGTAAAAACCGCTCTTCTCATGTCGACTTCTGTCAAATGCAGCCTTCCGTTTGATGTCCCAATCATTTTTGTAACTGCTAGCTTTGTTGCACAACTTTATCTTTTTTAAGAAATAAATTAACAAAATGTCAATATATCACCTTATTTGTTATTGAAAATAAAACTTTTGTGCTCTTTATAGGTATTTAAATGATTTTGGAAAGATTTCTGTTAATTGACTGGCAAATGACAGTTTTTACAAGTTAAGTTGCACAAAGTGAATGAGTGAATTCAATTCAATTAATTTATTTGTTATTAATCGCCATTCATACAGGTTGCCATATAAATTAGAGATAAAATTGCAATTTTAGATATTTTTACTTTAAACAGATTTTATTTAAAATATATACAATATCAACCATTGTCGCTTAAAACATCCATTGTAATAAAAAAATATAAATCCATCGAACCTAAGAAATACACTTTGGAAGCTATAAGATTTCTGTTTAGTATTGCTATGTTTAATTTTATAAAATTTTATTTTAATTTAAAAATGTGGCTATTCATCATGTCACTTTCAGCTAACTTCATCATGTCGCTTTTTGGCTGTCGGTGCGCGCGCATCGCAAAAAATTTTCTCTCATAATTTTTTTGAAACCTATAAAAATACCAAACCAAATTAATTTCAATGGATTCTATATAGGTGATAAGAATCTTAAAATGACAAAAAAAAATTAAGTCATTTATATAAATTACTTAATATTTTTTTGACATTTTAAGATTTATTATTTGAAATCATGTATACACGTTAGTTTATTGCGTAATGAAAAATGCGAAACGGTTTAATGTATTTCTTAGATTTGATAGACTATAGTATAAATCTTGTAGGTATTATTTGCTTTTGAACAAAAGTTGCCTCTGTAAAGTTTAAGAAACCAATCGTAGAGAAAGACGTATATTGACCACAGCTTTATATTGAGAATCGTAGTAACAATGGCCTATCGATACAGATATTTCAATCTCCGCGTATTGTGGTCCATTCATCTGCTGCGCCAGGCGAGTGGCGTGTGAGGCCGAATGCCTGCATGAAAATGTAGAATCGGACTCAATAGGAAGCGAATCTTTCCATATAAAATATATTAAAATTTTAAGAAAGAGTTTTCTCAAGATTAATTATGAGAAGAAATTGATATTTTTTAATCGTGAAGACTGCACAGAATGCAAATTAAAATTTTTAAAATAAGCAGGTGGTCAGAATAGGGAACTTTCTTATGACGTGGTAAATTAAGCTTCTTATATTTCATTGTCTGAATCAACTTGTTAAAAGTCAAATATGTATAAAAAAATGTTGGGTATTTATTTAAAAAAATGTTGATAATAATAAATATTAAATATGTTTCTTTTTAAAATAGTTCAGGAAAAAAACTATAATTCAATAATGAAAGATCTCGTATTTCAATTATTTTAATTATTTCAGTTCGCAAGCGGAACAATATTCGGAAGTAAATATTGGTTTGATATAAATATTTTCTGAGGTGAATATTTTTTTGTCTGTACTCTCTACTGTCTCTTGGCCTTTTAATATTATACTTTCAACTTACACGTGTATCTAAGATATTAAATCAAACAATACTGTTGCTATTGAAATATTTGTATGTTGAATAAATGTTCGCAATGCTATCTCTTGCACCGTGGCTTTTCCACATATTTATAGTTATTACATACACGTACACAGACTTACATAGACGGCAGTGGTAGCCCAGTGGTAACACGCTCGGTTGGGAAATCGAGTGAAGCGGGTTCAAGTCCCGGGTCTAGCATCTCTGACATTTTCATGTGCGAATCATTTCCAACATGATTACCACTAGTCTTACGATGAAGGAGAAGATCGTGAAGAAACCTGCATGTCTGAGTGAACCTAGTCAGTTTTCGAAAAACATGTGAAGTCCGCCAACCTGCACTAGGCCAGCGTGGTGGACTACGACCTGATCCCCCTTGTATTGCAGGGAGGCCCGTGCCCAGCAGTGGGGCTTTAAATAGGGCTGAATACATACATACAAAGACTTAACATAATAATAATTCATTAAATGATTGATTCTCTGAGTAATCTGACTGACCTGATCAAACCACAGACGTCAAGCAATGGTGTTACTGATTTTATGGTTTATTTAGGTTTAGAATACACATGAGTGACAGGTAGAGTTAATATTCAGGCAATTAATCAATTACTATTATTGAATTGAATAATAATATAATTGAATGAAATAATAAATATTGAATTAAATTAAATAATAATTACTATTTATTATTGAGTCAATTACTTAATATATTCGTAAAGAAATTCAGTAAACACAAATTCTGACAACGTCTTATAAAAGAATTCACATTATCGATTAAAGGCTTGTAGGAACTACATACCTGCCAATGATGGTGAAGACGTCTGATCGATGGCTCTGAATTATTTAGAGAGCTAGCCTACATATTATATTCTTTCGAGCGGGGCACGTACAGTTTTGTTATTATTTGCTGTCTTGTCTGTCATAATTTCAGTATTAAGCACAGTGTCTATCTATACGGATCTTTCTTGAATCTTTTAAAAAAAAATCTATTTAGTACATAGGTACATAACTACATATACTATATTTTTGTTGATTTTTTCTTAAAAGTTCTTTTGTGTACAATTTTTATTTACTCTAAATATCTTTTTTCTTCATTGAAGGGTATTTTATCTATACATATAATGAAATTCTAACCGAGTCGAATCTGTACATTAAATATTTTTGGAAAAATCTTATTGAAATAGTCATTATAATCGATACAGTCTGTCTGGGAAAATATCAGGAGAAAACCACTGGACATATTTTGATGAAATTTGGCATGATGATGATAGCTGGTTATCCGGGTCAACATATAGGATACTTTTTACTGCAGAAAAATATCTCTGAGAAATCTAGTTAAATATTATTGGATTAAATTTTATTTTATTAGTTGGCTGTATGAAATAAGTGTTTGCCTGTTTATTTTTATATTGTAACACCTGATGGCGTCACTACTTTAGTTCCTTCTTCCGGTTTTGTAAAGCAAGCGTCTAGCGTCTACTTACTGTGCAAGTGTGAATATAAATAAACTTTTCATTAGAAGTCTTGTTTATTAACCTAATCTCAATAGGTTATGGGCCCAGGTCCACGTAAGTGAACAATTGGTGATAAACAAAGAGCAGAGAAAACAGTAAAGTACTAAGTGTGATTTGACAGTAAAACCGCGTGCTGCATATAACCTAAAATGGAGTTTGGAAAGACAATGAACCTAGAAAAATTCGATGGAACTAATTTTAAACAGTGGAAATTTCAAATAAAATGTGCCCTCCGTGCCAAAGGGTTAGATATCTACACGCTAAAACCAGAAGGAAATGCGACTCAATGGAACAAAGATGATGGGATGGCAATGTTTATATTAACATCGGCTATGGATTTAAATCAAATAGCACTCATCGAAAATTGCGAATCAGCGCTTGAGGTGATGACCAAACTTGAGTCTATATATGAACAAAAATCCGAGATGACTAAAATGATGATACATGAGCGTTTTTATCAATACAAAATGTCACCGGCAGATAGCATTGCTCAGCATATAGCTAAAGTAGAAAGTTTGGCTAAACAACTTAAAGAAAGTGGAGAGGTTATTAGTGATACTGCGATCATAACTAAAATATTGAGTACACTACCTCCCAAGTACAGATCTCTACGCCAGGCTTGGATGTCACTCGATACTCAGAATCAAACTATAGTTAATCTAACAGCTCGCTTGTTAGATGAGGAGGCCAGCTTGAATGTAGAAGAAGAGAATGAGACTGCTTTATTAGTGGCAAAACAAAGTACAAAGAAGAGAAACATTCCATTAATAAAAACACACAATGAATTAAATGAAAAGTCACATCGCTTCATATGTTACAACTGTGGGAAACGTGGTCATTATGCAAGAGATTGTCAAGCCCCTAAACAAAACCATAAGCAACAAAGCGAAAGGAATATGTTAGCTTTCAATGTAGCAAATACAGATTTGAAAAATAATGATGAAGGTTTACGATGGATATTAGACAGCGGTGCCTCAGCTCACATGTCTTATAAACGTGAAAACTTTGTTGAATTGTATGAGTATACAGGATCTCCACTGAAACTAGGAAACCAAGAAGCTTTAGAAGTGATTGGCCAAGGAAATATTTTGATAGACAAGTGTGTCAATGGACAGTGGGAGACAAGTATCTTGAAGAATGTTCTTTATGTACCTAAATTGAGAAGAAACCTATTCTCCGAAGGAGTAGTGACAAGACAAGGATATAATATTGTAAAAAAACATACTGATGCTTTGATTTACAAGGACAATAAAATAGTGCTATGTGCATCTTTACAAAACAACAATTTATATGAGTTAAAAATTAAAACAATTGAAAATCCAGTGTGTAATGTAGTGCAAAAATTAGACCTTAAAACATGGCATGAACGTTTGGGACATTTGAATGTTAAAGAAATACAGAAAATGTGCAAAAACAATGTGATTACTGGTGTGGACTTATCAGACTGTGACAAATTTGTATGTGAGGGTTGTGCTTATGGCAAGCATGCTCGTCAACCATTCCAGAAATCAAACCGGGGACCACAGCAACCAGGTGATGTTGTATACAGTGATGTTTGTGGACCACTCAGTGTGCCTTCCGTTCAAGGTATGAAATATTTTGTTATCTTTAAAGATGCTGCTACAAGTTTTAGGTATGTGTACTTTATAAAGAATAAATGTGATGTGTTAAACTGTTTTAAAAAATATAATTTAATGATTAAAAACAAATTCTCACATAGTATACGCATATTACACTCTGATAATGGTAGAGAATACTTAAGCAAAGACTTTAAAGAATATCTTGACAGTGAGGGTATTTCTCATGAGCTCACTGCCCCTTACACGCCTGAACAGAATGGCCGGGCAGAAAGAGAACTTAGAACAATAATGGAAAGTGCTCGATCCATGCTTTATGCTCGTAATGTACCACTCAATCTATGGGCAGAAGCTGTTAATTATGCTGTTTATATATTGAATCGCACATCCTCGAGTCAGACACCAAATATTACACCTATAGAGTTGTGGAGTGGTGTAAAACCTAGTTTAGATCATGTCAGAGTATTTGGATGTGAAGGGTATGTTCATGTGCCAGATCAGCTGAGAAAGAAGCTTGATTGTAAAAGTCAAAAGATGATGTTAGTTGGGTATGATAACACAAACTATAAAATGTATGATTTAACCACCAAAAGAATTACAATATCAAGAAATGTCATTTTCAATGAACACAAAAGTCCAGAATTAAAACAGAATAAAGCTCAAATTTTTATATGTGATGATGATGATGAACAAAATGCTGAAGTTCTGATAGACAACACTGAGAATAATACAAGTGAACAGAATTGTGGAAGTGATGACAGCACACATACTACCTATGATGACAGTGATGAGACTTATGAACCATCACAAGAAATTGATCTCGCTAACATAGATAGATCAAATGTAACTTTGCGACCAAGAAGAAATAATTATTTTTATGAGGCAAATTTAATAGAGTTGGATGTACCTACAACTTATAACGAAGCAATTAATAGTAAAGAATGTAAATTATGGCTAGAAGCCATAAATGAAGAATTAGAAGCTCATCGTTCGAATAATACCTGGAGTTTTGTAGATAATCAAAATCAGAGAACTATATCATCAAAATGGGTTTTTAATATAAAAAGAAACCAAGATGGTCAAGTAGAAAGGTATAAAGCTCGACTTTGTGCCCGTGGTTTCACACAAATAGAAGGGATAGATTACAATGAAATTTTTTCACCTACTACAAGATATGAGTCAATAAGAATATTATTATCTATTTCTGCTGAATATAATTGGAATATAAAACAATTAGATGTTAAGACTGCCTTCTTGTATGGAGAGTTAGAAGAGGATATTTTTATGGAAATTCCAGATGGTGTGAAAGCACCAGAAAATAAAATATGTAAATTAAACAAATCCCTGTATGGCTTAAAACAAGCATCCCGATGCTGGAATCATAAATTTACAAATTTTTTATTGAAGTTTGGTTTTGTTCAGTCACAAGCAGACAATTGTGTGTTTGTAGGTAACTTTAATGGTATTAAAGCTTTGTTAATTTTATATGTAGATGATGCTTTAATTATGTCTAAATCAAATGCAATATTAAATCAAATTGTAAGTTACTTAAAGGAAGGATTTAATATCAAAGAGTTAATTTTAAATCGTTTTGTTGGTTTAGAAATTGTAAAAAGTAATGATTGTGTTTGTATCAATCAAAAACAATATTGAACAGTTAATAAATAAATTTAATATGAGTACTGCACACCCTTGTAATACACCGGTTGATGTAAATATTCAGTTAACAAAAAATATTGATAATGGTCAGATTAATTTTCCTTACAGGGAAGCCGTAGGGTCATTATTGTTTTTATCTACAGCAACTAGGCCAGATATTTCATATGGTGTAAATATGTTAAGTAGATATATTAATAATCCAAGTGTACATCATGTAAATCAAGTTAAGAGAATAATTAGGTATCTTATTAAAACTAAAGATTTATGTATAAAGTATCAAGGTCATGAAAACTTAATTGGATATTCAGATTCAGATTTTGCTGGGGACTTAGATACAAGAAAATCAACTACTGGTTATATTTTTATGTTAAATGGTGGGCCTATATCTTGGTCTAGTCAAAAACAACCTTGTATTGCCTTATCAACAACTGAAGCTGAATTTATGGCTGGGTGTGAAGCCGCCAAAAATCTATTATGGTTAAGACAGTTTTTCAAAGAAATTGATATAAGTCAAAATTGCACAACTCTGTGTATTGATAACCAGAGTGCTATCAAATTAATAAATAATCCTGTTTATCATAAAAAGACAAAACACATTGATGTTAAATTTAATTTCATTAGAGAAAAGGTCAAAGAAAAATTAATTATTATTAAGTATGTACAAAGTTCACATCAACTCGCAGATATTTTAACAAAGGCTCTACCTACTATTAAATTTGTTTGTTTAAGAGATGAAATATTGTCAAATAAGTAAGTTGTTTATTATTATAAAAGTTTTTTTTAAACAGGCAAATATAAATGTTTTCTTTTGTATAAAATTTAGTGGGAGTATTGGATTAAATTTTATTTTATTAGTTGGCTGTATGAAATAAGTGTTTGCCTGTTTATTTTTATATTGTAACACCTGATGGCGTCACTACTTTAGTTCCTTCTTCCGGTTTTGTAAAGCAAGCGTCTAGCGTCTACTTACTGTGCAAGTGTGAATATAAATAAACTTTTCATTAGAAGTCTTGTTTATTAACCTAATCTCAATAAATATAAAACTAACATGATTAATCTTAGACTTACTCGTATTTATTAAATACACTATCAATATTATGTATATACCATACATATTTTAATATGTTATTACTATTTTATGTAAAAAACGCACGTCGATTAGTCACCTACGACGAAAGAATATCATTTTAAATAAAACTTTTCGGATTATTTCGCGGTTTTTTTTTTTGATTTTGGTTCCCGACGTTTCGAATGCTTTACAGCATCCATGGTCACGGGAGAGACTAAAGTTATAGACGTCCCAAAGGCTATTTTACAAAAATGATTTCAAAAATTCGAAACTGGCACCAAAGTATCTTACAATATTTGTTGATTTTTATCTCTCAGCATTTAAAAAAAAGTATTATAATTAAATATAGCAATATTATTTATTTAATTTTAGCTGTCTGTAGGAGATGCCAGTGGCGTAGAATGCGAGATGCCTAGTGAAAGCGTGTTGTATGCTTTCGATGCGTTGCGAGTGCACGTTATAGTAAGGATTCCAAAATACACTAGCAAACTCGAGACAGCTCCTTACAAAGACATTGTACAAGATAATTTGCGAGAAAGCCCTCTAGTATTACGTACATTTAATAAAACTGAGAAACGGTGCAGCTTTTTAACAATATTGTTATACATATATGATATATTTTTTTTTAATGTTTTTACTGTCTGTCAATAGTAACTTCTAAATACTCGATTTCTGGTAACTCTTGCTCTTGCAATATCGCATTATCAAATAAGTAGTCTAATACAAGCGGATTTTCTTCCTTGTGTATTTTAAATGAAAACCTTTATTAACGGTAAGAGTCATTCTATTGATGTCGCACCAATCTTTAATTCTATTGATCTTCTTGGATTAACTTAACATCGTCGACCATATTTGTTATTTATAAGAAATACTTTTTATCCCGCCTCGTTAAGTGGGTGTAATATACTTATTTCATGGTAATCAATGATGTCAAATTTTATATTTTAAAAAAGATACAATAAGTATATATGTATATTAGTAATCGGATTTAATATTAATAATAATTCATTAGACTACCTTAAAAACACATAGGCTTTTATTAAGGAACTAGTGACGAACCCAAACAAAACGAAGATAACTGTCGCTAGCTACTCATATACATAATATAGTGTAACAATAATCTTCGCTCGTAAAGCCGGAGCTACTATGTAATAGAGCACTTTAGAATGATCACGCACACAGAAATTGCCACTATACGCAGCCACCTTCCGACTTTCAGTACTAAAACGTACCGGGCTTACCTCTAAATCTTCTAAAGGAATTTCTTGCTAAGAAATTACATTAGTAATACCTTTTGTACAAACATTGTTTACTTTGTATGTAATTTTAAAAACTGTTTCTTTTACTGTTTAAAGTTTAAAGCATATGAGAATTTGCAAACATTTTTTATCAATTTACTAGCATTGCCCGCGGCTCCGCCCGCTTTCAGATGACCAAAAACCAAATTCTTAGGTTTTACATATCAGTATACTCTTATAATGCAGTTTTTGTTGTTTTTTCTCAGAAATGAGATATTTTCCCGTGGTAAAAAGTATACTATATGTTGACCCGGATAGCCAGCTATCATCATACCAAATTTCATCAAAATCCGTCCAGTGGTTTTCTCGTGATGCGGTAACAGACAGACAGACAGACAAAAATTCTAAAAACTATAGATTCTGACTCTGTAGCTATAATAATGTCTATTTCAATAAGATTTTCCAAAAAATATTTAATGTACAGATTCGACTTAGTTACAATTTTATTATATGTGTAGATGAGTATTTGTTTTTTCTTTTAACATTTGAAATGGTAGTCTGTTAAAAGTGAACTTTTCAGCTCTTATACGAAAATAATTTTCTTGTTAGGTAGGTACTATCTTAAACAAAAAAAAGTAAAACATTTTATCGAGTAAAAATACAAAAAGTCGTTATATTTTTGCTGTCCATGTTATTTATTATTATTATTCGTGACATGTGCTAGTTCCCTTGAGACAACCCCATGTGTCGTACCATAACCACTCATAAGTCACTCTCCGACCTATGAAACTATACCACGTCAGTTTATAACTGCACTACTGTATTATACATAACAATAGATCTGTTTGTCCGTTAATTACTTCAGCCACTGATGCGACTTAATCTTTAATGCACCGTCCACATCATTAAAATTTGCATCGATTGGACTCAAATTTCACACATTTCGTTGAATTTTGTGACCATCAACGCGTTCACGTTCGCGTAATTTAATTCCGATCGCCGTTCAATCTCAAATTTGTATGCGAAATTCTATAATTTCCTCGCATTATGACTTGGCATTTATTATATAGACACCCTATCTACATATATTTATAACTCTCAAAAATTGGAAAATCTCACAATACTGCACCGAATTTTTAATTTAATTTGAAATTTTAATTTTTAATTTTTAATTTAAGCGCTGCTTGTTATATAATTTTAAAATAACCAGGATTAAAGTGGATGAAAATGTTGTATAGCTTGACCCGGATAAATGCGCTCAATATTGCATTGGGTAGAGCACTTCATAGTCGCGAAACTTCGGTGACGCGCGCTGCATACTGCATGATCCTCAGTTACTTGCTAAAAACAAAAGATCTTACAAGGTACTCTTGAAATATTAATTTTAGTTAGTTTTTACTGCTTTAGATATTATGATCGGCATAATATGACTGTTTTGGCTTCTGTAATTAAATTTTCATTTTAACTTAAGGTAATATAGTGTTAATAAATACAATGCTTGAATACTAACTTGCTTCGCTTGGGTTCGTCCCTAGCTTGATTCCCCATACAAACTTTCATCCCCATTTTCACCCCCTTAAGGGATGATTTCCGGGATAAAAAGTATCCTATGTTCTTCCCAGGGTCTCAAACTATATATTTACCAAATTTCATCTAAATTACTTTAGTAAATCCAGAGATTACCCCATACAACGTCAGAAACTCACAATCTCACAAACTTTACCTCTTTATAATATTAGTATAGATGAAAAAAAAACCTAGTTCCTATATCTTAACCTAAGATTATGAATATGGAAATACTGTCATGTACGTAAGCAATAACATTTTTAAGACTTGACCTTTCTACAGATTGCTGTTTTTATGTATTCAGATTTTCTCCAAACAGTAAAATAAAATATTTCGTAGGTAGTAGATACATATGTATGTAAAGAATTGAATGTATGTATTTACCTATTTCTTAGAAATATATTTATTAGGTTCTCCTCCCGTGTCCGCCGTTTGATTAAAAAGTGAAAACGCTATTCAATATTTCCAATCTGGTATAAGAGTTTTCTTAGAACTAATATTTATCAAATATTAGTTCTAAGAAATACATTATAAGATGAGATAGGTATACTGAATGTTAAAACTTAACTTTTACGGTGAAGGTGAAAGTTTGGTGAAGACTTCACCAAACGCTGATAATAATACATATTTAGATCAATATTAACTTAAATTGTTTAACTTCTATGAGAATATTTTTACACATTACAAAAAAAGAAAATTGCAACGCGTCGAGTCGACGCTAAATAAATACGTAAATTGTACAACAGAGGTCCTTTATCCTCATAAAGGCTACAAAACATACTTTTAAAGCAATACAGTGCACGCGTTGCCAGTAAAAAACTAACAAACAGCGAACATAGAAAATTATTTCAAATCTCTCTTTATTCTATAAAAAGTTGAACAAAAGCGCACATCTCGTTTCACAGTGTTTTGAATTACGTTGTCGTAATGAATGAATAAATGTGAATAATGAGACGCTCGTGAAAGGAAAGAAATTGAATTAAATGGACTGCTATTCTACACTGCCACGTTTGATACAACAGGCAAGAGTCGTTCAACTCGCACAATTACAAAATGAATTAAAAAAATAATTCATATGTGAATATTCTCACTTAAAGTTAAAATTCGTTAGAAATTAAGTTTAAAATTATTACTAATACGAAAAACTTAAGATCTAATGTATCTATCCATCCTTACTCATTATGCGATCACCGCTTGATGTACCGGAAATAAAATTGACTTATAGCACTTTCGGGTCGTAGACGCTCTCTATGTAGCGTGTAGCGCTCGACTTAGAGGAGGGCTACTCCATCACCTCCTGTAGGTGTCGTAAGAGGTGACTAAAGGATCTAAGGACATCGCACCTTGCGTCCCTTGCTTGATGGCTGGCGAACAACAGCATTCCCAGAGAGGGTTGACGTCAGGCAGGCGGCCGGTTGGAAAACTTTTGCCAAAATCAATTAGCACTATGGACTTACTGCGCAACCCATGTAATTTGGGAAATAGACAGGGAGATGATGAGACACTATCTAAAAATCATTTTATAGTTACTCTGTTGTTGTGTAAAGGAAATACAACCCGAACAAGCCCACCACTAGTTTTTATTATATTTAATAATTAGATACAATAAATAGCACCTAGGGATAATAATATTTAAATGCGTAGAAAAAAATATGAATTTATTATTTTGTCTCGTATACCTCTATACATATTAGGGTTCGTCCCTAGCTTGCTTCCCAATACAAACTTTCATCCCCATTTTCACCCCCTCAAGGGATGATTTTCGGGATAAAAAGTATCCTATGTCTTTTCCAGGGTCTCAAACTATCTTCTTACCAAATTTCATCTAAATCAATTCAGTAGATCCAGAGATTACCTCCTACAACGTCACAAACTCACAATTCACAAACTTTTCCTCTTTATTATATTAGTATAGACAAGATTAAATGGCATTGCAGATCTTCCCTACAGCGTCGAATCAGTCGTGTTAAATGGCGACTCTCGCCCGAAAGCATTACACTTCTGCAAGCCTGTATTTCTCAGGACGGATCGCGTGCCAGAAGTAACTTTACAATACTTATATGGTACACGTACAACACTCTAGTATCGACCAAACTGACAAGCCCTCTAAGATCTCCGCTACTTACCTCATTTTGGTCAATGCGTCAACTAAAACTTGAACACCGTTCAATGCCTTGGAAAAAAATATGTATTAATTTAATTATAGAATTTGTTGAAATCTACCAGATATGTGTTTTAGGGGCACCTTTTTTTTAATCTAATCATCGATGATATTTAAAAAGCCCAAATTATTATCAATATTTTTTTAAATATCTATTATTATATTATGTACCAACGTATAAATAAATTCTTATAAAGTGCCACTCTTAAACACATTAGTGTAAGTAGAAAGTTTATAAATCAAAAGGTGCAAGACAGGCGAGTTGGGTGACCTAAAAGCAACATCTAGGGCGCCTTTTAGCTCGTCTGTCTGCAGAAATAGACACACCGATATCTTGTATCAGCGATGCCAATTTTACCCGTCCTTACGTCAACTGGGAGTTGCGAAGGGTATCGCAATGCTTTCTGCTCTTGCTGATAGTAAAATTACGGTATACAAATAAATATTTCAAAGTATGCTTTCAAATACGCTACGTGCTTTACCCAAAAGTATTATACTCGTAAGACTTAAAAATAGCAGGTATTCAGGCAAGTAGCAAGAAGGTATTTTAGTCTATTTTAAATGATATTTTCACCAATTGTGAACCGATTTTTATGTTTCAATGTTTATCGTGTTTCAATAGATTGTAAAGTTAAAGTGCTTTTTTCAATTCATTTCAATTTTTTATTATTAATGGCCCCGAAGCGTGACAGTTGAGCACAGATATGATAAGCAGAATGTTATATTTTAGCGAATATGTGACATCCATACTTCTATATCCATATTATTTACTATTGATATTATAAATGTGAAAGTTTGTTTGTTTGTCCTTCTTTCACGTCGAAACAGAGTGACGGATTGGCGTAATTTTTTCTGTAGATAATTGGAGGGCTGGAGAGTGACAGACTACTTACCGCGGGAGATTATCTCATTCCCACGGGAAAACTCGTTATAATACAACCCAAAAAAATATTTATGATCAGAATTACTTGAAACTTGGTATTAATAAAGCTAAATTGAGCTAAATCCAATACATATGGAATAATTTTGGAATCAAAATTATTTCAATTATATAAGTGTCTGTGTATCCTTAAAATTAATTGTTTATTTAAAATAAATTCATATGTTCTAAACACTTTGAATATCTACCAATTATCAAAAAAAAATATTCAAAGTTTTTACTATATTCGCTTTTATCAAAACTCACGACTTTATCAACCGTAGACCTAAAAAGTTGTTGACCTTCTAAAACAAGTTGCTAATCTATACTAGTATTATAAAGAGGTAAAGTTTGTGAGTTTGTGATATTGTGAGTTTGTGATGTACAACATCACAAACTGTAATCAATGGGGGTAATCTCTGGATCTACTGAACCGATTTAGATGAAATTTGGTAAGAAGATAGTTTAAGACCCTGGAAAGAATATAGGATACTTTTTATCCCCGAAATCATCCCTTAAGGGGGTGAAAATGGGGATGAAATTTTGTATGAGGAATCAACCTAGGGACAGACCCGAGCGAAGCGAGGGTGAGTCGCTAGTTTAATGATAAAACAATTGGCAGGATGTAATTAATGCACGAATAAAAGAAAGAGTTTTCAAATAATATATTTTTAATTACTTATTTTGAATGACGTGATATACCGCTACTATTTATGTGAATTTTTATTAGTACTACTTTCCAATTCAACTCAATCGATAGCTGCCTGTTTCTCATAGCAGTTTACATTTGTGAAAAGTTTCTATTGAACAAATAGCACTGTAATTTATTTTTATTTTCTATTTCGTAATTCGTCTTTAACATCGTAGAAAAAAATACTAAAATTAATTTTAAACTTAATACCAATTTTATTTTTTCTAAGTTGTGAAGATTGTGCTTAAAGCCTTCGAGGAGCTCATTTCGTCGTTTCTATCCGTTTCTTGGGCAATTTTATTACAAAAAATACAAGCAGGCTCTTTCTAAGGTTTTATGTTTTCCAGGTAATCGACAAACGATAGAATGAAGTCTTGGGGTGAATCGCTAGGGCGGAATGCCTCGGCGCATTTCTATGGAGTGGGGAGGCTTCGGAGAGCGCTGCTGCTGTTGGCCGCCGCGGCGTGCACCGCTGCCGCCGTGTTGTATTGGCGGCAGCAGACCGACGACTCCGCTCATCGACCCGCGCATTCCTTATATGCGTAAGTTTACTGTTTATGACCTTTTATATTAACACTTTACTTTTTTACTATGAATCGTAAATATATACATATAATAAAATTCTAACTGAGTCGATTCTGTACATTAAATATTTTTTGGGAAATCTTATTAAAATAGTAATTATTATCGATACAGAGGCCGAATGTATAGTTTTTAGAATTTTTGTATGTCTGTCTGTCTGCATAGAGTATGTAACCATTTTTGGAAACGCATCACGAGAAAACCACTGGACAGATTTTGATGAAATTCTGTATGGTGATAGCTGGTTATCCCGGTCAACATTTAGGATACTTTTTACTGAAAATATTTCATCTCTGAGAAATCTATACTAACCGTTAAGACTCGTTAAAATCGCTAGTTATCTTATAAGACTGCCACCTGTTTATCGTACGTAGATAATACTCTGTGAGAAATATCCAGTCAAATTCTAACAACTGCTACATATTTTATGTGTTCATAATATTAAGATGATCCTTTTTTCTATTTGTTTATTGTTTTGTTCTTATTTTACGCAATAAAGCAACGGATTGACATTGTTTATTTCTATGAGATTCATAAAGTGATTATTATATTACATATGGAAAATATAAATAATGTTAAGTATGTAAATAATAATTAAAAAAGAAATTTAATAAATTCTTTTATACATATGATAAAAAGTACCATCCAGTATGATTACCACCATAATGGAAAGTAATTAAGCATTTATCAATATATGTAATATATTCATGATATGTAACGTTACGTGGTATTTTTACATTTTTGCTATTTATTTTACAAACCAAAATGCCCTAATCTAAAAAATATAAAAATATATATAAAAAAAATATAATTCCCATTACAGAGGCATAGAGCCGCAGTGGACATGGATTTGTCGACACGATCGTTGCGAAAGACTTCTGGCATCCGAAACTAATATACTACAATCTCTACCCACTTGTAACATGCTGTGTGCATCCACGCAACTCTGGCCTCAGCCCACCGGCCCGGTGAGCCTCGCTACCGCCGCCACACACGTGCGATCCAACAGTTTCTCTCTACAGATACTAGCATCCCCTTCCCGAGATGTCACAGACCATCTTAATGAGGCGTTTAGTTTAATGCGTGACGATTTAAAAACTCTAGAACGAAGCAGTGGCATTGAAAACAGGCGGAGTGATAGCGCTGTACGGGATGTCTTAGTTCGTGTCGCCGTCAACGGCAGCGGAGACCCTCGCATGCGACAAGATACAGATGAAAGCTACAAATTGGTGCTACGACCGAGCGGAAAATCTCTCATCGTCGATATAACCGCGCACTCGTTTTGTGGAGCTCGACATGGATTCGAAACGTTGTCACAACTAGTTTGGCTAGATCCTTACATAGGCTCCCTTCTAGCTCTTGAGGCGGCGACTGTAGAGGACTCCCCTAAATTCCGATACCGCGGACTTCTTCTAGATACAGCGCGAAACTACTTTCCCGTTAAAGATATTCTACGCACAATTGATGCAATGAGCGCGTGCAAAATGAACACGTTTCACTGGCATGTCAGTGATTCCCAATCTTTTCCTTTGAAATTGAACAGTGCGCCTCAATTGGCGCAACACGGCGCGTACGGCCCTGGGGCAATATATACTCCACAAGACGTCCGGCTTATTGTTAGAAAAGCTCGATTACGTGGTATACGAGTCTTAATAGAGGTAGACGCACCCGCGCATGTCGGCAAAGCCTGGACCTGGGGTCCAGTCGAAGGTCTTGGTCATCTAGCACACTGCGTTGAATTAGAACCATGGAGTACATATTGTGGGGAACCTCCCTGTGGACAATTGAACCCTCGAAATCCTCACGTGTACTCACTTTTAGAGCGCATTTACGCAGAAATTATTGAATTAACAGGTGTCGATGATATATTCCATCTCGGTGGAGATGAAGTATCAGAACGTTGCTGGGCACAGTATTTTAATGACACTGATCCTATGGAATTATGGCTTGATTTTACCAAACGTGCGATGCAGTCGTTGGAACGAGCTAATGGGGGCAAGCTTCCCGATTTAACGCTTCTGTGGTCTTCTCGTCTAACTCACACTCCTTATCTGGAACGCCTCGATAAAAAACGGTACGGGATACAAGTGTGGGGTTCGTCACGATGGCCGGAATCACGCGCTGTATTAGACGCAGGTTATCGTTCGATATTGTCCCACGTGGACGCTTGGTATTTGGACTGCGGGTTCGGTTCCTGGCGAGACAGTTCCGACGGACACTGCGGACCGTATCGGTCGTGGCAGCAAATATACGAACATAGACCCTGGTTTGAAGAAATGCCCGCGTTAGCTACAGGGATGGAACCGTGGAGGATTGAAGGGGGCGCAGCCTGCCAATGGACTGAACAGTTGGGCACAGGAGGCTTAGACGCCAGAGTATGGCCTCGGACTGCAGCTCTCGCGGAACGTTTGTGGTCAGATCGTTTAGATGGAGCCACCGCAGACGTTTACCTTAGACTTGACACACAACGATCTCGCTTAGTCGCTAAAGGAATTCAAGCAGCTCCTCTCTGGCCTCGATGGTGCTCTCACAACCCACACGCCTGCCTTTAACCGGTACAAATTATCTTGGGAGGTAAATTAGGTAGTTATTAACATGTTAGTTGTTTGCGTTAGCTGTCTCAAAGAACCCATCCTTATTGAGCTTTCATTGTTTCTGTAGTTCGTATTAGTGAAAATGTTAAAGACATAATACCTAACTTTTAATTTATATATAATTTAAATCGATGACCTTTCTGTACATAATATTCATAAACATATTTAGCATACGAGTAGATAAAAATCTGTACAGCTTTGTATTATTATACTTAGAGAAAACTTAAATCTTAATACTTGTAGCGTAAGAATTTATGTACTTGTGTAATAATACTAAAATGGAAATATTTAAATTATACCTATATTATAGTTATTGTTTAGATAGGATATTTATTCGACTGCCACTTTAGTCACAACTTTTACGCGATATCCTCTAAATAGATAATAAGTGGTGCGTGTCATATAGCACACATAATTTTTATTGTTTTTTTTTTTTACTTTTAGTTTCGTTTTTATACACAATTTATGAAGTAATTTAAAAGATAACATGCATATCTTAGCAGAGGAGCCAAACACTGAGTGTAGTTTAGGAAGTAAACGAATGAAGAGATAAAGAACTGTGTTCTACAGATTAAAAATAATGTAAGGGTTGTAGAAGTTATATTTAATTTACGCACGATTTTACCTTTTCTTATGGAATTTTTAACTTGCTAATGTTATATTTTGCATAATTAAAATTTGTGTTATTAATGAGATAATATATTTTAAGTGTTGCTAGCATGACAAGATATTTAGTAGTAATTTATTAAAGAAAACATTTATTCTCTACTCGTATACGTACATACTAATTAAATTGAAATACAGAACTCGAAAGTTATTGTTTACATAAGTAGTTAATTGTAATAAATGTATAAAAAACTTGGCTATTCCGAGGCTATATCACACTTAACCAAATTTATCAGCTATCGCGAAACCTTATGGAATAGTTAAAATTATGTCATATATAATTTTTTTTTATTTAATTTATTTTATACTTAACAAATTGTTTTAATGCAGAGTTATGTGGAGGCAAAAAGTATTTTATTACATATATTTTTATTGTTCTGGTAAATAAGAGCCACCGCAAACTGCAGACTCTATGGTATCGGTTAAATTTTAAATATCTGGTAGTAAACTGATTGGCAATATGCCGATAATTTGCCTACAGATTAATTTAAATAATCTATACTAATACTAATTTTTGGAGTAATTTCTGGATCTACTGAACCGATTTAGATGAAATTTGGTAAGGAAAAAGTTTGAGACCCCGTGAAGGCCTTTTAATCTCGGAGATCAACTCTTAAGGGGGTGAAAATGGGGATGAAAGTTTGTATGGGGAAGCAAGCTAGGGACGAACCCGAAGGTGAAGCGAGAGTGAGTCGCTAGTATGTGATAATGAAATATCCAGTGTGCGGAAGCTCTAACTGCACTGCTACTATACTATTAGAGCGGTAATAATTCACATTAAACATGTAATGTTATTATGAAATAAGAACTTTAAACGCTTCCTCTCTTGTTTTAAGTTGCGAGAATCTGAAAAGACATTATTATTAAAAGATGTGACCTTTTTGCCTCTACAACGCCAAATTAAAAAAAAACAACTTATATATATACAATTTATTTTGTATATTTTTGACAATTAAATTTTTAATTTGGTACCTATAGCGTATTCAATCAGAATTAAAATCAATTCGTTCAAATAATACATATGTTTTGTGGATTATGTTATTGTTTATATGTATACCATTGTTAAATCTATGTATTTGTAAATAGCACACGTTTGTATATGACGAGACACTTGAGATTATTTTATAATTATTTGAGGACCATTTACACTTACGTCATTATTGTTTTAATATAGATTTTTGTACAGATTATATTTTTGAAATAGCATTTTTACTAACAGCAATGTAATGTATTAACATCATTAATTTAATAAGAATTCACTGTCTTTGACCTCTAGATAGAAAGCTTAAGTCAATGGTTCACAATTATGTCACAAAAGGATAATCATTTACTTGTGTTGTCATATTTTTGTTTGTATTATAAAATTTTGTTATATATTTAAATTTATATTGTATTTATTTTACATCTTGTATCTTTATTTTTTTCTGCATTTTGACATAATTGAGTTCAAATTATCTACTAAAATACTCAACTACGCTACATTCACAAAATACTACGGAATACTTAATTTCGTACAGAAGACTTCTTCAGGAACAAATTTAAATAAATATAGACCTTGCTACAGTGCAATAAAGTGCAATTCAACTCGCACTAATTTCACGTATAAGGTGTCACTTTCTATCGTATTACACATCTCTTCTGACATGACGTTAGAATTGTTTGTAACAACCAGAGTGAAGTGTCACCCGTCTGTCATACATACTTTTATATATATATATATATATATATATATATATATATATATTAAAAATGGGCTTACATATGACCTTCATATTAGCTCGGAGGCATAGATAAGGTCTTAAAATTTTGCTCAGAAGTCTGTTAACACGCACCTTAAATATATCAGTCGGGAAACGCCTTTAGCGTATAACCTAAATTGCCACTAGATGAGAGCTTTAAGTTCCAAACCATTCATCATGAAAATTATTATTTTTGAGAACTCTTACTTATGACAGCATTTCCATTAAAATCATTACGCGATCGCCTATGTATGGATTTTTATAATGTGTCTAAATATAAAGTACGTCTTCTGTACATTTTACGTGTTCTGTGATGATAGTAGTTAGGATGAAACCCTTCAAACGATTGTAAATGGCCCGTTACATTCGTATGTATATTGTTATAGTTTATATGTCATTGAAGAGCTACCCAAAGGCTTCCCACGCACTACGCGACCATCATATAAAGTTGGACGACCATGGTCTCAATCTCGGTCATGGTCGCCTAGTGCATTTGGGCCCTTAAGCCGATTGATAGAGAAGTATCTGTGTTGTTTTATCTATTGTATAATAGAATAATTTGTTAAATTCTGAAAAAAATTAAATTATGTAATTTTGAATTTAATTGAAAATAATCTTGTACTAAATTAGTTATATTATTGTCCTAAATTCATTGATAAATTAATTTATTATTATTGTATAATAAGTACTTATACTAAATACCATTTTGGTGCGCGTAAGACATTGAATAATTAGCGCACATACATTAGCTTAATATTGTCTAAACCAGTGAAATTTAATCCAATTTTTTCCATATAAAATTCAGTGTGTTGTTTTGATCATGAAATTATTTTCTTCGGTAGCCCTAATAATGAAAACTGGCACAATTTTGTACATTTTATAAGTAATGTTTGGTGCTATAGTGATTTTGTGGTGTACTTCTATGAAATAAATAAGCTGAAACATAATATGTGGGATTTCATTGAAACAAAACTCCATTAAAGGCAATAAATTAATAAAATGTAATAATTGACCAAATTAAAATATAAGGCAAGGTGGGTTGTAACAATACATGGTTATGTTTATTTCTTCCTAAACATGTTGCTAAGTCTCCGGCTACGCGGAGTCCCCTGTAAAGAAAAAAATATATTACAAAAACAAGTTTCATACATTTCTTTAGTTCGTAAAAAATAACTCTGTTAGAACCAAGATATATAGTAAAATTTAGTAAGCTCCTTTTCAGTAACCTTAATTAGGTTTATATTATTTGAATGTCATAGAAATAGGAATGAAAAAACATAAGATATAATGAAAAAATATTTAAAAAAGTTAAGATATATTCAGAGAAATAATTTTTTCATGTACAGGGATACAAGTAACCTGTATGTCATTCTCAGCTCATAAATATTTGTAAGCAACAAATTATAATCTGCAGCTTTGTTGTAGTGTGTGAAAAAGACAAAATAACAAAACGTAAAACCTAATCAATAATAATAATAAGTAATGTAGTGAAGTTTAGTATAAAAATGTACATATACAAATAATACCTCAGCGGTGTCGTTCTTGTTAGATCGGAACAGCGAGCGGATGCGCGAGGGCGTGGACGCCTTGCGGCCCGCGCCCGGCTCCGCCTCCACGCGCAGCGACTCGCGCAGCTCCGAGTCCTATACGTACGATATGTATTACTCATTTTTAACCTGATTTATTGCAGTTAAAAATCAGTTGGACGTAGTTATGCAAAATAGATCCAACCACAAGAATTTACTTTTAAGAAATAAGGGGTTTTAGTAAAATTGGTATATCAAAATAACAAGACCATAGTATTTTTTTTTTAAATTCCTCTTAAAAATTGAGTATTTTATCTACTTTCTGTATATAAGTTGATATGTAGATGCCATTTATAATAGTAACTCAAAAAACGGCTGGATCCATTGGGCATAACTACATCCAGTTAAAGAAGGAATCAGAAAAATCTCCATAAAATATAAAAAAATATCGTCCTTGTATGCTTAAAACCAATCTGACATGCCAAAAAAAAGCAAAAAAGGAAAGTACAAAATATCATGATTAATGGCAAACCATGAAGAGTAGAGCCCTCACTAGAAAACTGATTCGAAACGATAATTTGATCCACCCATAAATCTGCTAAAGTAGAACTAGATACATGTATATAATTTATATTAAGATAGTTTTATTTAAAAAACATTGTTAGTAACAAGTGAAGCTAAAAGGAACGAGTTAAAGAGAAGATATTTCCATACCGTAGCGGACAGTCTGCCGGCCTGCTTGCTCGGCGTGGGCGGTCCGGGCTTCTTATACGCTGTTATACCAACTTCTTTTCTTTGCGGTTTGCCTCCGAGAGACATCGTGCCAGTACACTGAAATTACAATAAACGATGTAAAAATGTCGAAAATGGTATATATTTTTTTTTGACATTTTAAATACAACTATTTTACGAAAGCTTTACAGTAAATATAATCACGGAAGCTTCATTTAAAATTTCAAAACTAAATTTAAAAATATATAAGAAATAATAATAACTTTTAACAAAACTGGAAAGTAATAGTTATATTATTTGATAAAAAAAACAAATGATCATACAACAAGTCTTTTTGGACGTGAAAAATTTTTCTTCGAAAGAGCTTTGATATAAAATGTGTGTATAAACTTATAATAGTAAAATAAAAATTATTTTATTATGTAATGTATTTTAAAAACTACTAGAAAACACGATGCCACTAGAACCTCAAATGGAACAGGACTGTGGGGAATTTGAAATACTTTCAAGGATGATTCAAACATCTCTATGGTAACGTAAAATAAACATAGACAAACCCTACAGTTCTTCTTGTAGAATTATCTATGATATACATGAAATTTACTTACGATTGTCACAAGATCGATACTTTTATATACAGTATGTATGTAGAGTATAAAAAATCGAACTGCCCAAAATCGACCACAATTCACAACAACAGTCATGAAATATATGGACACAATATTTATAACAGCATCTTCTAAAAAGGGGTGAATAAAATGATAAAAATTTGCCTATACACATATTAATATATAAAATATCAAGGTTACATTACATTATATTATATGTATTGAATACAAATACAAAAACTAGTTACGATAGCCTTTACAAACTATCAACTCTGCCCTTTCCCAAAAATCCATCTTTACCGTAATGCCTCTATAAACTAACCTAACCTTTATACCTGCCAAGATTCAGTTTTATAGGTCAAGTTTTCAAATATAGATAGTGAGCGAAAGCGTGATCTTTCACTTTATACACATACACCTACGCATAATCATACACTTACACCTATATACACATATACCTACACATACATATGCACATACACCTACGCATACAGATATAGCTACACCAATACTTACACATACAATTACACTTACGCATTAAGATACAACTAAAACTATGCCACGGTAATGTTACATACAGTAAGTATTCCATCTTCATACAAACGGTCGGAAATCGAGTTATACCTACGCGCGTCGCGTTCGGTATACAATCGGTAGACAACTGTCCAGGGCTGCCACATCGTATAATTGGATACGAAAATTGTATAAGGTGGTTATGTTATGTAACTTTTATAATTTGATACAAAAATAAACATTTTATTCCTTCCGTAACTTCGCTCATGTCAAACAAAAAAGTATCGAGACATCGTATGTTTTAAAAATAAAAATTAATTAATTAAATTAAAAATAAAAATTAAAGCATTTTTAATTAAACTTATTATCCGAATGCGAATTTTTTATACTATTAAATTTGACAATAAAGCTTTTCGTACGTCTCAGTCGAGGCGCAAATATTTTTCAATTTCAAATTTATAAGGGTCACAACCATCCTAATAAATTTGACATTTATTTTAATTAAATCTATGTTTTTTAAATCAAAAATATAATATTTGAAATCACAAAACTAGAAAGAAACTCAAGTAGGTAGATGAAATTAAAATACTGTAGGCGGGCAGCACTGTCGCGTGGTAACGTACCGCGCGGGTGTAGGTAATTATTTCAAGGACAGCGTCGAGTTACAATCCTGTATGTGTAACATTACCGTGACGTAATATACACATAGACCTACGTATACAGATACACCTACACACACATTCACATACATATTCAATATGATAGCTACCTTAATATCCTCTTCATGCAAGGCGGGCGCGAACTGTGTCTCAGCAGGGTAGGAGCTCTTGAGATGCGGCGGGCACAGGGAGTTACGCCAGCGCAGCTCGGACAGGCGCGGCGCGGGGTCGCGGGGCGCGGGCGCGGGCGCGGGGGCGTGGCGCGGCGTCGCCAGCTCGCGCAGCCAGCGGTTGTCGAACACCTCGCCCTCCTCGTCCGACATCTGGAGCGTCCGCCCGTTTTTGTCCTCTGCATCAAATATTACGTTTGAATCCATACTAATATTATAAATGTGAAAGTATGTTTGTTTGTCTTTCTTTCACGTCGAAACGGAGTAACGGATTGGCGTGATTTTTTGTGTGGAGATAGTTGAAGGGCTGGAGAGTGACATAGGCTACTTTTTGCCGAGGGAGCTAATCTCATTCCCACGAGAAAACAAGTTATTAATTATTATACAACCCAAAAAAAAGTTATGATCAAAATTACTCGAAACTTGGTATTAATGCTCTTTAATATAATTAAAGAGGTGTGTTAGCATTTATCGAAATTCATTTTATAATGGGGTAAAAAAGAGGATGAAAGTTTGTATGAAACCTACCTTTTTTGAGGTTTTTTTGTAGTTTTAGAGCGATCGAGGCCGCGGGTTCTGCTACTTTATTTTATAAATATAAACCCCCATGACTGGAGTACAAACATTCGTGGTCATCACACAAATGAATGCCTCCAACGGGTCTCGACCCCGCGACCGTTAGCACAGTAAGTAGGCTCACTACAAACTGAGCCAAATGTGTCGTCCAAATGAAATCATTAGTAATTTACTGTAGTTTATTGGGTGCGTCCCTTTAAGTATACGAGTGTGCAATTATTCTGCCATCTAGTTTAAAATATGGGTAACAATTTAAATCCAAATTTCTAATTTTAAAACATATAATTGTAAAATTTGTGAATGAAAAGGATAATAAAATGTGATTTAGAATTTATAATTAAATCTAGGATAGAACCAACCTCTCTGATTAGTAACGGGCAGCGATCGCAGGGAGTGCGCATCGGAGGGACGCGTGGGCTCTTCTAGAGGAGGGACGAGACCAGACTGCGAATACAATATTACGTTATAATTTATTACGTCGCTTAATGTTTTAACTAAAGATATACAGACTTCAAAATTACTTTAAATTATTCCACCGTCAGTGGTAGAATTTATTTCTGAAATTAATATTTGGTCCCTCGAGGTACAAATGAATATATAGTTAAAAAAAACCTAACGCTCGAATTCATAAATAGTTCACCATCTAAATTCTAGCCACTCGTTGTGACCTTAATGTATATAACCTGCGCCTCGAATCCGAGACTGTGACTGAATGTTTTATTGCAAAAAAAAAAACAGTAACTCGACTCGACCCGAGGTTCGAACCCAGGATATCACGACCAGCAGTCGTACGTACAAACTAACGGTTACCATAGCAACGTCAGTCATTACACATAAATAACTTACGGAGTGTACATGTTGCAAGGACATGAGCGAGCCAGATCTTTGTTGCTTCTTAAGCCAATCTGCCTCATCTTTCTTCACCAAGAACTTCTCACCAACCTTCCACAATTCTGTTGTCAAACTCTTTATATGATCCTCATACTCCTTTAGTTTGTCCTGCGTCTTTTGCAATTCCATTTCTAAACCGACTATATCCTTCTTCTGATTTTCCCTGAATACAGCTATTTGTTCTTGGTACAGTTGTTTCTAGAAAAAATAAAACACCGATTAATATATTATTTAACGAAAAAAATATATTATAAAAGCTATCAATCGACCAAAAACCGTTCCGCCAATAAACAAACATGCACAATGCACATGCATCAAATATAAAAACTAATTACCTTTTGGCTTTCAACTACTATCTATGTTTCAATGAACACTAGAAGCGTAAATAAAACAAAAAGCATCCATTAAAACATTATTTATTTGAGAAAACTTAACAAGCTCGAACAAAACAAGCCACACCAAGTATTAAGATTCACCAATCCATTTGTAAGTAGAACCACCACACTACTTGGTAAGCCAGTATCAAGAATAGTATGGGGAGTATACTGACCATTTTAGTTTTCATCCTATTTAGTTTATCCTCGTATTCCGCACGGACTTCCATCACAGTTATTGACTGGGTGTCTTTCGCGCCTTCGCCTTTCTGCGCTCTCGAAACGTCTTCTAGAAGCTTCTCGAATGACTTCTGTAACTCTTCTATCTGGACTTCTAGACTGGTGTTCTGGAAAGTTCCAGACACGAGCGATATTCTTTCGGCGTCGCTTGTGAACGCTTGCTTTATTTTCTCTGGGGAGACCGTTCTTGAGACGCACCTTTCGATCCACCTTTCCAAATTCATGGTACATTCTGCCAAATCCTGTATAACAGCTGCGTAACCCCTTTCTAATTTACACATTGTGACGTCATTTATTCTTCCATCTAAGCTCAAAATCTCGCGTCTAACCGTCCGTTGTATCGACACGACTCTACTTAGTTTTTGTGTGTACAAGTCTTTAACAGAATTAAAAGTTTTTATACTAACGGACAGTTCCGTTAGGAATTTCCTCATATTAATTATTTCGGATTCGCTTATTCTGTTAATTTCTGTGAGTCGGTCTCTTTCCTTTTGTAGAGCGATTTGCTTGTCGGAGCAGCGTCGTATATGCCTTTCTGTTGTTTCTAGAAAGTTTTCCAAATCTTCCATAGTGATGGTTCCAGCAGTAATACTGCGTCGGATGTCGTTATCACAGTTCGAATTGCCAAAGTTAGTCAACTCCTTCAATACAGTGTTAGATTTTATTTCAGCGATCCTCTTCAAGATGATCGCTTGATATTTGGCGGACACTTTTATTATTTGACTTGCTCTGTTTTCTGTTACACTCATTTTTGTCACTTGTTTTCTTAGTTCGGCTATTTCTTCATTCTTCTGGTGAACGATTTTTTTCAATTGACTCGATAGCTGTTGACAGTTTTCCTTGCTTAATTCCAACTCTTTAGAAACGTCTAGAAGGTTGTTCTCGGACTCTGCTATTATCGATTTTAGGTACGTGATGTCACTTTGTAGGGTTGTTATTGTTCGATTTTTGTCTTGGATGATCTTTTCCAAGTCAGTTATGGTTTTGTAGCTTTCTATAGAGGAGTGTGTGTCTGTAGAAGTGTTATCTACCTGTTGGTGATGATCTCGCTCTTTTTCAGCTTGTCCAGAGTATTTGGGACCCGATCTCTCCTGACTAGTTGCAGCAACTAGAAATTAAAAAAATGTTTGTTTTTCATCTAGTTATTGGTAGGCTAGTCTCATGAGTTAAGTTATATGTATAAAACAAAAGATTTTACAGAGAACATTTATTTACATCAAAAATCCAAATAAATGTGTTTTTAAAAGAATTAAAAATTAACAATATCATTACATAATTTATCAATTTTAAAAAGACGAAGAAATTAAAGTTAGTCATAAAAACTTACAAGTCTCTCTTTGACCAATAAGTTTGATTAGCTCTTCGTTTTCTTTCCTCAACATTTTAACAATATTATCTTCCTGATTTTTCTGATCCAACTCATTTTTTAAATTAAGTACTTCCGCTTGTTTTGAATCTAATACTATTTTAATATTATCTAGGTTTTGTTTCTCTTTATTGAGCTGTTCATGTAAAGTATTTATCATTACATCCTTTTCTTCCTTTACTTGGACTATAACTCTGTCTTTGTCATTTATAATTTCTTGTGTTTTTAATGTTAATGTTTTGATTTCTTCTAGAAGATTGCTAATTTCTTTCTGACGACATTCAAGTTCCATTTCTGCCTTCTGCTGGTATTCTTCTAAGATGGCGCATTTGTTTACCAAATTAACTTTCTCTTGTTCGTTGATTTGTTTTTGTCTATCTAATTCGAATTTGAGGCGTTTCTCCAGTTTTGCAATATCTGAAAAAAATATTATTCATATTAGATTTTATCGGCTCGACACAAATCGACGTATCTTTGAGCGCAAATATGAGCAGAGGTAGTAAATCACATAGGGACATATGAAATGTAGTGCCTATAAATTATGGGCAAACCAATTCGAATGTAGCTACTGGTGAAGACAAACGACATTGATCTCTTGAAAAAAGGCTATTGAAAGAGTCCAATGTAAAGAACGGCTTTTCTGTTTAAAAAATCTAGTTTTAATATTTTTAAAGGTAAAAACTTCGATTCTGTAATAACTATTGCAACTTATTTTACTCAATGACACAAAATATCTTATACAACATAAGCTAACTTTAAGGCAGGAATCGAATTTGTACAAATTTCACAAGATGAAATATCTCAATAATGTATATTAAGGAAAATGTAGAACGTGATAATATTATCTTTTAAATTTCAAGGGCTCTGAAGCAAAATAAATACTTAAGACTATTAGAAAACAACTCTTGAAAAATGTATATGTGATTATACTTGCTTTAAGAAAAACAATAACTCATAGGAATATTGTGGAAGTAAACATAATTGTTTACAAATAAGGCAAATGTAATTTAATTCAAGGATTTTTCAAATCATATGTATAGTATTAAAAGAATTATAGAAAAGAACTTGAGGCTTCATTGAGAAAAGAGGAAATTTTAATTTTCATATTATGATATTCTACAATCAATTCAATGTAATTTAAATTAAATAATAAACAAACCAATCAACATCAAAATTTATCATATGTATGATTTCTGTACAGCCAAAACATTTTTCTATAATTTTTGACCTGGGATAGGAAACCTTCTTAGAGAATGATATGTTCAAATCTAAACAGATAATTGACGTGTCTGTTTGTACCTGGAACTCAGACAGACAGATGTCTCAGATCGATCTCAGATGTGTGTAATGACTGAAACGGCTAGACTGATTTTGACCAGACTTTCACTGGTAGATAGCTAATGTTATAAGGAGCAACTTAGGCTATTTTTATACAAAAAAAAAGAATTAAGATTCTGTTAAAAAAGTCAAAACGAACTTAGGGACGCACCCGAGCGAAGCGAGGATAAGTTGCTTGTTTACTAATATAATAAAAAAAAATAGTGACCAAGTGCAACATAGAACAAATTCAAAATGTGTGAGAATTAAAAAAATATGTACCTAAATCTTTTTCATCTGCCATTTTGAGCAGTTGTATGTTTTCATTCTTCATATCCTTCAATACTTTATTCTCTTCCACAAACTTCTCTAAGCTTGCATTTAACTCAGTAATTTCATTTAAGCATTCCGCATTTTCTGCTTCTACATCTCTTTTGTCCTTTTCCAAATTTAATACTTGATCTTCAAGTTTCCATAAGTTTTCTTGCAGTACGCCATTTTCTTTTGATTTATTTACAACCTCAGTATTTAATACATTTGAACGTTCAACTAGTATTTCTAATTCATTTTTTAGCTGTTTCATTTTATTCACTATTTCTGTCTCATTGGTATCATTATTTCTTTTTATTTCATTATTTTTTTCTTCTAATAAAAGTATATCTAGAAAAAAATATAATTATTAGAAAATGATAACATTTATAAAAAAAAACAATAATAACAAACTTATTAAAATAAAAACTGTGAAGTCAAATTTTCGTAAATGTACATTTACGAACATTTGACGAGACTTTCACTGGCAGGAAGCAGATGTTATAAGGAGTACCTTTTAGCCTACTTTTATTTTAGAAAAAGAATTACAAAAAAATATTTATTAACTTTTATTTTAGAAAAAATACCGTACCAAGACTCACCCGAGCGAAGCGAGAATAAGTTGCGTATTATACAGAAAGCTTACTTACTTTGTTCATATTCTTTTGTTTTTATTTCAAAGGTTATTGTTTTTTCATTCAACTCTTTATTTTCACTCATGATTGTGTCTATACATTTGGCTTTTTCTACAACATCTTCTTCTAATTCAATAATTTTATTTTTAAGTACTTCAATTTGCGATGCAAAATCTTTTTTAATATCATCTTTTTCTTTATGTAAACTCATTAATTCCATATTTAGCTTTCCAATGTTATTGTTAAATAAATCTTCTTTTTCTTTTAATTTCATATCAAAGTTAGTTTTTTCATTATCAATTGTATCTTTCAATATTTTTACTTCATTTTCGAATATTTCATTAGTTTTTATGTGTTCAGAAATTGTTTTATTCAAGTTAATTTTTTGATCTTCCATCATTGATTCAATAACAGATACCATATTTTTAAGTACATTCCTTTCTGATTCGAAATCTGATATTAATTTTTCCTGATTTTGTTTTTGCACTTTTAATTCATCTTCTAGAGACTTGATTACTGAAACACAATGTTTATATTAAATAACATTTTTTCATGTACATTTGAAGATTAAAAAGCAAATCCATATTAATGTTATAAATGTTAAAGTTTGTGAGTACGGATGTTTGTTACTCTTTCACGTCAGAACGGCTGAACGGATCTGGATAAAATTTAGCGCACAGATATAGATTATAATCTAGAAAAGCACATAAGTTACTTTTCATCCCGAAAAAATGTACGGTTCCCGTGGGATAGACTTGTTTTTGTCTAGAGACAAACCCGAAGAGAAGCGAGGTTGTCGCTAGTGTTAGCTACTCTAAAGAAAAAAATCATTTTCTTTTAAATAAGTACCTGTATTGTTCTCTTCTACCAAATATTGTAACTTTTCCTTTTCATTCCTCACTGACTCAAGCTCCATTGTCTTTTCTTTCAAATAATTTGTGAGTTTAGAAACCATCATATTGAGATTATCAATCTGGCAATCGTATGTTTTCTTTAATTTTTCAGTTAAATTTTCATTATCTACCAATTTATCCTTCAGTGAATGCACTTTAATGTCTAACTGTTGTCTTAAGTCGTTTAACTCATGATTAAGAGAATCATTTTCTATTTTTAATTGTAGAATATCTTGCGTTTTCGTTTCGAGTAGACTGGTATATGTTTCTTTTTGTTTTGCCGTTTCTGTAATTTGATAATGTAAATAATATTTTAGGCTTATTAAGAAACTCTACAAATAAATTCTTAATAATTTACAACAATAATGATTCTGCCCACCCTTTTACCCCCACCAAGCCAAATGATGATTGGCGGACTTCACTCCTCATTCAAAAACTACAGTTTTCTTTCACCATAATAATATTTTAATCGAGTATATAATATGTAATCAAATTTTAAATATAAATAATATTAACTATTACATCATACATTTAAGTTAAATTATAATAAGTACCTACCTGTTCTAGAATCATCTATAACTTTCTTAAGATTCTGCACCTCAACTTCAAACTGAGAAATTTGCATTTCCTTTTGTTTAACCTTTTCTGATAACCCTTTGATGACCAAGTCTTCATCTTCTAAAGCTTTCTCCAAATTTTTTTTTAAATTTAACTGTGAACTCAAATCACTGATGATTTTGAAAATAACATCGCAATTTTCAAGTGTATTTTCTTTTTCAATACTATCATATTTTTCTAATATTTTAGAACATACTTCATCTCGCTTTATATTGTCGATAACTTTGTTTAAACCACAATTTAAGACAGTGACGATTTTTGAATTATCTTCCTCAAGCGCTGAAATAAATAAATGACTCGTACAAATAATAAATTTTAAAATATCAAATTATATGCTTAAATAAAAAACACATACTTTTGTAATCAGATTTCAAAGAATTTAAATCCAATGACATTTGCTTTATTTGTTCTTGCTTGTTGTTCACTTCAGAAGACCAAGTGTTCGTAATTTCCTGCACTTTTTCCTCTAAAGCCATATTTTCTGACTTTACTTTTTCACAGTCAAGTTTTAATTTATCAAGATGGTCCGTTAATGTTTCTTTTTCATTAACAAGAGCAGTTGTTTCTTGTGTTAATAATTCTTGGTTCTTTTCATATTCTAGCAGATTGTTTTTAAGAGATTCTATTTCAATGGTCAAATGATTATTCTCTTTTTCTAATATATTTATCTTTTGTTTCAAATTACTAATATCTTTTTGCAATTCTATATTCATAACATTTTTATGTTCTTTATCTTTCATAACATTTTCGATTTCCTTTGATAGACTATAAATTTTCTCTTCAAATTCAGTTCGGGCAATTATTTCTGCATTTAATTTGCCTTCTAATTCAGCTTTAACTATATTCAAACTTTCTTTTTCTTTTTCAGCTAACTCTTTCGAAAGTCTTTCATCAACTAATTGTTGAGTCAAACATTCTTTCTCTTGTATTAGTGTGTTTTTAATTTCTTGAAGTTCTTTTAATTGTAATTCTACTTTTCTTTTCTCCAATAACAGTGCTTCTTTTCCTTCATCTGCTATTTTTAAAATAGATTTTTCCTCCATGAGCTGTTGAACTAAAATTGCTTTCTCATTTAATAAACTATCTCTTTCATATATAACTTTTTTGTAACTATCTTCAATTTGATCTATCTTTTGAATTAAGGTCTGATTTTCTTGAATTAAGTATTGTGTTTTAGTTTCTACAGTTTCTCTTTCAGCTTTTTCTTTATTCAAATTATTTTTCAAAACGTCATTACTATGAGCACTTTCATTATAAGTATTTCTCAGACAATCTATTTCAATGGTTAATTTTAATTTCTCATCTCTTAAACAGTTTATTTGCGCATCCATAGCTTTTAAGATTACTTCTTTTTCTTCTAATTGTGTTTGATTAATAAGAGCTTTCTCTGTCAGTTCCTTGATTTGATCAGTTTTAATGCTAATTTGCTCTTGTATGTCAATTTTTAGTTGTTCCCAAAGAAGCTTTTCGCGTCCAAAATCTTTTTGTAAATCATTTAACATATCTGCTTTATTTTTAAGTTCTATTTCTAGAGTTTCGATCACTTTGTCTTTTTCTTTTATCATTAATTCATGTGTGCTGTTATCTTCTTCTTTAGTGTAGTGCAGTTGGATGTTTTCTTTTTGCAAAGTTTCAATTACTTGAGCATTATTATCAACAGCCATTTTCAACTCTTCCTGAGACTTTGTAAGCAAAGCTTCTAGATTTTGAACTTTCAAGCACAATTCTTTAATGTCCAAATCCTTTTTGTCATATAATTCTTTATTATTTGCACATACTTCCTCTATATTCAATTGTAAAGTTTTAATTTCTGCAATAAAAACAAAATATCATATCAGTTAAAAATCACAATAAAAAAATTGTCAATAAAATATAGTTAAAAATTATAAATTTTAAAAAAGATGCCAAAAAGTTACCTTCTACTTTGATTTTATTATCTTCCAATACATTTTCAAGTTCATTTTTCAATTTATCAATTGTCTCATTTTTTGCCACTATCTCTTCATTAAGCTCTTTGCTAAGATTATTGAATAGAGCGCTCTTATTCAAATGCTCTTTTTCAATGTTGTCTTTGTATACTTTAACTTGTTCCAGCTGTTGAATTAAAATCATCTTTTCATTATCAATATGCGCCATCTTTTTATGTTCACTTTGTAATGTCGAATGTAGCTTCTCGATATCTAGATTTAATTTATCAATTTGCAAATCTTTGGATTGAATAGTATTATTTGATGTCAATTGAAGGTCCTTTAAAGTTTTGTTCATGTCATTTATTTTAGTTACTAGTTTGTTGGTTTCCATGTCATAATCGATTCTTACATTTTCTAATGTTTTTGTTTTCTCTGATAGATTATCTTCTAAATTCTTTATAACTGAAAAAAAAAAACAATACAAAATTTTTACTAAATATCGTGTGTAAGATTTTGATTTTGAAAGGGTTTACTTACATACCTTTATAACGCTATATATATAACCAAACCCAAAAAAAACAGCTGGAAATTCGAAAAGCTCAGAAATGTTTATTTTGTATCTATGTATGTATAATATAGTCTATCTATTCCATACTAACCGTTAAAACGTACCTAGGAATGAACCCGAACGAAGTGGAGGCGAGTCGCTAGTTAAATATATTTTTACGTTTATAAATATTAATTCAATAAATATCAAAATAATGTAACATAAAAGATAACAACTTACTTGTTTCATTTTCCTTAGCTTTGTGAGATAATGTTTCGAGTTCCATCTGCAGTTCAGCAACAATGTCATTCTTTTCCCTTAATGTCACAGCTAAGTCCATTTTTTCTTTCTCTACACAATCAAATTTTTGCTTTAAATCATTTTTCTCAGATCTTTCAAGTTTTAATTTAATTTTGAATGAATCAATAAGTTCATTCATTTTAACACGTTGTTCATCAAAATGAGTTTTTGCTTCATCCAAATCCTTCTTTGTCAATGTTATCATTGAATCTTTTTCATTGACATTTATATTTAACTGTTCAACAGCATTTTTTAATTCAGTACATTTCTGTTTTAGATTCTCACTACCTTCTTTTTCTTCTGCCAATAATTTTTCCAAATCTTGCTTATGTGCAATTGTTTTAGTCAACTCAGAGTTACATTGACCTATATCTTCAATTAATTTATCATTAGCAACCTTTACTTCTTCGAGTTCATTTTGGATTCCAATTTTGTACTCAATTTCGTTTTGCAATTGGCTCTTTAAGGCATCTACTGTAGCATTGATTTCATCTAAATTGTATTGTAATTTCTTTTTTTCTTCATTATTAATAATTTCTTGGTTCTCAATATCTTTAAGAATTTTCTCAATTTTGACATCACGATTTTTAAGTTCAACTTTCAGTTTATTGTTATGTTCTTCTAAAATTTTACAATCTTCATTAGATTTCTCAAGACAAGAATTTACATGTTGTAAGTCTATATTTAATTTTTCATTATATGCTGTGTATTGCTGTATTTCTTGCTGAAGCTCTGAAACTTCTTCTGCTTTTTTTCTCAAATCATTTTCATAAGCTTGCAGTTGAGTAGTTAAATTTGTTACATCATTATTATATTTATTGGATATTTCTTTTTCCTTTCTTAAGTCACATTGTAGAATTTCAATCATTTCACCCTTTTCAAATATTTTATTTTGTAATTCAACCAATTCATTATTTCTGTTAGAAACTTTTTCTTTTAATTTCATCATTTGTTTTTCATATTCTTCTCGCATATTGTGTTTAGAAGTTTTTTCAGAATCAATATCAGCTTTGAGATCTTTAATTATATTTTCAAATTTAGTGATCTCATCGGATAAGCTTTGTAATAAAGACATTTTTTCCTCCTGTAGAGTTTGAATTTCCTTCATTTTAGAATCAATAATCCTTCTAGAATTCTCGCCGGTATCTCGCAATCGTTGTTCTAGTTCGTTTACTTCATTATTTAACTTGGTGACTTCATTATCGTAATGTAATTTTAACGCATTTTTATCTTCTATTTCCTCATTGATACGATGTTTTAAATTAAAAATATCAGTATCCTTTTCTGCAATAATATATGTCAAGTTTCGGTGGTCTTCTTCAGACTTTTTTGTTAAGTCATTGAGTTGATCCTAATAAGAAAAAAGTTTTTTATTTTAGTATAATTTACATTCAATATTTAATTTTCACAAAAATACCAATAATTTACCTGCAACATCTGCATCTGCTGCTTTAGAAGGACTATTTTGGCGCGCTCTTCACTGAGCTGAACTTCTATGACATTAGCACATGCTTCACTGCATACGGCTGAATAATAATAACAATATGAATAATAATAACACTCCTCATTAAAATATTGTAGGCTGTTTTTTTAAGAATATTTTTTTTTAGTTTTTAGTATTTTTGCATTTTTTGTGTAACGTAATAAGAACGTAATTTGTATGAAGAAAGTTTTTTAATAACATATTCGATTAAGCAAAACCGCTTGACCAATTTCGAAACAAAAAAAAATCTAAATCTGTTCAGGCGTCTTCGAGTAATTGGTGAACATACATAAAAAAAAGATTCTGACAAATTGAAAACCTCCTCCTTTTTGGAAATCGGTTAATAAAACTATCTTTTCGGATTATTTTGCGGATTTATTTTGAGTTATAGCTCTCGACTTTTCGAATTCTTTTTAGCAATCATGGTTGTGGGAAACTGGAAAGTATCTCCCGAGTAAAAAATATTCAGTGATATATGTAAAATATTTTTCATAACCAACACTTACATGCATTGTGCGGTAAAGAATGCGCACTGACATCCAAATCGTCGCATTCTAGCTGACTTGAGTCGAGGCCGTTCAATCTGTTGTGTTGTCTCAGTTCTGTGACCAACTCCTTTAGAGAATGCACATGATGACGCTCTGTTTCCAACTCGTCTACTAATTGTGCCACTCTGTTAGACTCTTGTTGGCTTATTGTGAACCATTTATCTCGTTCATGTTTCAATTCATCTAGCTAAAAAAGATAAAAATCCAAAGCTTGTATTCAACCCTTTTTAACGTCCCACTGCTGGGCACGGGCATCCCTTCAGTGCGAAAAGGATCGAGGGTGCAAGACACAGGGTTTGAACCTGATTCACTCAGTTTCCCAAGCGAGCGCGTTACTATATATACAAAGTTAGAAGCAATATAATCAGGGATCTCCTGGTTATTCTTCAAAATGATGATTCGCTTTGAAGAGAAGTCCAACTTTTTTCCCTATGGAAATAGCAATAGCTAATAAAGCGGGCATGAAACATGTCAAATAGTTTGGACTGAGAAACTGTACTACTCTAATTGTAGAACAAATAATAATTTAATTTAGCAGCAATAATAGTGCTGTTACCCAATCTAAAGAACATTATAGGAATATATTTACAGTTTTCATTTAAAGATTCCATAATTTTTCATTGCTATATTCAGAAATGAGTAAGAAATTGCCTATTACCTTATTTTTATATACATCCCGCTCATATTGCACATCATCTAATCGCTCCTGGACACTGACCAACCTATCTTCTGTTTCTTCCAACTGTTTGGATAACTTGGCTGAGTTAATGCTAGAAGTTTCTGCCTTAGATTCATTTTCTTGTCCACAGCAAGATATTTTTGCCTTCAGATTGACTATGTCTTGCTTGTATTGCTCCTTATCTTTCACTGTAATTCGAAGATCATTAACCTAAATATAATAATATTTTGTGTCATAGTGAGGTGTTAATTCAAGTGGATGAGTATATTTTTCAACTATATAAATACATACAAGATTAAAAAATTTACACATGTTTATGCATGATTTTTTTTATATTGTAGCATTTTACATTATAATTACAACCATCTTACAGCAAGTGAAAATGTGTTTACATATAAAGGCTTAGGCATAAGCACTAAGAGCATAGGATTAGTAATGATATGATTGTTTATTTTCTTTCATCACAATTTTGTGTAAAAAGGAAATATTTTTTTACAATTTTTTTAATAATAATTTATGGTACAAGTGTAGCATCAACTGTATGCAATAATAAACTTTATTTAAGTTGAACATACAAAGTTTCTCCATCTTCAGATTTGTTCTAGCCAATTCTTCCTGTAAGTAATTTCTATCAAACCGCTCAGCATCCAATGCAGCTTGCAATCGCCTTACTTCGCTGTGTAAGGATCGAAGAGCTGGGGGTGTTTCCGCCACCTTAAAAGTTTCCATTTCTGATGCTGCTACATCCTGCCCGCAGGCCTCTAGAAGCATTCATAACTAATATTGTACTAAATATATTCAAACAATATCCTTTTAAATAAGAAACAAAGAAAAGAAACAATGTAGCTTAATACCAGAGTCTCACTATATTAAAATAAAGTAGAAAGATTTCTTATCTTTAGTTTAGTTGTAATCGATTAAGAATAAATAAATAGTACAAAATATACACTACAAACCTGCAATAGCTGTTAAAACATCTAAAGAAGATATATTAGAACACTCCATCAGACATTTTGTGAACTTTAGAATTGTTTTCTGGTCGCTTCCACTTAGCTTATTGCACATAGCACTTTTAATATCCACATCTTTTGAATTGATGCAAACAAAAAAGAGTAAAAGAGAAGCTGCCATGTTTATTTCTTCTTGATTAATTGGTTCCACTGTGCCATTTTCAAATCTGAAACTTGGATATTTTTCAAGGACAAACTCTTGTATTGTGTGTGCGTCAAGGAAAGCTGATTTTGATTCATCCAAATTAAAGTTTTCTCTTAAGTGTGATATGATATTAACAAGAGAATCTAAAGTCACAGGAAAATCCTTTTTATTGTCTTCTTCAAAGTAGCAGTTAATCTGAAATTAAAAACTTTTATCTTAAGTCTTATAATAGGTATATCTCAAAGTAAAATACAATAATGAAAATCAAATTTTGAAAACATTTTAAACAAGTTTGAACATAATAGAAATTCTCTGAATTTATGTATACCTATGATTGTGATATTTAAATACTATCGTAATAAATCATTTGCAATTGAGTAATTCGCAAATAATGTATGTACAAACGCAACGGCTAAACACCTGCCGTTTCAATAGACGTTTGAAATATTACAAGACAAAGAAACCATATGAATGTTGTTCTATTCAAATATTTACGCGTTTAAATAAGAACTATTATTGTAGACTGTAAGACATTTATATGATTTAATATAATTTAATAAGGTAGAGTATTCGTAAAACATACCCAATTTCCTAAGATAATTTTCCATTTCTGTAACATTTTGCATACAATTCGTTAATATACTCATATACATAAACACTTCGATATTTATATCACTATATATAATAACTAAAAAATACAAAAAATGTACTAAAACATTAAGACGAGCGGACTAAAAATTTAAAGAGATAATAGACAGTTGTTATTAGTTCGCCGTTGCAGTTTGAAATGTTTTTTTTTTCAAAAGTAAGAAGTAACGTTTACTGTATACATTTAGTGTAATCTGTGCTTTAACTCTTCAATGTCCATTTGCCGGTTTCTAGCCGACTAAAAATATGCAGATGCAGTTAAGTGATCAAGCCAAAATTCTTTTCACTTAATTATATTGCAAAGCAAATCAATTTATAATTAGTAAATTATAAATTTTAAGACAGAACTGTGGCTTGTAGTTTTAATTATTATTTACATGCAGCGTAACGGTATTTACAAATGCTACATGAATGTTTTGGCCACAGACTAAATAGAAATTAGAATCCCACCAAAAACACATGAATGTAAAAGAAAGAGTTCATAAAATTAGAACTTGCAAATAAATACGACTTGGTTAGTTTTCTTTTATTTCTCAATTGAAATTAAACTTCACAACGTACAAAGTTTAACTAACCAAAGTTTAATAAACGTTCAAGTAAATTTCTAAGAAATTATTAAATTTCAAGGAAATCTATTGTTAACTGTAACGCCGGCGTGTCCGCGGTCCTGGAGGGTTTAAATAGCCTATAAATTCCAAAATAATTTTGAAACCGGCCCCAAAAATCAGAGATTTGCTCGTACAGACAAATAAACTTTTCATCTTTATATTATGTAAGTACTCTTATAATATTGATGAAAGATAACTAACATCATGCTACATCTTTTAGCAGTGAAGTCATTATATATAAATAAAATGTGCGAGCGGATTCGCGGGTAAAATAGTCAATTAATTTTGGCTTTCTGCAGTCCTTCTCTATATAAACTTTAAATATGCCAAAGCTCATACTCCTCCGTACATGCAATATCCATAAAAAGGGGTTCAATATTTTCTCTTCACTTATAGATAAGAATGCATCCTTAATATTTTTTAATCTGTGAGAATATAAACTTGTGTTGCCATTTTGCCGTGGTGTTAGTGTAGATACAAATTACCCAATCAGAGTTCATTTATCAGTTGTCAAAGAAAAAACGAATTTGTCTGAACTGAGAACTCTTTAATTTGAATTGACATCAAAATTCAAAACGTCTGACCTAGGTACATAAAAAGAAGCTTTATATACATTTACATGACATTTGTTATCCGCCAGGCGCCATCCACGTGAAGTTCAAGTAAGTAATAAATACCTATTAAATATTAGCAATTGTTCCAGTAAGTTTATGTGTTTTGCTTTGTTTTACTCCGTTTAAAAACGTGTACTTGTTCGTTGTTTGCTTTACTTGTTCTGCGTTTGTTATATTTCGATAAATGTCGAAAAATGGGCTTATGGGAAAAATAGGGGAAATAATCTTAAATAGCCAAATAACCCCGTAGAAGTTTATTTACTAATTCTTGAGGCTTTAATTTATAATAATAATTTAATTATAGGTTAGAAGATATGTCTAAGTGTTATTGTCATCTTGTTATTATCGTATTTTTACATTTTCTTGCTTTACACATCTTTCTTCGTCCACTATCGCTTAATTGCTAATGATTGTATGATAAATTTATTACAGTTTATTCTTTTCCCAAACATCATGTCTGATCTAAAAAGCCTCACTTCAGGGGTTATTTTTGGTAACTTATATAATTAAAAAAAATTATGAAAAAAGATCTTTTCTTTATTTAAAATGATATTATTATATATCAATGTCATACCTGTAGAAAATATACTTATACTGTATCACATACATTTTTTTTTAAATATTGCAAAAAAATGTAGATTTTATACCAATTAGCATTTTACGGTATTAAAGAGAGGGTAAGTTTTCAGTTCAAAACTTAGGAAATGGTTGTAACATAATCCCCCAACAGCGTGTCGCACATTTGCTTCACATTGTTATGTGTCTAGATTTACAATATCTTTGAAGCTTCTTCTTCTTCTCCGTGCCCATTTCCCAGTCACTTGGGGTCGGCGCAGTACATCGTCTGTACTGCTGAATGGATAATAATACTGATTTACAATATCTTTGAAGCGTGGAGGAATAATGAAATAGATAACCTAGCCCTTGCAATTACTATCCAGTAAATTCTTATTTTAATTTTTATGTAAATAACAAATCAATATAAATAACAATATTATGTATGAAAATTAATAAAAGGTATGTAACTTACATAGTAGAATATATTATAAAAAATAAATATCAAGAACTTTTCATTCACAGTTTATTTAAACGTCAAATAATTTGAACAATTCTAATTTAATTTATCTTTTTACCTGCAGGCAATAAAGAATCAACTATGTCACCAACAAGGGCTGCTGGCCTAGTTATATTCAGACAAGCAAATCTGATCATAGAGTTTCTTTTATTACAAACTTCTTATGGTGAACATCATTGGACACCACCTAAAGGTATATCATTATAGAAATAATAAATAATAAAATATAAATTTTAATAATGGCTACATGTCTATACTATAATAAAACAGTAGAGGTCGAATGTCTGTACATAGCAAAAAAATGGTAAAAACCGAGTCAGGGGGATGTAAGAAGACAAATAGAACAAATCTAGATTTTTTTCAATTTTTTTGTTTCTCTGTCTGTTTGTACGGGCTAATCTCCGAATCTATTGGACCAATTTAAATAAAATTTCGCATGCTGGTACCTTATATCCCTGGGCAACATCTTAGATACTTTTCATCCCGGAAAATTAAAGAGTTCCCATGGGATAGTTAAAAAAACTATAGTAACTTATACAGCTTGGTACACAACAACTCATGCACTTAATTTAGTAAAATTAAACATTCTGATACCTTATATTGCCGGTCAAACAACAGGTTACTTTTCATCCCAGAAAAATTAATGGTTCCCGTGGTAACTAATAGACCTCTATTAGTGTTTTTCACTAATAATAATATTTTTCATTAATACGAATAATAATTTTCAGTAATAATATAAATATTTAATATAATAATGAAAATTTATTATATACTTACTATTTTTTTTTTTTTTTTTTTTTTTTTTATCTTGCAATCAGTCTTCTTGGCTATGAGCAGATGTGATGTAAGAATATCAGTGACAGGAAAAGGTATTCCTCATTAGGAATTTTTGCCTTCTTTAGTTTCAATGGCTTAGTTCGTTTTGCCGAGTTCAAGGATTCTGCGTTGTTTCAACCGGTTTATGCAATCAGGTAATGTGAGCTGGACTGCCAGCTGGTTAGGATGGTTTTCCAATCTGATTTTGTATTTCTTTAGACGTGCCTTGATCTCCTCTTTGACTGTCAGCATGTTTAGGTGTTCATGAACCTCTGTGTTTCTTATGAACCAGGGTGTGTTGCCAATTTGTTTAAGTATGAAGTTCTGAGTTCTTTGAATTTTATTTATGTTGGAATTACATGTAGCTCCCCACAACTCCGAGCCATAGGTCCAGATCGGTTTTATTATGGCCTTGTAAATTAACAGCTTGTTGTCAATGGATAGTTTAGAGTTTCTGCCTAGCAGCCAGTATAAGCCTCTATATTTTAAGTTGATCTCATTTCGTTTAGTCTCAATATGTTTGCACCATGTCAATCGGCGATCCAAGTGGAGTCCTAGGTATTTGACTGCGTCTTTGTGAGGAAGCTCTTTGCCACCCAGGTTCACAGGAGGACAAGTTTCTCTTCGTAGTGTGAAGGTAACTTGGACTGATTTATTTGCGCTCACTTTGATTCTCCACTTGTCAAACCATTTGTTTATGTCATTCAAGCTTTTCTGCAGTATATTCGAGGCTTCCACTGGACATTTACTAGAGGCTAGTATGGCCGTGTCATCAGCATACGTTGCAATGGAGACTCCCGGTGTTTGTGGAAGATCTGCAGTGAAGATAGTGTACAAGACTGGGCCAAGGACTGAGCCCTGAGGTACTCCAGCGTGTATGTCGTAGAAGCCTGATGTGTATTCTGCCTCTTTCACTTGGAATATTCGGTCAGTGAGATATGATTTGAGAGTTTGGTAGAAAATGTGAGGCAGAAGTTGTTTAATTTTGCATAGTAAACCCTTGTGCCACACACGATCGAAGGCCTGCTGGACATCTAGGAACGCTGATGAACAGTATTCCTTTTGCTCAAGACTGTCACTTATGTGTTTACACACTCTATGTATCTGTTCAGTTGTAGCATGGTTAGGTCTAAACCCAAATTGGTGATCTGGAGTTACAGCATTTTCATTCATAAAGTGAGAGAGTCGTCGCAATATTATCTTTTCAAGAAGCTTAGAAGTGGTTGGAAGCAAGCTTATAGGTCTATATGAAGACAATTCGTGGGGTGGTTTTCCAGCTTTATGAATCATTATAACCTGGGAGACTTTCCAGAGCGCAGGGAAGTGCCCAACCCTTAAGATACAATTGAATAAGGTAGTCAGGTAAACTATTGCCTTACAAGGCAGCTCTCTTAGGACCTTCTTATCAATAAGGTCATAGCCTGGTGCCTTTCCATTATCCAATTGTCTGATAAGTTTAATTACCTCGTTAGGTGTTACAATTTTGCGAGGTGGATCAAGCTGGAAATCTTGCTGGAGTATTTCATCAATATCCAATTCGTTTGATGCTGGGTTTGGTTCATTGGGAACAAATACTTTAGCAAGGTGCACGGCAAATGCATTTGCTTTTTCTTGTTTTGATCTAGCCCATGCGTTTCCATCCAGGCGTATAGGTGGTTTTGGATTTGTTGGCTGGGTCTTATTTTTGCATGCCTTCCAGAGTGAGAAGTCGGTGGCTTGAGTAGCAGTCAACGATACTAGGTTTGTCTCCACTGTAGAATCTTCAAAGTCCTGTAAAGTCTGATTTAAGCTCCTGGCATAGTTATTGAATATTCTTTTGTCCTCAGGGTGTCGACTGGTGTGCCACACTCTGCGAAGCCTTCTCTTTTCTAGAATCATTTTTCTAATATCTTGTGTTACATAATTATGCCTAATGTTTTTATTGCATACATGTGAATAACTCATCCAGCAAGCCTCTTGTACTGTTCTTATGAAGGTCATGGCGGCATTATCGATTTCATCCTCAGTTTTCAGAGAAACACGTGCTTGTAGCGAGTTGTTGATTATAACACGAAACAGGTTCCAGTCAGTCCGATTATTATATAGTTTTGGCTTACTTTGGTTGTCCAAGGCATTCGTACTTACAGTCAGAATGACCGGGATGTGATTAGAAGACCCATCGAGGCAACAATCAATTTGGTAAAAGAGGCGTGAGAGACCCCTCATTACGAAGAAGTCTAGCACATCTGGAAGCTTGTTTGGGTCGGTCGGCCAATGGGTAGGTTCTGCTGTAGCTATGGTTGTTAGGTTGTTATTGTCGATACACTTTTTGAGCTCTCTACCTCTTGTGGTTATCAGTCTTGATCCCCATTGAGGGTGTTTAGAGTTCCAGTCTCCCCCAGCTATGAAGCGTGGGCCGAGGCTTCCAATATATTCAGTGAAGTGACTCTCAGTTACTCTGTGCTTTGGAGGGCAGTAGACTGATGATACATTGAAATGCCCATACTTATCTTGGATGGTTACAGTTGTAGCTTGAATATGTTCGGTTTTGAATTGAGGGAGTTCATGGTGGTCAATGGAAGATCTAATTAGAACTGCTGTGCCCCCATGTGAGGTTCCATCCGGATGGTTTGTTGTGTAGATATTGTAGTTTCTAATATATATATAACTATTATTGTTGAAATGTGTTTCAGAGATGAGTAGAATATCGAGATCATGAATTTTTAGTAGAGTCTCCACCTCCATTTTATTGGGCGACAGTCCATTTGTGTTCCAGGTTGCAATTTTGGTTGTGTTCATTGTAAGAGTTTGTTGACTAGTGTTGTCAAGAGCCCCATCATGTTGCTCATTTGTTGTAGAATGATGTCAATTTTTTCTGATTGTTTTATAAATATTTCTTCTATTCCATTGTATAGAAGCTGTTGAGAGATTTCTTGTTCTTGTTGTTTGTCTACAATTTTGTTGTGTGTTTTATTTTTTAAGATTTCACTATATTTCACTTTGGTTTTTGAGTTGTTATTCGCTTGATCCACTTTTTGCGTGTTCGGCTTTGTGCTGATACGAATTTGTGAGTCAGGGTTTTCTGTGGTGCATTTTATTATTTTTCTATTTAGTAATTCTTTATAAACCTCACATCCTTTATAATTTGAGGGGTGTGTACCATGGCATTGGGTATAGGTTGCGGTAGTAGATGTATTTGGCATTACGTTGTTGTAGACTTGTGGTACAGGGTTTCTTGTCTTCTGCTTTGTTGTTTTTCTTGCCAGTATCTCTTTGTAAACCTCACATCCTTTATAATTTGAAGGATGTGGGCCAAAGCATAGAGCACATGTTGCAGGAGTAGTTCGATCAACTTTGGGGCATTCCCTTGTCCTGTGTGATTCAGCACATTTGAGGCAGCGATATGGTCTCATGCAGTAGTTCTTTGTGTGTCCATACTGCTGGCACCTTTGACACTGTACTATGGAATTTCTTTTTATAGGATCTTCTATGGTAACTATTTGGTGGTTTATTACTTTGACTTGTTTTGCCGCTTTATTATTTGGCCCAGGTTGTAAGTTGACAAAAAATGTTGAGGTGGGTTTTTTGTCGGGGCCGAATCTGGCATTGACAATTTCACCTATCACTTTATTACCGGTTTCCTCAAACGCTTCTATGATAGCTTCATGTGGAGTCGTGTGATGCATTTTTCTTACTACAAGTCTGTAGCATCTTTCCTCTTTTCTGTTGAAGGTATACTTACTATTTTTATTTATAATTTTTAGGTCATGTTGATCCTGGAGAATCAGATTGGGTGACAGCCTTACGTGAAACTAAAGAAGAGGCTGGCTTGTCTGAAAATGATTTGGAGGTATGCGCATTGTAATTTGTTTAATTAATTAATTAGTAAAGAAATCTAACATTCAAATTGAAAAAAGTTATAAGTAGAAATGTTATACTAATATAATATTTATTATGTATATTTTTATCTATTTAATAATAGTAATTATGTAATATATTATTCTAATATGTTTCATTTTCAGATTTACAAAGACATATCAAAAACTCTGAATTATGAAGTAAAAGCAAAACCAAAAGCAGTAGTATATTGGTTAGCAAAAATAAAAAATCCTGAAGAAAAGGTTACACTATCTGATGAGCACCAAGACTTCAAGTGGCTTCCCCTGAAGGAAGCTCAAGAAATATCAGGATTTGAAGATATGAAACAATTATTAGCTGAATTTCACAAAAAAGCAATTGAAATTGTATAAATGGTGTAAGAAAAGAATAAGTACTATAAAAATGTATATTTATTATTAATCAATAAAAATGAATATGATAAATGGTGTATTTAAATGTTGCTGCTTTTTATTACGAAGGATACCACCTTTGAGAAGGAGGTTATTTTTTATTGGATATTTTAATGAATAGAGTCTAATTACTATTAAAATACTTTTTTAGGAAATGAGTAAGACAGAAGGTATAATATGCCAATTCCAATCCTTCTCATATTGTTTTTTAATATATGTTACATCTATAGTCTATATTGCTATTACAATATAAAAAATAGGCAGTTTGTATGTAGGTGGTAATCTCTAAAGTTCTGATCCAATTCTTTCACTAATAGGAAGCCATATTACGGCCGAGTGCTATGATACTTTTTATATCTAGTGTTATACTACAAATAATATAAATTATTAATTATATAAAATAGGATATATATGTATAATTCTATTGCCGCTATAACATCAAATAGTAAAAAAAGGGTGCGAATTTTAAAAACGCACGTGCAATGCAAATTTAAAAATGGTCCTTTGTGTGCGAGTCCGACGCGCACTTACCGGTTTTATTTATTAAATATTTCCTTAGAATATTTTGTGTTGGTGTTCTTTAGTCCTTTTTCCTTCTTTATTCCTTTGCAAAAATATACCACACTCCATATAGACATTAGTATTTGCAATAGGGAATATGCATATATTTTTTTATATTTTTTAATTCCCTATTTACACTGATAAAACATAGAAAAAAAATATAAATATTGTTTAAAAATGCCGTAATTAAGTTTAAAAAATATTTAAAATAAGAGAATAATTTTAAATTGATATATTATGCCGCCTTTTCGCGCGCTCTATTGATGACGTCAAATACTATGTCCAGCAGTGCTGCCACATCAAAAAACTCATTCTGCGCTAGGATTGCACAAAAATCACTAAACTTCGCGCTATCTGGGAGCCCGAAGCACTAAATGGCAGCACTGATGTCCTGTCTGTCAGACGTAGGTAAAGTCTCGAGTTAATAAATCGAGTTGACACATCTTTACATGTCAGTGATTTATATTTGTCATCCATGTCAGTGATCAGGATTAGAGATGTGTCAACTCGGGTTAACCCGAGTTAGCCTCACGTCGAGTTAGCCCGAGTTCGACCGATCGTAACTCGGGTTAGACACCGACACCCCAACGACACACGAACCTCGTTTCACCGTCGAGTCAGCCCGAGTTCGACGGATTATTACTCGGGTTAGACACCGACACCCGAACGACACACGAACCTCGTTTCTTATAATGAGGATTCGAACTTCGTTTCACATTTCATATACGAAACGAGGTTTGCTTTCTGAGAGAAGTCGATTTTACCCGTATGCTTACGAATATTTGCGCGCGAACGAAGTGACATTAGAAATTTCTGTAGGTAGCGAGTCTCCCAAAAAGTTGCTTTTTTATTAAATTAAGAGTTCTTAAATATAATAATTCATTATTTATTGTTTTAATTCTTTATAAAAAGTTTAATTATGATTATTTCGATAGTGCCGGGGCCAAAAGAAACATCACTTTTTTTTGGGAAATTTTTGAAGCGCCAGTTCAATGTAAAGAGTGTAAAGTTAAATGTAAAGAATGTTCTGACTATAAATCGGGTACGGTAGTCGGTACCACCGCCTGGTAGTATCTCTATCTACCAACATTTTATTTTAATATTCTTAAAGACTTTAATTTATATTTTAATATTAATATACTTATTTCTTATTTTTTCATCTTTATAGTTGTTAATTTAGCAAATTATTATTTGAGAAGTGGTGTTATTATTTTAGTTGCTTTAGCCTAAGCCAAAAGCTAAGCTATGTTTATTGTTTTTCAGGGTTCCGTACCTCAAAAGGTAAACAAGAACCCTTACCTAGAATCATGAAATTTGAAAAGTTGAAAATTAAAGTTAAACAGATTTCCTACAAATTTGTACGGAACCCTCGGTGGGCGAGTCCGATTCGCACATGCCTAGAATTTACTTCTATAACTATAACTAATACAATGACATTAAAAATACAATATAATAATAATATAATTTCTTTCATTTGTTTACTTACTATATTTAAAAAGACTCACTTAAGTATAGTCAAAACATGTAAAAAACTTGAAAAAGAATAGATGTATTCAACTCAAAATAGAATGAAAGCATATATAAATTTCATAGCACTTACAATGCTAAATCGAGTTACTCAACTCGGGTTGAACTCGAGTTACCATGATTTTAATTCGAGTAAACTCGGGTTAGCGGAAACCCGAGTTGGCCCATCTATAATCAGGATCACTGTCAGAAGCATAGACTATAAAGTATATTGTTACAAAGTCAATTTTTCAAATAGTGTTTTAGTTTTACATGTACTTTTTAATTTAGTATTCAGTCATTTTTGAGTGCTACTATATTTGTTATTTGTGTTTGGGACAGTATAATTTGTACGGATTTAGTAGGTAATTCTGTACCTACGATATGAATTTTATGTTTATTTTATATCATACTGTGACTTTATATTAGTGTTTACTGAATTGAAAGTTGAAACAGACAGACACTTTACAATGGATAATGAATCTAAGTGTGCAAATTTAAGCCCAGGAAGAGAAAAAAATTCCAAAAATAAGTTTAAATCTCGTGGCGCAAAACGAAAAAGGTAACGATATATAAGTGTAGAATTGTTTATGTATTTCATGTATTCAGCCCTTTTTTAACGTCCCACTGCTGGGAGTGTGCCTCCCTTCAATACGAGGGGAATCAGGCCATAGTCCACCACGCTGGCCAAGTGCGGGTTGGCGGTCTTCACAAGTCTTTTGAAATCTTGCCAGGTTCTCTCACACATGCAGGTTTCCTCACGATGTTTTCCTTCACCGTAAGTCAAATGCAACAATGTTCATGGCAAGTGGTAATCAAGTTAGAAATGATTCACACATGAAAATATCAGAGGTGCACCATTCGAGACCCTGAATTTGAACGCGCTTCACTCGGTTTCCCAAGTGAGTGCATTACCACTGGGCTACCACTGCCTCTATATATAATATACACAACATATTTAAAATTTTCTAATTTATAATATATGCATAATACAATATATTTAAAAGGCACTTGGTTAACATAATTTTAAATTTTAATTACTTATACATTGAAACTGATAATTTAAAATTGTACTCTGTTATAATATTGTAAGTTTTTTCTATAAAAAAAATTTTTAATATTTTTTTCTTGATGAAATCCCTATTTTTTTAATGTATTAAATATTATAATTAATGTATATTGATTACAGGATAAATAGCAGTAGCAGTACAGATGGAGATGATATATTACCAGAAAATACTTTTGATGTGGAAAAGAATCTTTGTGCATCTGCTATTAAGAATAATTTAGATGATGTCAGTGTAAAAAAAATATTGAAGGTTTGTGTGTACATAATAGCTATTATAGTCCTTTTAAAATAATTGATTAACATTTTATATAATTGATTAACTCTTTTGTTTATACAGAAAGTTGTGACAAATGATCATGTGTTAGCACTTGTTAAAATGCGCGAGGAAGAAGAAAATTCTTGGACTGAGAATAATCTACGTCCAAAAATTACAAGAGCTAAGGCCAAGTAAATATTTTTGAAATACTTCTCTCATCTATTATATTATTTAAAAAGTATACAGTTCATAAGTTAATATGGTGTTACTTATTTTCGTTAAAATGATTGTATCATTACATATTATATCACTTACTTATCCTCACTTCGCTCGGGTGCATCCATAGATATGTTATAATTTTTTTTAATAGGAACCCAATTCTTTTGCTATAGTAAAAGTAAATTAAGTTACTCCTTAAAGGGTCAGCTATTTGACAGTGAAATTTTGTCAAAATCAGTCCAGCCATAATGGAGATTGGCTGGAACAGACAGTCAAAAATTTTATTTTTTCTCTTATAAGTACCAACCATATATAATTTCACATGTATGTAGTAAAAAACTATTATTTAGACATTACAAAGAGATACTTCAATTTTATTTATTTGTATAGACATAGATTTGATAATTTTGCATTACATGTTATAATGCCCACATCAGAATTTAATAATAAATAGCTTATTATAATGTTCTAGAGAGTTAATGAAAGTGTCTCCAAAATGTGCTCCATGGAACTTGGACTTAACACCAATAAAACATATACCAGTCAAGACCAGGCCAGAAGTTAAGGCGTTAATTGCTCAAGAATTGCCTGAAGATGAAGATGATGATGAATATGAGCCCACTCATGATGATGTCCCGGTAAGAGCATAAACAAATCTTTGGTACAGTGCAGATAATATTTATTGTGTTCATATATTGTTTTTTTTTTTAATATAATATAATACATATTCCCTTAATGGATAATGAATTTATTTATTATTAAATTTTATTTACACTTATATATTTATAAAAAAATAGTTAATAAGGATATTGACAATGTCAGAAATAAATATTCCTATTTTGTGTCTGTCTAAAACTAGTTTTTTAGACGAAAGTGAAATGTAATTATGATTTTCAAAAACTTCTGAATCTTTAAACTGAATCTTTAAAGGTACTGGAAGTCTAAATTTAGATTTTCGGCGTAGAAGCGTCATCCGCCATCTTGAATTTAAGGGTTGATTTTTGTTTATTGAATAATTAACTTGATGCTATAATGCATTTATACATATCTTTTGAGGTACGGAAACCTAAAAAGACTATAATGCATGCATTGTTTCATATCTTAACAGAATTTTTATGTTCACATTTTAGAGTGATGATGATCACGTTCTGGAATCGTGTAGTGATCTGGACTCTCAGCCTCGTACACCAGCGACACCCAAAAGTCAGAAGAAAGCTAGCCCAAAGATTGTTCAAGATGGGCCCTTTAAAGTGCCACAGGTGAGAACAGCTCCAACGATTTTCATGAAATTTAGTATACAGGAGGTTTCGGGGGCGATAACGCGATCTAGATAAGACGCTCGGAGATAAGCATCGTGGTCAAGAAGCCAAGGTGCAAGATCAACAATCACAAGTGTCTAGGTTCGAATCTCGGTCGCATACAAAGTTTTTACTTTTGTTTTTTTTTTTAATATTTATTCAAGTTTTTAGTTTAAAAAAAGACAAAAGGAAATTGTACTTTAGGCCAAAAAGCGAAGCTCGGTAGCCCAGGTACTAATAAGTTATTAGTATATAACTAATAACTTGTCTAATCCAGTTATTCATTATAACCAGTTAAAATTCGGTTAAGAGCGAGTCGAATTCGTACACGAAGGGTTCCGTACCATCGTACATGCACTTTTTAATAATATGACTTTTACTCTATGTTTGTAGTATATTAACTTCGATGACCGATTATGAACGTTAAAAAATGTTTCTTGTATTTTTATTTTTGTTGTTGTTATAGCGACAATAGAAATACATACTCTATGAAAATTTCAACTCAAGATAACTGGTCTTATAGTAAGAGATCACGATCTATGTGGTAGACCTTTCACTCTTTTTCCAGGCGAAATATATTTTTTAAACAAGAAAACATTAGCAAACACGACTGATGTAGATAATTTTATTACAGATTTATTGATATAGGAATGTTACATTAAAAAATCTCCTAATTAGATGTTTTTTAATTAATAATATCCTGGAGGAAATTTTTCTTAGGCCTGGGTCGTGTTTGTTAATATGTTTTATGGTTTAAAAAATATATTTCGGAAAAAGAGTGAGCGGTTCACAACATAGATCGGGATCTTACACTATTATAATAATCTTATTTTACCAATCAATTTCTTTCGTGTCTTCTTCACTCTACGTCGTGAGATTGGCGAAGTAATCTGTGCTCAACTGGCAGGTTTTGAAGCCATTAACAATAAAACTGAATTGAAACATGCTAGTCTCGTGTATTATCAATGCATATCATAAAATAAAGTTGCTTCACCGCGTCTGTCTGTCTGAACGCAATAAACTTAAAAACTACTAAACGGATTTTCATACGGTTTTCAGAAATGGACCGAGTGATTCATGAGGAAGGTTTATATGTGTAATTCATTAAGGTTTTGTGTAAATTATGTAAAATGCGACTGGTAGCTTTATTGGTGTGCTCCGCGTAAACCGAAAGAGTTATATGAAATTATTATTATGAAATTAAATTTAAATAAGAGTTATATGCGTCCATAGGTTACGGTAACCGATTACCAACAGGTGGGCTGTATGTTTGATTGCCATCGTCGTGGTATAAAAAAAATAAAACATGTATTACGAAATTATTCCCCTGTATAAGATCTATTAAACTGTAGCAACGCTACGTAGCTAGGGATGTACCTGAGCGAAGCAAGTTTGGATATATTTTAAAATGTTTTTTTTAGGGATTAGCAACGCCAGTTTGCAGGAAATTAAATTTAGATGAAGAGGAAGCAACAATAGCACTAAGAACTAGATCAAAAGTGAGCCTCACCGAAACATCAATAGAGCACCTAGAAAGTTCATTTGTGCCACCGGACGATTTGCCCGTTACCGACGTAGATGATTTATGGAACGAATTCTTAAACGAATGCCTGAATCCTGCACCTGTTGTGAGGAATGAGGAGGATGACGAGACTGACCCTGAATACAATGTTGCAGCAGACCCTGATGCTAGTGAGTATTGAATACTTTGCTTTTAAATCTTCCATTGTTCGTGTCTTTGAAAACTTGTTCATAGAACATTGTATGTATTCACGTAAATTGAAGTAGGCTTATTATTTTCCTGCGACTCTATAGGTACTAATATTATAAAGAGAAAATGTATTAATCTATATTTATAATATTATCCAGACAAAAGATTTGTTTGTTTGTAGTCGATAAAATCTAAAAGTGCTGAACCGATTTTAATAATACTTATATAACACTTTAGAATAATGTTCAGTGATAATAGATATAAACGTTATTCCAAAGTGTTATATAGGCTATAAATTATATCTAGAGTATGTTTTAGCTAGGTGAATCGGTGTTTGTCTTTCGGTTGTATTAAAATGTAAACGATGTAGGGGGAATTTGTAGACATTAAATACCTCTAAGAAATCCTCGATAGTAAATATATATTTTTTATATTAAGCAGATATATTTGCTTTCAAGTTTAATTGTTTTTAATAAGTAAGAGGCTAATTGTGTATATGCATATACATATATTAAAATAGTGACAAAGCCAAATCTGTACTGAAACATTTTTTAAAACAATGACTGTAACGTATTGTGTTCAGAATATAGACTCCAAAACTGTAGCTGTTGAAGGTTTTGTCTGTTTGTCTGTGTGCTTTTAGCGCAAACAGTACTGAACTGATTTTAACTAAAATTTAAAAAAAAAACATTCCATCTTCAGACAAAAAACGAAATCGAGTTATACCTACGCGCGTCGCGTTCGGTATACACTCGGTAGACAACCGTGCGGGGCTGCCACATCGTATAATTGGATACGAAAATTGTATAAGGTGGTTATGTTATGTAACTTTTATAATTTGATACGAAAATAAACATTTCATTTCTCCCGTAACTTCGCTCATGTCAAACAAAAAAGTATCGAGACATCGTATGTTTTAAAAATAAAAATAATTAATTAAATTAAAAATTAAAGTATTTTTAATTAAACTTTTTATCCGAATGCGGATTCTTTATACTATTAAATTTAATAATAAAGCTTTTCGTACGTCTCAGTCGAGGCGCAAATATTTTAAAATCTCAAATTTATAAGGGTCACATACAATCCCTATAAATTTGAGATTTTTTAATGAAATCTTCTAATAATAGTTTTTAAATAAATAATAGAATATTTGAAATCACAAAAATAGAAAGAAACTCAAGGAGGTAGATGAAATTAAAATATTGGCCGGCGGGCACTCGGGCAGCCCTGTCGCGTGGTTACGTGCCGCTCAGCTGTAGGTTATTATTTCAAGGACAGGCCCGAGTTGCAATACTGTATGCATTATATTACCGTGGTAGCGATAACTTATTACTTGGGACATTCAACATTTAGGATACCTTTTACTACAGGAAAATCTTTTAATCCGACGGGAAAACACAATAACTGGTTCCGTCGAGTTGTCCTTAACAATTTACATGGCTAACGCTGGCTAAATCTTAAAAGATACATCAAAACAATGTACTAAAAAATTGTAGGTTTTCAAAAGACCTACAGAAAATTCCACAATAGCGAATGTCTATCTCCTAAGATACACTCGCAATAATTCTTTTTATCAATTTAAAAGGTACTTACCCAAGCGAAGCGAAAGTAAGTCATTAATTTGAAATAAGTAAGAGGCTGATTATTGAAAAAAAAATTCATCATCGCAAGTACTAAATGGAGATAAAATTTGCCATTTACAGTATGTAATTTGGTTATGTAGTTTGAAAAGATGATGATAAAAAATAAATTACTATAAGTAAAAGTAACATCATTATTTCGAATTTTTGCCAATATTTTATTAAGTGCGAGCTTATTTTTGAAGAAAAAACCTGATTTTTTATTATTTTATATAAGAAATTGATATACAGCGAGGGTTTTTAAATTCACATGTTAATTTTTTAGATGAAGAAGACGAAGAAACGTTAGAGAATAGCATAATAAAGATATCACGTAAGGAGTTAAATGATCTGGTCACAGAACTGTTCCATGTGATGCCGGAGGTGTCGGATGAGCAACTGCAAGAAGTGCAGAGTGTTTTGGACCAAGAGAAAACTTTTGAGGTTTCATTTTTTTTTATTATTGAGTACGTTACACACCATAGACATCAATTTTTAGGGTTTCTTAATTCAAGGAAACAAAAAGAAAAAAGGCGCCCTTATAGGGGTTTACTTCGTCTGTCTGTCTATTATTTTTTAGCACAAGGTACCAAGTTGAAATAAGTATCAAATACTCAGGAGGATATCTTGGAGTTGTGAAAAAATCAAACTTCCAAGTTAATGCAATCAAAAGATACGGCCGCTTATTTTGACACTCGTAAGATACAAATCAAACTACACCGACTTCGAAAATATCTGATTAGGTATCTATCTTATATATATAAAACAAAGTCGGTTTTGTTACAACACTTGTAACTCGAGAACTGTTAGGCTAATTTTCGCGGCTTATGATTTGTTGGTTTTTTTTCCACCCCGAATAGCAGAATAACTATTAAGATATCGGAAAAAATTACGTTTTTTTTTAAAACATACATATATGGCTAATGCTGGCTAATAACTATATAAGCGAGGGTGAGCCGCTAGTAGTAAATGAAATCTACCAATCAGTTATTTTTTACTTTTTAGTGTTTGGCTTGGAAGTCGGTTTTTATTTAATTTTTCTTTAACTTTTTATTTAATGTAGCTATTTTATAAAAATCGAAATTTAGCCATTTTTGCCAATTGCATGAGCAAAGTAATTAAAAATAAATATAGAAAAAATATATTTTTAGGTGAACCTAACTCCGTGGGAAGTCAAACAAGAATCTATCTCAGACGAAGAAAAGTCTCATTTAAATATGGCTGGGAAAATTAAATATGAAAAGAGATTTTCGGTAGGAAAAACTGAAGTCGATGATAATCATGAAGTATTGGAAAATGTCGCGAATAATAACCATACTGCAGAACTTACGGTTTCTGTAAATGAATCTGTACCAGACGCAATGTAAGTGTTGTAGCACAGGCCCCTCCCTTCGCTCCACGATTAATGACTTAACCCATGATTCCAGAAAATATATGAAAAGCGTCTATTACTAAATTAAAAAAAAATGTTAAAGAACGTTTGTGTGCTAAAGCTTATTTATACAATTAATGATTTTATAAAAGATGGCACGTTTTGAGAATAATGTAAATAACATTCAGGCTACTTCGATTTTTGTAGAATTATTGTAATTTATAATTTGACTACAAGAAAGATTTCAAAAAAAAAATTAATTCCCGCTGGGTATCTTTCGCTAGTTCTTCCCAGGTTGTAGGCTTCCTGCCTTTTCTTTTTTTGTAGTAAACTGTTCAGTAAAAAATTATAATAATTTAATTATGAATAAAATGTTTTAAATTTTAGCTTGAACCGAAACTAACAGTTCTTATTTTCAGTATAGAACAGCAACAGCAGGCACCAACAAAAGTGACAATATCAATAGAGGAAAGTGAGGGGACTGTGAGGCCCCCGCCGCAGCCGCCGCAGTCGCCCCCCGCGCCCCTAAAGGGCCTCCTTGCACCGGAGACCCAGGTCATTGAGATACAGTTGGATGAAAGTGTTAAGGTATAAATAACTCAACTAGTGATTCAATATTGCCTTCGTGTTTATATTATTATGGATTTTTTTAATTAAGGATATTTTTACGATTTAATTCACTTTTTTGGATATTAACACACAACACTATCTAGCTCCATGGTAAGCTACAAGGCTTGTGTTATATATACCAGATAGTTGATACACTACACATATATAACTTTAAATACATACATATTATAAATATAGCCTATTTGGCCTTATCCTGTTAACTGGTCGGGTAATTAATGGTAACGTAACATCCGACCTATATTTAATAATAGTGTGAGTGGAGGCAGTGGTAGCCCAGTGGTAACACGCACGCTTTGGTAAACGAGTAAAAGCAGGGTGCAAATCCCGAAACTTAAACTCGATTCGTTCGGATGCGTCCATAAGCTTGAATAGTTTACGAACGCATAAAAGACAATTTAACGTCCAAAGAAAAATTCATTGTTTTTGAGTCAAGAACATTCGCAGTATAACCCACCAGAGTTTCATCACAATCAAAAGATCAACGGAGGGGATAATCACAAGAATATTCGTTTTTATTCATATAGATAGAAGATTATATAATCATAACTATATAGTTGTGAAAATTTAGGTTTGTATGTATTTTTTAATGCAGAATCATATAAAAAATAAAATACAAAAAAATGTTAAAAAGAATTTTCTTTTGAGGTGGACCTCCCTTATCACTTAGGGGTATGAAAAATAGTTTACGTCCTATTCTCAAACCTACTATAGGAATATACACATAAAATTTCACAAGAATCGGTCAAGCTGTTTCGGAGGAGTATTGTTACAAACACCGTGACACGAGAATTTTATATATTAGACGTATTAACACTCCCACAGCTATACCCGGAGCAAGTGCAGGTGCTGCAGCAGCAGCTACGACAGCACGTGCAGCTGGCGGCCGGCAACTTCCTGCAGCTGTACGTGCACCCCACGCTGTGGCAGTACGCGCCGCAGTACAAGGAGTATTTGGTATGTATATAATAATAATTTAGAGAGGCATCCGATACCGAAACAGTGTTTCGTTTAACCTCGAGTCCTATGTAACCACCCATATGTATGCATATATGCATATGCGTGTGTGTTTGTATATTTTTATGTTTATACTAGTGAATTAATCCAAACTAGGTGAGGATCTAAATGCCTTGATGACTAATTTATAATATTTTTTGATCCACTTTTAGAATTTATATAAGCAAAATATATATTATCATATAAAGTACCTGCGCGATTGAACTCGATATGTATACAAGAATTGCTCATTAAATATTATATCTATGTATATTTAATATAACACTTTTCTCTTTCCATAGCAATCTCTAAACAACATGACGGTGACAAACCCCAAGTCAGTGGTGAACGTGTGCAACTTAAAACCAGCCTTAGATTTAATAGGCAGTTGGGAAAAAACATTGTCGGAGAATCCACAGGATGCTGAACTGTTGGTTGCGTAAGTACCTTTTTTATTGTTTTTTTTATTAGGACTAGCAAAAGCTTTCGGTATGTATGATTTAAAATAAAGCAATAAACAGATTGTCATTAGATTCTATAATCTTACTAATATTATAATTAATGTAAAAATTTAGATGGACGTTTGTTAGTCACGTCACAACGGCTTAACGAATTTGGATGAAACTTGGCGCAGAGATAAATTATAGTTTGGAATGGTACATAGGCTTTTTATCCCGGAAAAATGGAAAAATGTCCGTTCCCGTGGGATAGATTTGCTCTTGTTTTTCTAAAGGCGAGCGAAGTGAGAGTGAGCCGCTAGTAATTTATATATGACTAGCGTTCACTCGGGTTTGTCCCGTCCGTTGATTCCCCATACAAACTTGGATCCCCATTTTCACCCCTAAAAGGGATTATATATATATATATATATATATATATATATATATATATATATATATATATATATATAATACAATAATAATATAATATATTTTATAACTATATTTTTGAATTATACTAATCAAGATGTTCATTATTTTCAGATTTCTCACCAAAGAAGTGGAGAAATAGTAAGTTTTGTTATTTTATAATAATGTGTCCGACTATTGACTGCCATTGTTAGACGAAGCTTCTGCCAAATAGAGACGGGAAAAGGCATTGTTTACGTTGCAAATAGGACTTTTGTTCTGTAGAATAAAAATCCTATAAATAAGCATTCAACCACGCCCGGGTTGATGCATAATTAAACCAATAAAAATACTTAAAATTATCATTTTTTTCAAATTAAATCTATATTTTTTTTAATATGTCGCATATTAAATAAAATTTATCTGTTTTATTCTATGAGAAATTCTCCCGTGACTACGATTGCTGTAAAGCGTTCAAAACGTCTGGAACTAAAAATTAAAATGAAACCGCGAAGACATCCAAACAAGATAGTTTTATTTAAAACTAGCATTGCCCGCGGCTCCGCCCGCGTTCAGATGTATTCAAGTTAAATTTAGTTTATAAGCTATTTACTGAAAGGAGACTGATTATTAGGCAAATTGTAGCTTTTTCTCATAAATGTTAGGATGTGCCTGCGGCACAACCGTTACAGTGACATTAAAGCTCAGATTAAGGAATAATAAGGAGAGTGTCATAGAACTAAACATAAAGCCAATCAATAATACTTTTAGATAAATATGTAATGTTTTAAAATACAATGAATATTAATAAAATAAAATAAAGATAAACTAATACATATTATGCTCTCTTTCAAGGAGAAGAGAATATGTAAATTATAAATATTTTATTTTTGTTATCCATATTTTCTTCACAAAAATTGAAAATTAACGACTCATTCCTATTTACTTTATTTTTTGAAGAACTAAACAGTCTCTAATATAGCAAGCTCTCCCTCCAATAGTTTTGTATGTCGTATTAGGTGGTTTGAACCTCGCAGAAAACCACCAAACTACTCAATTCAAGGCCGCTGCTTTCTAGACTGAGCCTTCTCTTCGTTTTTTTCCTTGACTCGTTTCAGCACTACATACATTCTTCAGAAAAATAATAGTTTATATTTTCCCCAGCCGTCGTCGCACAGCTCAAAATTCTATGTACATGGGTGATTTCCATGAAATGTTCAAGAAAGTTGTGGCCAACAGTCCAGTGTTTCTTTACCCGTATCTCCTTCCTCCGATGCCGTATAGAGCTGATTTTGCTCATAAACGGTCAAGCTATTTGAACTCTGAGGATCAGTAAGTATATTGTCCATGTGTTTTGGTAAATATTGTAAGCTTTTTATTAAATGTGGTAGACGGTAGTTCAATGATAAGGTACTTGGTTGGAAAGTTAAATGAGGTTGGTTTAAATTGCGGATTTGAGTATCTTTGATATTTATATATGGGTTTTAATTTTTTAATAAATCAATGAAAACATCGTGACAAGGAAAACATCGTGAGGAAACTAGCATGTCTGAGAGAATCGAACTAGTTTTCGAAACACACACACATATATATATATATATATATATATATATATATATATATATATATATATATATATATATATAGTCCATCAATCCGCATTTATAATGACTGGATAAAACTTTGTATTGTAATAATTGTCATTTTAATGAGAGGGGTTATTTCTAAATATTTGTTTACTATAATTTTAAAAGTAACAGGTCATATTCACTTATAATCCATTATTACTTTTTTTTTAGTTAAAATCGGTTCGACGGATTCGGATTTTAGTCTGAACAAACAGATATAAAAATTAAAAAAATCCTATAAGTACTGTATATATATTGATATGCATTTAGTAAACAGATGTTTTTATGACATTACAAACAGACACTTATATGTGTTTATTTGTAATCTATACTAATATTATAAAGAAGTAAAGTTTGTGAGTTTGAATTGTGACGTCGTAGGGGTAATCTCTGTATCTACTGAACAAGTTTAGATGAAATTTGATAAGAAGATAGTTTGAGACCCTGGGAAGGACATAGGATACTTTTTATCCCGGAAATCATCCGAGCAAGGGTGAGTTGCTAGTATTTGTATATATTATCACCACTGGATATAATGTTTCCAGGCTAATAGTCCTCGGCCTGGACCAGTTCTGGCAGTACATAAAGGAGAACCCGGGCACGTACCGGCTGCCGCGGCACGCGCGCCGCCGCGCCGGCCTCACGGCGGCCGCGCGCCTCGCCTGCCGCTACTCGCTGCCCGGCGTGTCGCTGCGCGCGCTGCTCTCGCACGTGCAGGCCGCGCGCCACCAGGACGCCGACGGACCCATTGCGGTACACCCTAACACTACATCCTAACACTACACCCTAACACTACACCCTAACACTATACATCATAACGCAATACATTCTACAAACGAACGATGCACTCTAACGCTATTTACTCTACGAGCTAAATCAGAAAATACACTTATAAACTAATGAACTTAAAAAGAAAAACTTTATCTAAATAAGAATATTGATCCAAATCGTTAGAGCCGTTTCTGAGATACACGAAATGAATGTATATACAAAAATTGCTCATTGAATTCAACTTTTGTACATACTTAAAAGACTATAACAATTGTATTTTAATTTGCAGAGATACTTCAAGAAGAACGAGATAGATCCAGTGAAACACAAGCTGTTACCTTTCAACCCCAAACTGACGCTGTACGAACAGCCCGAGTCCGAGATGCCTCACCTGTGGATCAAGTACCTTGCGAAAAGCAGTAAGAGGTTTAGAGTGAGTATGTTTTACTATGCCTTTCCTATTTATAATTGGAATTAGTTATGCAAAATGGATCCAGCCCACGAGAACCGTTTTTTGAATTACTGTCATAAATGGCACCTACATATTATCAACTTATGTACAGAAAGTACATAAAATACCCAATATTTAAGAAGAATTTAAAAAAAACTACAGTGTTATTATTTTGATATACCAATTTTACTAAAAATACTATTTGCTCAATAGTAAGTTTTTCGGTCGGATCTATTTTGCTTAACTATGTCCAATTTATATAGTACATTTGTAAGAAGAAAAAAATCACAAAAACTACTGAACAATGAACATATATCGTTAAGAGACTTTAACCATTCGACGCGCGATTGTCTGTAGGTGGTTATAGACTTTTTATTTTTTTAATTACATACACTCTTCACCCTTTTTTTCATTTTCTTTCATACATTTTCATATATTTTCCAGCCAATAAAAACAAAGGACGTTACACTTTTTTAATTATTTGTTTTTTTTTTTATTTAACGTAAATATTTAATTTATAAGCGAATAACCAAGATCAAGAGGAAGATCAAAAGAAATATTTACTTCATTAGTATTTATATATTTTCAGAATCATTTATATCGCCGACCCAAAGCAACTGCAGCGCCCGCGGGTATAGATGTAGAGATCGGTAAACATATCTGCAACAAAGAGAAATCGCCATTGCCAATAGATTTTACAAAGGAAATAACATGCAATCGATCGAATATACTACCAAAAATACAAAAACCCAATCTAGTCGATAGGGTCGATGTGCAAATTCAGGCGACCACACGCGATAATATGATAGTTGCATCAAATATATATAGACTTGTTAATACCAGCTCAGGTACTCACTTGATACCTTTATTAGTAATAAATACGAACACTGTTAATAGCACAACGACTCCTATATGTACTCCAGCTCCTGTTAACACAAATATCGATAACGGAAATATCGATTCGAATAATTGTATTGAATCGAATACGAACTTGTGGAAAATCGATTCCGTTCACTGTAAATGTTGTCGTCTCTTAAGGAAATTTGTGAAGAGACCGACTCTTATTACAGATTATTTTGGTGTAAAAAAACGAGATGTAACATGTGATTGTATTAATAGACAGTATCCAAATATATCAAATAAATTGAAAATATTAATAAATAACTTTAAAAAGCATTATAATGTTGTTAATGATGGCCTGTCACATAAAATAGAAGAATATATGGTATATACAAAGCGCGTGAATGGAAATGAAGAGGCTGGTTGTAGTTCAAAGGATATTGGTAATTATTTTTTGTTTTTCGCCTAAAATAGTATTTATCTTTGCTGTTAATTTAATATTATAATAATATATAATAAAACTTTTGAGTTTGTGTAAAATCGATTTAATAGAAATTTTAGTATGTAAAAAATATTCATATTTAGCTTTTTAACATACAAGATTTTCAAAATCATATAAATAACAGTACTAAAATATAAGTTAGTTTTATAAAGAGCTAATGAAACTGTGATATTTCTGGGTGAAAAATCATTATTTCTTAAAATTAAATAAATACATAAGAAAATGGTTTCAGAGGTTATTCAATATAGATGCAAATTATATTTAAATAAGAAATAATATCAATTACATATAAAATTTTATCTCAGACTAAGGAATAATATAAATCCCATTCCCATGAAAAACATAATATGTAAAAAAATACAAGTCTCGCAAAGCAGTTCTTCTACCGCAAAAAGTTTTGAGATGTAATGTAAAACCAATTCGGTTAATTTATTTAATACCTATATATGGAATGAACTTTGCCATAAATTGTGAAATAAATCTTTAAATAGCAACATTTTATAGTAACCGTATCAATATTAGATATCTTTATTTCTTTAATAAATAGAATTACTTGGCTATCGATTTGACTTGGCCAAACTTTTCTTATTCTTTAAAATAAGTTAAATATCTGTATGGTAACATCGAGAATAGTAGGATAAATAGTAAATCACTCTTCTATTTTTTAAAGTAACATTTTAGAGGACACGGTCTATATAATTTTTTAGAATGATTATTTAATTTGCGATTGGACTACTGAATTAATTTAATTATTTCATTTACAGAAACAGCAATGAAATTCCAAATCAAACTAATAGAGCGATGCAACATAGCTCGAAACAATCAAATAAAGAGGTCTCTACACACAACATTTATGAAGTTCGATATTTATAATGACGAAGTATTGGAATTATACAAAAAAATGTCCAAAATATTCGATGTGGAGTTAGTGGATATATATAAGGAATTCCTTGGTTTCTTGACAGCGGAACAAGCGGACAAGATGGACGTATTCAAAGATTATTTTATATGGAATTGTGTCGAGGATTTAATAGAGAAGATTGAGGTATCTAAGATTTTGATTTAATTTATTTTGTGTTTTTCATTTAATGAATTTTGGTTCTGTGCTTAGAAGCTATAAACAAGATAATTGACATTTATGTAAATTTGTTTTAATTAAATGTGGAATTCATAGAAGAATATGACAACATTAGTTGAATTTATTATTTATTTATTATAATTATATTGACAATTGTAATTTAAGGACTAACTAGCAACTTGCCTTGCCTGATCCGATTTGAAAAATTTGCATTTTTGCATTAGATAGCCCGTTTACTGAGGAAGGTTATAAGGCTTATATATCATATAATATATAGTCTATCTATTCCATACTAACCGTTAAAACGTACCTAGGGACGAACCCAAGCGAAGCGAGGGTGAGCCGATAGTAAGCAAATAATCAAAGTCGAATTTTATTTTACATAGGAATAACATATTGTATGTGTGATGATTAATTGTTTTTTAAAATATGCATTTGCAGGAAAAAGTACCTGATAACAGAAAGAAGTATAGGATATTGGAAAAAATAAAAGAAGTAATTTTAGATAATTCATTAAAACCATGTGACATTTGTTATAAGCTGTTAGAATGTACTCAGGAATTTCCCGAGTTGATGAAGTATATATTTTCATTGTTCCCACATCGACGGAGACAGTGAGTTTAAATTTTTTTCTTTATATTACCCTACGTACATAGCAGTGGCAGTATATAGTTACGGTTAAAGTAATAAACACGGTTATTATTAATAACTAGCGACTCACCCTCGCTCCGCTCTGCTTCGCCCCTACTTACGTTTTAACGTTTAGTATGGATTTCTCAGAGATGAGATATTTTCCCGCAGTAAAAAGTATCCTATATGTCGACCCGGATAACCAGCTATCATCATACCGAATTTCATCAAAATCTGTCCAGGTTTTCTCCTGATGTGTACCCAGACAGACAAATATTCTAAAAACTATAGATTCGGCCTCTGTATCGATAATAATGATTATTTCAATAAGATTTTCCAAAAAATATTTCATGTATAGATTCGGCTTAGTAACAATTTTATTATATGTATAGATTTACCAGAGTCCCAGATAAAAGTTTCAAGGAGAAAATAGAGGATCAAGACGACACAATGAGAACATGCGATGACACTAACGCCACTATAAATTATGAAGCGGACAATTCATCCAGGTTTGTTCTCTTTGTATAAAGTAAATATTATCATTTAAAACTAAAATATTCACCTTTAGAATAAAGAAAAATTATTAAATATTTATCTGTTGGTTTTTGTATAGTGCGGTGACGTATTTGTAATAGTTTTAATAAATAATAGAGTAATTTTTGGAAAAGATTTTTAATAAGAAATACATCAAATATACTCATTATTAAGACACAGATTTTGAAGTTTTGGGATTTCTCATACATTAATTTAAAATAGCTTAATAAGTTATCTTATTACAATAAGTAACTGAATAAGATGTCATAAGTATTTTATTAAATATTTTCTTTCTGTTTTAGCGATGATGAGGAACAAAAAAATAATGAAGGAGAAAAAGAAGAGGAGGAAGAAGAAGAGGAAGATGAGGAAGAGGAGGAGGAAGATGAAGGAAAAAAAGAGGAAGAAGAAGGAGAAGAAAGCGGCACGCCGCCGTCGCCAGCCTCATCACCTGCCCGTCAAGTCTTTATGATAAAGGATGTATGTATAGTTCTTTGAATGAAGCTATTTAATAGAGTTTTATTTTATGCATCAAATTTATTTTTGTTAAAATTTTATTTTTTATATTATTTATTGGTTTTAATTGTGATTTATATATTATTCTTTATGGCATTTAAAAATGAGTACAGTGATTAAAATACAATTTTTGTTTGTACAGGTGGTCTAAATAAATTTCTCTTTTTAAATCTATACTAATGTCATAAAGAGGTAAAGTTTGTGAGTTTGTGACGTTGTATGCGGTAATATTTATATCTACTGAACCGATTTAGATGGAATTTGGTAAGAAGATCGTTTGAGACCCTGGGAAGGACATAGTTTTTAAATAATAAATTATTCGACATGTTTGGCTCAGTTTGTAGTGATCATACTTGCTGTGTCAGCGGTCGTGGGTTCAAGTCCCGCTGGGGGCATTAATTTGTGTGATAAACATGATGTTTGTACTAAAGTCATGGGTGTTTAAATTTATAATATATGTATATATTTAAAGTTATATTATATGTATAGTGTATCAACTATCTGGTATCCATAACACAAGCCTTGTAGTTTACCATGGAATTAGAAGGTGTTGTGTAGTAGTGTCCCAACATATACATAATATGTATAACTATACTACACAATATTAAATTTTTATTACATTTAAATTTGAATTAAATACAGGAACAAGGAGATGAATCAGAAATTACAATTACTGAAACCAAAGTCCAAGGACAGGATGATTCAGACATGTCAGCACTCATTATGTCTGAAGACGAATGTATTAAAGAAGAATCTCCGGAGTGGCATCGGGATGAGGATAAACTTATTTTAGAAGTTCTAAAGCATTACCTTACTTCAGCAAAAATCAAAGATAAAACATTACTCGAAATTATTGAAGAGAAAAATATAATAAGCATGATTGCAGATAGTTTGCATAAGTCTATGCAAGATGTTAAGGGACGAATATTGTATTTATTACAAATACTTATTGAAAATGAAATTAATAAATGATTTTAAGTTTATATATTGTTTTTTTCCTGTTATTATTATACGGATACTAGCGACGCAGCGTCGATCCTAGGTACGTTTCAGCGGTTAGTGATTCCCATACAAAAGAAACAATTCTGAACTTTTCGATTTTCCAGCTGTTCTTGTGGGTTTTTCCAAAAAAAAAAAATATACTTAAACCATCCCTGACACACCATCCACAAAACAAAGAACTACTCAAATTGGTCCAGCCGTTTTTGATTTTGAGCGAGACTAACGAATAGCAATTGATTTTATATATATAGATAATTCACAATGTTTGTATGTAGAAGATATTCTTTAAATTTGTCTTTATTCGAAAAGAGACAAACAGAAGTAGGCTAAAGTATTATTCATCCATATTATTATCATTAGCCTTAACTACTGAAGTATCATAGAGAAAAGTGCTGCTCCATATTGTCATATCTTATTTTCTTCAAATCTACTAAGCAGGAAAAATAATAATTCGGATCTCAGACCAATAAAAAATAACGTATAAAGTAGCCTAGCCTGTTAGCCTTATGAGTACATGTGATTGTGCAGCATAGTTTGTGTGTGTGATGGCAATAAAGAGAGTTACTAACTTAAACACTGTATATTTTATCATAAATCGTACTTTAATATTCTTTTAATGTGGCATAATAAACGTATATTTAATTCAATAACAAAATTAAAAAACTTTTCTGTCAAATTCAGCTGACCCAGCCTTGTGTCAATAATATGTCATTCTCGAGTCATTGGCTTTGTCAAACCGTATCAAATATCGACTATCTTAAAGTTTTGTGGTTTTTCATATAGTTAAAACATATTGTGAAATTAAAAAATGGATCAATGGATCAGTGAAGGTCTATCGAAAATATTAGATTTTGAAGTTCCTGAGGATCTCATAAAGTAAATATCTATAATATACAGTTCATATTGTTATAGTTTATGTTGTTTAATACTATTTAATGTAATTTTTAGGTATATAATGTCCATACAAAATGAGGAGGAATTAAATGATTACCTTAAAACTTTACTTGATTTCGATAACTCGCAGCATAAAAATTTCTACTTTGAACTGACCAAGAAGAAATTTCCTAACAAAGGTCAGTTTATATATGTATTTCTTAATTTTGTAGGTTAATATTGTTATATTTTTAATATAAAATTTATTTATTTTATTACAGTAGGACCGCAAACCAAACAACAAAAGAAAAAAATATCGAAAAATAAACAACAGCAAGACTTTGTGAGTACAGAAAAGCCAGTACAGAATCAACCTGTTGAAAATGAGCTTAAATCTAAAAAGAAAACTAAATATGTTAACTTATATTCTCAAGAGGGCAAAAATGCTCAAGTCATTACTTTAAAAGGTAAAAGTAAATTGTGGCCAAATAGCATGCCTATAACCCACAGAACAAAGAGCATTGAACATTGTTTATCTAGAATCACCTCTTGTCAATTTTTATTGTCAATTTCACTTCCTTAAACATCCTTTTTACTGTTCATTTTAACTATTGATTTAATGTGAGCTCAATCAAATATGATATGATAATATTTAAAAACAGGAAGACATCACTGTGACTGTCAGGCTTCGAAACATGAACTAATTAACAACTGCCTTCAATGTGGTAGAATTGTTTGCAAGCAAGAAGGATCGGGACCTTGTTTGTTTTGTGGAAATCTGGTATGAATATGTGACTTATATTTTATCTTAGTTTTTACTTTTAATTATTACCAATGGTACTTGAATATCAGCTTAATAAAAACTGCTTAACTACTTTTTATAGTGCAACATGTACCAAAAATTAGCCTATATTATCATATTGTCATCTCTGAATAATTTTAACTAGTTACCAACATATATTTCATAATATATATTGTAGTCTACTATATTCTATTGCACTATGATAGGTTCATTCATTGAGTTCATCCTCTAAATTTAATATTGTTATATAAAATTTTAATTTTTTTAAAAACAAAAATGATATTTATAAAATATTTCTTTGAATAGGTGTGTACACCAGATGAGCAAAGGGAGATAAATGCAAAAACTAAATCAAGTGCCAAACTTGTGGAGTCACTCATGGAAAAAAGTCGACCAAAAGGTTGGGAAGCGGCACTTTCTCATAGAAACAGATTGCTTGAATATGATCGTACAAGGTAAATAGAGATTAAATGAAATATGTACATGAGTTAAATCAAGAATATGCATTCTGCTCTTATGAATTTAATTCATAATTTATAGTTTAAGGCATATCTAATTATTTTTAATTTAAAATAATAATTATTATATTTTTTGTTGTACTTAAAAAATAAATAAAATAATAATAATATTTTTTTATTAAGCATTATTTCTTTGATAAAACAATAACAATATTTTCTTTTCTTCTTCAGTGAAAAAAGAACCAAAGTAACAGATGACGATAGTGACTACTTCAGTTCAAACAGTGTGTGGCTCAACTCCACCGAGAAGGAGAAATTGCAGAAGTATCAGCAAACACTGCATGATAAAAAACATGCTTCCAGGCTTAATAAGAAGATGACATTTGACTTTGCTGGTGAGTATTTATCTAATATTAGTATTATAAATGGGATAGTTTCTTTATGTCAGTGTGTATGTAGTTTTGTTACTGGAATTGACAAATTAGGATGAAATTTAGTATAAAGAGAAACAGTTGAAAGTGATAGTAATTTAGTAAGTATACAATATTAGCAAGGACTAGGTTTTTGATCTCCATTTTACACTTCAATTTTTTGACACAAATGTAGATTATTATATTGATAAAAATTGATGTACATAAGAATATAATAGTTTAATATTAATGTTGCAAAGTTGCATTAAAAGTAAAGTGAGTGATAATTTTATAATATCCCATTATCCTATTAATATTATAAATGCGAAAGTTTGGATGGATGGATGTTTGTTAATCCACGCCAGAAGGGCTGTAGAAATCTGGTTGGGCAGAGAGATTGATTATAGTCTGAAATAGCACATAGGTTATGTTTTATCCTGGAAAAATGTACGGTTCCCATGATAGATTCGTTTTATAATAAATTATCAATCATTTTAAAATTCCCATCATACTAATGTAATTTTTTAATTTAAGGTCGTCAAATAGTAGAAGATACAACAATAGAACACGAAGTAGATGAAGATCATATAAGACAAATCACGAGCAGCACTTCATCAAGCAGTCAAATCCTCCGATCTGATCTACTGCTCGATACGTCTGCAGACCGCGACGTCGCACCTGGGGTTAATGCTCCTTTATTAATGGTACTTTATCTTTCTTGTACCAACAAATATCTTATAATAATATTAAAAAAAAAGATTCCGGCGAATTGAGGACATCCTCCTTTTTGGAAGTCGGTTATTGAGCAATTCTTGTATTGTATATTTTATTTCGTGTATCTCGGTAACGGCTCAAATAGTTTGCATAAAATTTTGTATTAGGATAAGGTTTTGCTTGTTAAATTTATCTATATAGGGGTGGGGTGTTTTCTGAAAAAAAAAACGTATTTTTTTCATTTTTTTCGAAAAAAAACCGATTTTACGAAAGTCGCCCAGATACTTTATCTAATACCAACAATGACCCTCAGGATATTTCTCATCGCTAATATAAACAGTAACTAAAACCATAGCCTACTAATTCATACTTCCGAAGACGTCTACACAAAGCGATAGGGAATATGCGTAATTTTTTTTATACTATAACTTAAATCGTTATATTATAGTTAGAAAAAAAAAATATCCCGCTCCAAAAAACTATGGTCAAGACGGCTTTAGAGTCGATGGGAATAACTGTAATTTGCCACGAGATGGAGCTACAGTCCTTTAACTTGTAGCCGTTTTCGATGAAAATTGGTATTTTTCTGTAACTCTTGAATTTTATAGAATTTCCGTTAAATTCCATGGACGATCGCTTAATATAGATTTTTATACTGTGTTTAAGCACTAATTTCTAACTTCAAAAATGGCGACTTTTCATACAAATTCCTATAAAAGTTTAAAATTACGTATTATACATTAAATCACAAAAAATATATTTGTATCCATACTCGTATGTATATCGTAACCAATCTCTTTCGTTTCTTTTATATTTTTTTAATGACATAATAGGCTGTGGTAGACAGAACGGTTTTAAAGGAAAAATAAAAATTTGGTTTTATCTTTTTTTTAATTGTCAATTTTGTCAATTGTGCAAAAAATAAATATTTAACATAATTTTTTCTAGTTCAACCAATCAGTTGAGAGGCGAACTAAAGTGGTTCCAAAGTCCAACTGGGCCCAATCCTCTCGCATCCAAGACTTGGAACTGCTGGAGATGAGTGACTCCGGAAAATGTCTCTCCATGCATCAGCCTTGGGCTTCTTTGCTAGTAGAGGGCATTAAGATGTAAGTGTGTTAGTCGGTAATAATACCTAACAAGACCGCCATTTTGTACACGATAGTATCTTTATATATATAATTCTTCTGTGAGTGTGTATGTCACTGAACTTCTCTCAAACGACTGGACCGATTTTGATGAAATTTTTTGTGTGTGTTCAAGGGGATCTGGGAATGGTTTAGATTCACAATTTGTATAATAATTTTCATCAAAAAAATTATTAAAAAAAGTTTGAAATTTTTAAAATTAAAGACGTGTAGACAGGACAACGTCTGTCGGGTCCGCTAGTATTTTATAAAGCTTAAGCTGTAGCTATATAACAAATTAGTATTGTCATTATTTTTTTTAAATAAGCATTTTACAAAAGTTATTGACTGCTAACTTATTTTAGTGAAATTCTGATTGATTATTATAGATAACTTCTATATTCTATAAACTCAGGTTATCAATACTGTTAGTAAAACAAATGTCATATCAATATATATTTAATGAGTTTAATCATTGATATATAAAAACATAGATACACATTTCTTACAAAATATCTGTTCAAAAAGTGGGGTCTCCATTTCATGTAAAGTTAAACCAAAGAATAAAATTAAAGAATCGAATGTTCTAATTATCTAAACACAAATTCGAACTTACGCACAAAGAACGTGCGTTTTAATTTTGTCATCCGAAAAGCAATGAACAAAAGAGATTTGAAAAAAGCGCAATTCAATTTCGAATTGCACATTCTTTTGAGGACACTTTTTAAAACGCTAAAAATTGTGTATTTTTAGATCTTTAAATTTAATCAATAACAATTTAAATGTTAAGGCACGAGGGTCGCACGTGGTACACGGGACACCGCGGGCGGCTGTGGGTGGCGGCCACGGTGAAGCCGCCGGACCAGACCGTCGTGCGCGCTTTGGAAAACCAGTACAGGGTCTTATATCCAGGTACAAGTATATACCAGCTATATTATTTATTTGTTTATTTATTTAGGGTAGTCAACAGAACATACACTTAAATAGTAAAAAAATAAATGTCTAAATTTTACTATTGGTAAAAGCTGTTCTACTTAAAGGCTACCATGACAAGCGAAAACAAAAAGAGGTAACCGAGAGGGTTGCTTCATAAATTGATTGTCCAGTGCATTACATATAATTAATTGACATTGTTTATCTAACTAAATAAATAGATGTTATAAGAGACTAGGGACTTATCTTCACCTCACTCGTTCGTCCCAAATTACCTAACAATAATTTGACACATTTGAATTAAAGTATGTAGTGTGATTTCTGACAGTAAACACATTTTTATTGAAATAAAAAATAGCCTTTATCTGTCTGCGGTAATGTAGCTTTCTATTAGTGAAACAATTTTCAGTATCAGATCAGTAGTTCCAGAGTTTACTCCCCACGTACAAACTTACTTTACCTCTTTGCAGTGTAGATTTTAAAGATAATCAGTTAAGAAGCAATTCATAATTTTAATAGCGCTCATACCGAACTTTAATTATTCTTATTAATTAATTACTCTTGCCTTTTCTTTCTCCAAATGATACCCTTGAATTATTTAAATAGTAACAAAAATAATAAATACATAAAAAAAGAGAAAATAATAATAATATTATGATGATTATTAGTAGATATTTTATAAGTACAACTGAAAAAAATTAAATGTCATTATTAATATTACATATTGTGATTCAAAATGAATTGAAAAAACTATGTTTGTTGTGATTTTACAAATATAGGAAAAATATTTTGCTTTTTTTTACAGAGAAACAATTCAAGTTCCCATCTTTCTACCCAACGGGGTGTCTTCTCGGCTGCGTGAATGTGGACGACTGCTTGCCGCAAGAGGAATACGCTAAGATGTAAGTTATTTAGTATTTAGTTTATAAAATAAAATATTATTATATAAATCCAGTTTGTCGTGTACACATCTCTTGTAACTAAAAATAATTATTTTAATGTTAACGGTGGATTTTTGAAAAAAAAACGTGTGCGTTTAGGTACTTATGTACGCACGTAAGAAGTTATACTTCTTTGACGTAACAGAACAAAAATAGCTAAAGATTTCATCCCGTATGTCACAACTCTCTGTTTCTAAAAGGAATGCAGTTAACTTCATCATGTCGCTTTTTGACTCGGTGTGCGCGCGCATCACAAAAATTTTGCTCTCATATTTTTGTCCAAACGTGCGTAAAGAAGTATAACTTCAAAAATTAAAAAAATAATAAACTTTCAGTTACCCGGAGGGAGAGAGTGACAGTCCCTACGTGTTCATTTGCTCCAACCCCGTCAGTTTAAGACTGCGCTTCCCAGTTAAAGGACAACACAAGATTTGTATGTATATTTTCAATTTACATCGAACTACTATTACAAATGCGAAAGTTTGTATACGTGTATGTATGTTATTATTTTAATTGCCTTAGTAGTGTAGTAGCTAGCATGTACCGCTGCACATCCAGAGGTCCTGGGTTCGAGTCGCGGGTCGGGCCAAACTTAGTTATTATTTCTGTATAGTAAGCCTCAGTAACAGCCCGGAGTTGGGAAGTTGGCGGTGTTTCACCCCCGTGCCTCGGAGAGCACGTAAAGCCGTCGGTCCTGCGCCGACACTCTCACTGTTCGTGTCTCGTGTCGTCCCACCGGAGTATGAGAGTGACAGAGATAGAGAGTGCACGTTGTGTCTGCGCTCTCCCTCACACGCGCTGCAGTATAATATCTCCCGCGCAGTTGGCTAGTCTCAATGAGATTGGCCGCCGTGGCCGGAATCGGCTAGGAGAACATCATCAGCATCAGTCTATACTAATATTATAAAGAAGTAGAGTTTGTGACGTTGTGGGAGGTAATCTCTGGATCTACTGAACCGATTTAGATAAAATTTGGTAAGATGATAGTTTGAGACTTTGGCAAGGACAAAGGATACTTTTTATCCAGAAAATCATTTCTTAAGGGACTGAAAATGGGGATGAAAGTTTGTATTGGGAAGCAAGCTAGAAACGAACCGAGGTGTGAGTCGCTAGTATTGAATAATAATAGATTTAATGTTTTTTTATTATTAATGAACAAAATAAATTTTCAGTTATTTTAAATTTACTTTACATTATTTCTCTTTTATTTTACAGATACATTAGATAGAACAATTCACCAAGCAGCAGTAAAATGTATGCAAAAAATGGCGAAAATGCAAGCGGACGAGGCCAACGCTGGATAAATTAAATTATACATTAAAATAGAATGTTATCAAATCTCTTTTTATATGTTAAATAAAACATTAAAACACTTTTAAGAAAATAATTTATTTACATTTCTAATACTATAGTTTCATATAAATATTTAAGAAACATGCACTCGCACTCGTACAGACACTTGATATCTCGTACATACAAAGACAACATACAACAGCCACGCGCTTGTAATTAATACTAATGATTAAATATCGGACTACATGCACTTGAAAATATGCGTCATTAGAGAAATTCACATCTATATCTATACGTATAATAAAATTGTAACTAAGCCGAATCTGTACATTAAATATTTTTTGGAAAATCTTATTGAAATAGACATTATTGATACATAGGCCGAATCTATAGTTTTTAGAATTTTTGTCTGTCTGTCTGTCTATCTATCTGTCTGTTACCGCATCACAGAATTTTTATGAAATTTTTTATTGAAATTTAGAATTTTGATGAAATTTGGTATGGTGATTGCTGGTTATCCGGGTCAACATATAAGATACTTTTTACCGCGGGATAATGTCTCATTTCTGAGAAAAAAATACAAAAACTGCAATGTAAGAGTATTATAATATGTAACACCTAAGAATTTGGTTTTTGGTCATCTGAACGCGGGTGGAGCTGCGGGCAATGCTAGTGTTAAATATATTTCTAAAGTTAGCAGTAAACTTCGTAATACAAAATAAAAAATGGATATTTCTTGAATATTCTTGTTTTGTTCTAGTCAGTCTTTCTTATTATATAATACACTAGCTGACCCGACAGACGTTGTCCTGTCTACACGTCTTTAATTTGAAAATTTCAAACTTTTTTTTAATAAGCTAAAACATTCTGGACCATTTTGATGAAAATTATTATTCAAATTGTGAATCTAAACCATTCTCAGATCCCCTTGAACACACACAAAAAATTTCATCAAAATCGGTCCAGTCGTTTGAGAGAAGTTCAGTGACATACACACTCACACAAGAATTATATATATAAAGACTAATCTGTTTATTTTTATTGTGAATGATATTTACTCTATATGGGAATCGAATTCACGACCTAAGTTCGGTATAACTTGTACAATCGATAAATACCAAATCTATGTTATATATTAGAATATGGAAAATATTAAATTTTATAAAATAGATAATTAAAAAACTTTAAAAAACTTTTTTATCTTTTTGTAAAACAGAGAAATTAATGCCATCTTATAAATATAGTACTTATATTAGTTTCATATTAATCCACGCACGTTACATACACGAAATGTCCAAGTGCATATAATCCAATTTTTAGTAATATCATATCACCAGATATGAAAACTTAACACTAAAATGAGCACCGATAGAGTAAATGTCAACAGTCAGAAATGCAGGTGGGGTACAACCACTGTAAATGCTAGCACTAATATTGCGATAAATTGAATAAAACTAGAAACATGACGCTTTGGCAGTCGAAAAGATTTGGTTTAGGAACCTTACGATTCCTTCTTTTGGTTAAGCTGAGGGAAGAAGGCTTCAATCGGTAAGATTGGGTCGTCTGTAGCTATTGTGAAATAGCTAGGTATTCTTCTGCTATTGGATGACACGGTTTTGAACATGCCGGGGGTGTTATAGTCCTTACTCGCTGCGAGGGTTAAGTCTGATACTCGTTTGGAATGCTCGAATAGCCGTTCTATAGGATCATGATGCTTTTTGTCAGCTATTTTCATTATTGCGCTCTCAGATTTGGTTTTTTCGGTCATATCGTTTTTGTGGTCACTTGTTTCTGTCACTGATATGTCCTGCACGGATTCACCAGTTTCTGAATCTTGTATTCTTTTTCGTAACGGTCGTTTATGGTGGACTGTTGGAGTGGAAGTCTCAGAGTTCTCTTCCGTAGGCCGCGGCCGACGCTGGCCGTTACGTATACGCGATGACATTCGCTGTGTACTAGCTTCGATGCCTTCTGAATTTTGTTTCTGCCTTAAACTTTGCCTTGAATGGATCTCTTGCTCGTTGTTTTCTGTTCTGTTAAATTTATGTCTTGGCTCTTTTGGCGTGAACTTCTTTCTTTCAGTTGTAGTTTCGATATCAGTGAAAATGCTTTCCGTGTAGGGACTCTTTCGTTGTGGATGCCTTGTCTTTGGAGTATTTTCGACAACTTTCTCGGTGGTACTTGTTGTAGAATTCAAACGATTTCTGTAATCTTTAACACTGAATTTAGGTCTATCGAATTTATTCTTGAGTCTAGGTCTTTGGACTTTACCTGCTAGCCTTGTGTTCGCTTCAGTGTGGGGCGCATAAGTTGTTACTTCATAATCCGTTTTCTGATTAACTGACTGTGTCGTTACTTCTTTTATTTCTACAGGTCGAGCATCTCGGTGGAATGAAAATTCTTTCAATGTATCAGTAGTTTTAAGCGTGTCTCCAATACTTACTGACACGTCGCTTGTGGGTGTATCTTTTTCGTCCTGTTTGTGGCTGTAATCAGGAATTTCACTATTTTTAAATTCATATGAATTTAAAGATGGTGCCTTTGACAGTTGTGGCCGTGAAGATATTTTCATTATAGGAGACTCTCTGCTATTGTCTTTCTCATTCGATACTTGTGTAGTCGTTTCGAATCTGTCCGATGGTGTCGTGAGAGGTCTGCGAAGGGAGACTAATTTTTTCTTTATAACCGTTGGTTTAGTTGGTGATGTAGTTGGTAGAGCGCTTGTTGTTAACTCTGTAGTATCACTAGGCGTAGTTACTGTTGGTTCTGTTCTTAGTTTAATTGGTCTTACTCGAGGCCGAACGGTATGGATATCTTCGGCGATAGTAGTAGGGGTTTCAGTTGAAGGTGCTTCCCTGCGTGTGCTTGTTTCTTCTCTATTGCGATTTGCTGAAGGTCTTCGCCTCCGAATCTTATTCCGTTTTCTAATTTTATCTTTTTCTAAAGGTTCTGGTGTACTGGGTCGTTTAAAATGCCTATTAGGTGGTAGAGTGGGAAGTGTCTCCACTGGAACTTCTGTAGTTTCTCTAACGGTATACGAAAAAGTTGTCGTCTCAGGCTTAGGAGCTTCAGTAGGTTTTTTGGTCCGTCTATAAGGTTTATGTTCAGTGTAAGTTGGAGTAGATACTTTGTAGTAGTAATCTCTTAATTTATTCTTTCCGATTGGTTCGAAATCATCACCTAGAGGACGTCGGCTTTGAGAGTCAACTTGACTATCGTAATAATGTACGTTCCCATTATTATTTTCATTCTCCGTTACAATAGAATATTCTTCAGGTATATCTGGTAAAACTGTTGTAGGTTTTTCGAATATATTGTCTACGTGTTCAGAACTAGTAACAGGTTCATTAGTGTTTTGGTTTTGTCCGTATGACTGAGGAGTAACGGTCCAAGGAGTTGCAGAAGCGTGATGTGTAACATCATCAGTATTTTCTATTACAGCGTAAGACGGACGATGTGCCTGTGATAATGCATTTAAGCTACTTTCCAAATCAAACAGTCCTGGTGCGTTCGTATATTGCTGTGAAACTTGCTGAGTTAAACCCAAGTTATCAGGTACTTTTTGTTTAGGTTTATCGTATTTTATGTTAGCGGTGTTTTGATGTTTATAGCTGTGGAACACAGTGTTTTGTGGTAAAAGACCATAATCATTGTACAAAGGACCAGCCACTGATGAGGTTTGTATTACTGGAGGACTGTAAGTAGATATTTTATTGTAATCTATATTTTGGAAGTTTTTCACGAAGGGATCCTGGGGACTGGGTTTAAAACCAAACTTAGTTCCAGCGTTAGGGTCTATTTTCACTGGGGATACTAATTTTGTTTGTGGTGTAGGTACATTGCCTAGATAATTTAAAGTAGAACTATAAAAATAGTTATAATTTTGAGCAGTTGTTAATTTAGGTGTAGATGTAGCAAACAGAGCCGGTGTGGACTTAAAGTTAGGTGAATAATTGAATGAATTGAAAATAGTTTGTTTTGTAGATTGAGGCGGTAAAAACGTGGTTTTGGTTGTGGGATATCCTGGATCTCTTCCTTTGACGGATTGTATGCCAAAAGATCCAAATGAACCTGAAACAATACAAAATATTTAAATGATAAATTTGATCAAATCAGACGATTTCAAATGTAATATGTTTTAAATTTAAACTTTAAAAGCTATACCTAAAATACTTGGTGGGAACACAGTGTCTTGGAACGGGTGTCCATATTGATTGATGGGGTATTTCGATGGTGTATAAGATTGCTGCTGGGCAGTTTTCACAGATTGACTCAAAAATTGAGACGGTGTGTCTGCATCGCCTAGCTTGAACACTTGCGGTTTGAATATTTCAGTTTCCGCTGACTGTGGCCGCTTCCCATCCTGTCTTGGGTACGCGTCGTTTGCTTTCCCGAATATGTCTAACGGTTTCCCCGTAGAATACTGTCCGAATTGAATCGGCTGTATGTTAGTCAATTGTTGTAATATGTTATTATGATATTGTTGCTTTTGCTTCGTTTGTTGCTTTTGCAAGACTGGACGAGCGGCGTAAGAATTGTGTTGATTCCTGAGGAAGACACTATCAACTGGATAGTTTTGGACAAATTTATAGTGATTCCCTCCATTATTAGGTAGTGAAAAGGGATTTAAATAGGAGTTAATTGGTTGGTTAACTGGCAGACCGTGGGTAGGCACAGATACTGTACGTAGTGTCGTGGGCTTATAAGACTGAGCTATTGATGTCAACTTTGTAACATCTCTCGCGGTTACTGGTCGAGCAGAAGACGGATATAAATCTAATAGAGGTATTTTGTATGAAGGAGCGTGTAAAGGAGCTGTGCCTAGTGGGCTGTACAATAGTCCACCTGAGCCGACGACTGGTCTCCAACCGCCTTTAGAAACTGGTAGGTTCTGAAACAAAGAAAAATATTGTTAAATAATAAAAGTTTATATTATTTATATTCAACCATTGTGCAGATACAGAATATCGTTATAAATGGTCAACTATACTTCTCACACTAAAATAAAAGTGGTCTATACTTACACCCGCGGATAGAGACTTTAAAAACATGGTAATATTTTTTATAATAAAAAATAATTATAACTTTGTTATTTTATGACCCTAGATATGCTTTTCAATTATATTCTTGCATCGTATGCATAGACTGAACTTATACTTAATAAACCTATCTTCAGTATTAATTTACATATAATAATGTAGTTTGAAAACGATAAAAGCTTTGTCAAATAACGTCCTTAAGTAGAATAAGTATATTTATTATAAACTAGTGATTCACTCGCTTCGCTCGGGTTCGTCCCTAGTTACGTTTTAACGTTTTGTATAGATATCTCAGAGATGAGAATTTTCCCGCAATAAAAAGTACCCTATATATTGACTCTGATAACCAGCTATCATCATACCCAATTTCATCAAAATCTGTTAAGTGGTTTTCTCGTGACGCGTTCCCAGACAGATAGACAGACATGTCCAAAAAATAATATTGCAAGTTATTGAAATATTCTTTATAATTTTATGAGCAAACTAAACGTCTACTTGTGTTTCTGATATAGATAATTAAACTTAGTTGTATAAATATTTTTTTAGATAAGGATTCGACTTTAAGACTTACCGTTTGTTGAATCAAAGAGCGCCGATTTTGAGGCGCTTTACCGCAAATTACAATTACCAGTAAGCTCTGTATTGTCAGCGCGACTAACCATAGCCGCATCCCTGGAAGAAATAAAAACAGAGTTATCTTATACACTTTTTGGTTAATGTATGTACATCTATACTAATATTATAAAGAGGTAAAGTTTGTGAGTTTGTGATTTTGTGAGTTTCTGACGTTGTAGGAGGCAATCTCTGGATGTACAGAACCGATTTAGATGAAATTTGGTGAGAAGATAGTTTGAGAACCTAGGAAGGACATAGGATACTTTTTATCCCGGAAATCATCCCTTAAGGGGGTGAAAATGGGGATGAAAGTTTGTATGGGGAATCAAGCTAGGGACGAACCCGAGCGTAGCGAGGGTGAGTCACTATTACGAGTATATTATAAATTACAAAGACGATAATTTTATTTGAAATTTTGTAATATGACAATTTCAGCCTCAATTTAAAAATAATAAGGAAAACTAAACATGGATTCCTATAGATTAATAGACGCGGTCGAAATTTTAGAGACACGTTCTTCTACTACATACGATAGATTTAACTACATTTTATTAATTTTATTATGAAGCTACCTCTTTCAAACTACTTCAAAGGTAATGACTATTTGAGTGATCCTAACTTTCTATATATGGATGTATTTCCTTTGTCATGGTGTCTGTAACGGTATACTTTTAGTGGTAAATTAAGTTGGATTGTATGTTATTTGTGTGTGAAAGTGACAACTTTAATTGTGATAAATTGCTATATTACAAAATTTTAGCCGAAAGTTTCTGATTTGTTATTTTTATTACTACTTTGATAGTCGCCTGGTGTGATACTTAAAGTAGCAAAATTTTGCTGACGATTGTTCGTAATTCTAACGAATAACCGTCATCAAAATTTTATGTACCGCTTCATACAAATACTTATTTACAAGTGATACAGTCTGAGTTGTACAATATGTATGTATGTTCTTTTTGACACATATTAGGAATACATAAGTTATTTACTAATTAGGTGATACATAATTGAATGAGTATAATACTTTCAGACAAGAATTATTTTCCTGTTTCGTAACTTTTAGAGTGATTCAATTTTATTCATAGGGTTTTAATTTTTAAAATTTGTTTTATTTAAATTATTTTTAAGTTTTATTTTTGCCACACATGTTTTAAATATTTTAAAATTGTTTTTGCTTATGTCACAGAACTTTGCCTTCTAGAGGGCGCCATATTTTGTTTAGTACGTCACATTGCCTATAATTGGTAGACGATCAAGACACTTCTAACGATACCTCCTTTGACAAATTATGATACGTTTAGAAGATATGCTATGACATAGACAGCATGCAGAAATCATAACCCTCCATATTCGGGTAAATAATATCTTATATTTCACTTTTCGGCTGAAGGCCTGAGATTGAGAGCTGATATTAAGATACAGATAATTTCAGAATATTTTAACTTAATTTAAATGAAAAAGTTAGTCTTCTCACTAAAATTTCCATTCGGAGAAATTTATTAGATTAGTTTAAATAATAGTAATACAATAAAAGAAATAAACGGAAGCGTAAAGTAGCGTCGGGCACCAATATGTAGAGCGGAACTGACCATGACCGCGACCGTCTTCACTGTTCCCACGACTTTGGATACGCTTTTATTCAAAAAAATTCTTCGAATTCGTTATAAAGTACTATTATGACATAGTTATAATTCACGATTTTCGCTTAAGGAAACCCTATGGGGAAAATTATGACTTTTGAGTCTACTTTCTCTACTTTGGAGATTGGAAACAACGCATGTTTACTGTGTGTCACCATATTGTTAATACTACGAAAGATATATTACGTAAATTGTAATTAAATCTATACTTATAGTAAAAGTCTAACTGACTCTAATATTTTCAAAAATCTTATTGAAATCTATCTATACTATAATAAAACTGTAGAGGTCGAATTTCTGTACATAGAAAAAAAATACTAAAAACCGAGTCAGCGGGATGTAAGAAGAGAAATAGAACAAATCCAGATTTTTTTCAAATTTTTTATTTCTCTGTCTGTTTGTCTGTTGGTACGGGCTAATCTTCGAAACTATTGGATCAATTTAAATGAAATTTTGCATGGTGGTACCTTAGATCCCCGGGCAACATTTTAGATACTTTTCATCCCGGAAAATCAAAGAGTTTACATGGGATAGTTAAAAAAACTATAGTAACTTATACAGCTTGGTACACAACAACTCATGCACTTAATTTAGTAAAATTAAACATTCTGATACCTTATATTGCCGGTCGAACAACAGGTTACTTTTCATCCCAGAAAAATTAATGGTTCCCGTGGTAACTAATAGACCTCTATTAGTATTTTTCACTAATAATAATATTTTTCATTAATACTAATAATAATTTTCAGTAATAATATAAATATTTAATATACACAAATATTTAGTACACAAAAACTATTGATTGGATTTTAATGAAACTTTACAATAATATAATTCATACATCAGAATAACAAATAGGCTACTTTGTATCCCGAAAATGAATTGAATGTAGGATGAATTTGTTTTTGTTTGTCTAGAGCTTTCCGCTAGTAGTCAATATTATCGATACAGAGGCCGAATCCATAGTTTTTAGATATTTTTTTGTCTGTCTGTCTGAGAACGCATTACTAGATTACCACTGGACTAATTTTGATGAAATTTAGTATGATGATAGCTGGTTATTCGGTTCAACATATAACATATAGGATACCCTTTACTGCGGAAAAATATCTTTTCTCTGAGAAATCTATACTAACCGTTAAAATGTACCTAGGGACGAACCCGAGCGGAGCGAGGGGAAGTCGCTAGCGTCATTATAAAATTAGAAATTATATTTCATACCTACCTACTACTTATACTTGTAATACATACGTCTTACCGGCACGGATACTATTGAATTGTCTTAAAATTAATTCTTATGTTGCCATACAATTGATAAGTTCTATTTGAATCCGATAGATACATTGCTTGAAAATATGCTAATATAAATAAGTATAGAACATGAAACGAAACTTCTGCACTTAAATCACTCTAACCCCATATGATATAGAAAAGTTACCAACAATGATGGTGGCATCACTTTCTAGCGATTGCGTTATGCTACGTGCTTTTAATTTCAATTGGTTATGTTATACTATAACAATTCGTAAGAGCTATGGGGTTTGTTTAATGTTATGTTAGTCAATCGAAAGTGCTTATGGTGATAATAGAACGTATCAAACACACCATGAATGAAAAGTTCCATTACGATTCTTTTGCAATTTAGACAATAAGGTGTCATTTATTTTTACCATTACACAACATATTTCACTAGTTAAATAAGCACTTTTGTAATGCAAGATATGTTTAATAATTTATTATTCAATTAAATTTTATATAACTAAATTAAGTGTGAATTGCACTCGCTTGGAGGAGGTCAGAACTTACATACACTACAGATTTTTTTTATTAAATTGTTTATATTTTTTTCTTTATTTTATTATGTTGTGCTATAAAAATTAAAATTAATGCCTTTTTGCATTTTGCATAACAAAAAATGGTAATTTTACACTTAAATATTATAAAAAAAATTATGCACTTTTAATTAATATGAGACGTGCAAATAAACATTTGAAAAAACTATTTTAAAAAATAAATAAGTAATATTTAAAATTATTACTTTTACGCAACACATTCGTCATTAAGTCACATAATTCTAAAAGGATTTTTCATAGGAACTACCGTTATGCCATATCATGAGACCGTATGATAGACGCATACTTGACATGCGTAGATTAAAATATTGCGAAGGCGTATGGTAAACAGCCCAGAAAAGCGAATGTTAATATCTTCCGCGTACCATATACATAGCTATTTAGATTCGTCAAAAGAATTGCTGGTCTTTATAAACGCATATAGCGTTTCTTCCGTCACTGTTGCTTAGTTAAAAATGTAGGTATGACATGTACTTTTTTGATTTTACTATGGGAGATTATATTATAATACTAGCGACTCACCCTCGCTTCTCTCGGGTTCATCCCTAAGGTAGTTTTGACGGTAACGGTTAGTATGGAATTGATAGATTATATACACATAGAAAAAGTAGGTAAGTAATTTAAAAAAAATTGAAACCACTCCCTATTTTTTATCCTATCCCCTATTTATCTGAAATATTCTGTATTTCTCACCAACATTATAGGATATATTGAATTTTTTATCCTTAACTTGAGAAATGATTGATTCCCAATACAAACTTCGACACTCCTTGCGGGATGGTTTCCGGGATACAAACTATCCATCCCAAAGTCTCAAACTATCATCATACCTAATCTAAATAAGTTCAGCGATTAAACGTGAAAATATAACAGACGGACAGAGTTACTTTCGATATTAGTATAGATAATTAATTATCGTTATATTATAAGTATTTTAAAATGTGTTTGGTGAGTTGTATTTACACCTATCACATGCTTAATACGTATACAATTTATATATGTAGATACTTAAAAAAAAATTATAACTAAAATAAAAAGTTTACCGCTTAAATACACAGATTACCATTATCAATTTTTACTAAATTAAAATATAGTTATTATATAGTAGTTTAGTTTTATGATGAAGGGAAAATATGCATAATGTAATATTTTAGGAACCAGATTCGATTTTAAACCGTCCTAAGTACTGTAGCACATCTCGTGCTGCTCAGCGACCGTGAAACGTTTCACTCTAGCTATTCGAGAAAACACATACTTATAAGTCTCGCCATATTGCTACTGATCAAAGTGTGCCGTATGAGGACGAAAATAAAAGTAATTTTTCAATAATTTTATTTCGGGTTGTTGGACTGTCGGAGTAAATATTGTATGAACAATGTTATTCATTTTGTTGTCATTTATTCTGTTTGTTTTTAATTGGAATTATCGATTCACATCAAATCGATTCACATCAAAGTGCAATGTAAATATATAATTACTTTTTTACTAAACCTGTTTAGTTTGACTAAAACTGGCTTCAAAACTATTTTCAAAGTAAGTCTTTACTTGAAATTAACAAAGTT